TCATCCAAATTTTTTTTTATATCTCCGTTTAAATGTTTACACCTTTCAGGCAGACCAGCTTAGTTGGGGAACGCTCTACAAATATAAATACTTACCATATCCTAATGAAATGTGCTTCAAAGGATTTTTAATACAATTTTATGTAGACTCCAAACTTTTTGAAGCCTACGGTTAGTCCTACGACAAAAATAAATAGGACCATTTTTGTAAGAAATTTTGATGCAGAAATAGAAATTTACAGAAAATTCTGCATAAATTACATAAACGATGAGTTTGTATTTATAGACCCCCCTTCCTTTAATGAAGTATTGGACCCAGTAATTTTAATTAATTTAATGTCAGTTTTTTTTTTAAATTACAAGACTAATTCTGTTTTAAATGCAGATAAAGCCAATTTTTTTAATGATGTTTTTTTTCTGCCCTATAACTCGTTTACGGTTAGTCCTACAACAGAAATGCAAAGTACCATTTTTGTAGGAAATTTTGTAAGCTTTAATTTTGATAAGAAGATAAAAGCCTATAAGAGTGATAATTTCCGGGATATAAGCAAAAAAAACAAAAAAGACACTTTTAACTCCCTCCCCCTCCTCGAGCTCGCCCCCCACCTTCGGAGACCTTTGATATATGTACGGAAGTGTAAAGAAAGCGTTTAAAAAAATTCCAACTCTCTAGGATTTTTTTTCCAACGATTTGTCTAATTTGACTGGGCTACGTAAGAAACCTTTGACTGAAAATTGACTATTCAATCACCTGTTTAAATTTGTAACAATAAAAATGGAACAAATAAAAAATCATTAAAAATTATTAATTTGATAAACATTAATAAACTGTAAACAATAATTATAACGTACTTTAACACCTTTGTTCCACGACGTCAGTCCTGCACATTAACAACAATATTGTTATACGCTTGAAGAAAAAATAATAATTTAACTGTTCCCAATATTTCAATATTAGTAAAAACAGAAGGTGGAAATTTTAACTGGAATACAATTTCTCAAACAACTGATAAACAATTCTGTATACAGAGTGCGCCAGAACTCGCGCCCCAAAGAAAATTTTCAAGTAAGGTAAGATACCAGGAACATGAAAAAAATGTTTAAAAAATTCTGTCAAAAAATTTAGACATTTATTTTTTGACATTTGACATTTTTTATGTCTATTTAATGATACTGATGATCTTGTATTATGTTTTTTTACAATTATTTAGTAAAGGTACAAAAATTTTGCCAATAAAAGCCACAAATAACATTGAACAGAGTTACAATTTAGGATTCAGCTTTCTTGTTTCCTCTTTTAATAGCCTATAGCAAAAAAACCTTGGAAAATTATTTTTCCAACAGAAATAAATAGAGTCAAAGTGCAAACTTTAAACCCTCATAACTTCGAAATTGTTATAGATACAATTTTTTTAAATTTTTTTCCATGTTCCTGTATCCTACCTTATATGGCATTTTCCTCTGGGGCGCGAGTTCTGGCGCAGCCTGTATACATTATATAATAATTATACATATTAATTGCAGACACTTTCGAATTACTCTGTATTTTTAACGTCAATAATTTTTCAACCAACGACTCAGTAATAATAATTATTTCAATGAATTTTTAACAAAGATATAATAAATAAACTCACATAACAAAACCTAAAATAATGCTGCGTTAAATTAACGTATTCACTCGAATAACCGTCACTGTGTTAAAATTTATCGTCCGGGAATTATATACGCAGTCATCAAGTATTAGCTAACATGGAGGTAATTACGATTTTATAGATAAGATCGTTGTATAACCGATAACATGCATTTTAGCTGAAACACAGCCAGCTTTCGAGTACCTAATTCAAAGCTTTGCAGAAATGCTTAAACTTATCCAAAATGCTCTACTTATATCTCAAAACCATCTAGACGTCTATATGAGTACTTGGATTGGTGCTGAAACACCAATTTTCGCGAAAACCACCATTTTAGGCCTTATTGATTAAATCCACCTCCTCCAAATTCAACCGCCCCCAACTTCTCCTAAAACTTTCAATCCATCTCGTCGTGTTTAGTCTCGACGTCAATGCTTGTTTAACCAACGTGATGTAAAATTTTAAAGATTTGTTCCCGGGGGTTGCTCGAACGATCGTATACGTGACGTCACCGGATGTTTGGGGGTGGGTGAACGGAAGCGGAGGCGGCGAGTGCCGCCATTGGTGATGTTGTAATTGATCCTAAACATTTATACGCCTGGTAATTTGTTGGCACCGACTCTCTAAATGGAATCCAATTGATTTCGAACAACAGTTTAGATTTCCTCTACGGATTTGAATTGATAATAATTAGGGTAAGAAATGGTAAAGTGGCGGCCAACCAAACATTTACAAAACGGAACATCGTGATCTATTACCAAATATTTAAGGTAATATTTTTCTGGTATTTTTTTTATTGATGCATTCGCATAAATTTGCTGTAATAAAACTGCTATAATATTTTTATGATATCGGGACCGGATTATTTGAATATTGATCAAAGGGTAAAGGAGTAAGGTCACCCGACATGCGTAGTAGCTCTCGAACCCTATTGGTGACCAATAAAAACACCTACACAATTTCTGTATATTTTTCTGACCTTCCAAATGCATCACATTTGGGGACAAAGAACTGGTGACTTATTGGAGTTTGTAAATGATTAATGGTGTTTCGGTATTAAAAAAATTAAATAGTTCAGCAAAGCATAAAGAGCTGTCAAAAACAAGAGTCATTCTTTATAAACCAAAGTTCGTAAATTTAATGAAACAGCTGCGAAGTAAAATTTATGCAAATATTAAAAAAGTGTTATTTTAAACGTTGTCCTCATCTGAGTTTCTAATCACAGATCAAAAACTGATATTCATAAAAAAATAATTTTTGTCTTATATATCACTTTGATACAGCAGTTGAGTTTTGTTATTTTTTTCAAAACTATAGCTTTTTTAATATGGCGTTATCACCCATCTTATTGTAAAAAAATGTCAATAATTTTGTTTTTTCTTTTAGTGAATTTTTTTTATAAGTGTATAAAAGTTGACATTTCAGCTAAATTTTTAATAATCCGTATACAGTCTTATACATATTTTGATTAACTGTTTACAAGATTTGTCTGGTTTTATTTAATTTTGTTTTTTTGTTGGCAGAAAGTAAAAAAAAATAATCTTTTGAAAATCTTTTGTAGCATGAAACGTTATAAAATACAAATTTTATTTTTTTTAACTTTTCCTTCAAATTTTAATTCGAAGGATCATTTTTTTTTTTTGGTGATGTAAGACTTATGTATTTCAAAATATTATAACTCTAAAGATTTAATAAATAAGTAATAATTTAAAAAACTACTTACAAAGTTTTGAAAAATAATTCAGACAATACAATTTAAATATTATAAGATTTTAAGAATATATCGATAATTTCAATACACTTTGACAAACCGTTTTGAAAACATCTAGCTGTATCTACAGGGTGATTCAAAAGTGTGGAGCCAACTGAATAGTGATAGAAGACCTTCAACTAATTATAAAAATGAATACCACATTTTTTTGTAACTCAGTTGGATGACTTTTGAACCAGCCTGTATAGAAAAAAAATGCTTTCTAGTGATCTTGTATATTCTTTGTTACTGAAGATTTTTGTTTTTTTTAGCCACTTGTTTACGGTAATACCTAATATAGGAGTAATATACAGGATGTCAGAACGTTCGCCCCAGAAAAAAAATTCAAGTAAGATAAGATACCAGAAACATGAAAAAAACGTCTAAAAATTCTATCTATCAAAAAAATTTGACATTTATTTTTAGACATTTGACTTTTTTTTTATGTCTACTTAACTGATGATCTTGTATCTATATGTTGTTTTATAATTATTTAGTAAAGGTACAAAAATTTTGACAATAAAAGCTACAAATAATATTAAACAGAGTTACAATTTAAGATACAGCTTCCTTGTTTCCTCTTTTAATAGCCTATAGCAAAAAAACTTGGAAAATTATTTTTCCAACAGAAATAAATAGTCAAAGTGCAAAATTAAATCTACCATAACTTCGAAATTTATATACATAGATAAATTTTTTTTTTAACATTTTTTCCATGTTCCTGGTATCTTACCTTACCTCTTGGGCACGAGTTTTCGCGCACTCTGTCTTAGATGAACATGTAAAAACAGTTGATTTTGAATTAAAAGTATATTAAATACGTATTTTTAGTAATAAGTATATCAAGAATATCCTCAAAAACGTATTACATTGATCTCTAATAAAATTTTATTGTATTTTGGGATAAAAAGGCAAATTTCCGCACATTATAGGTAATATCGAATTTCTAATGACATGGAATGTAAAAAAAAGGTTCAAAGTTTTCTTAATTTTGTGATTGTGTGTGTTTTTCATGTTATAATTATTAGAAGCAAGAAACTCAAAAAAAAATACACCACAGTAATTAATTAATAATAAATAATAATAAAAATTTATATAAAAAACGCTACGAACTTTATTTACCAACTTAATATGTACTGATATTAAGGTAATCAAACGTTTTATATATTACCTACTTTGGTTTTTAGGTAATAGAATACAGTGTTGAAAAACTGCAGGTTAAGCATCCTGAAAATCATTTAGTAATCGGCATAAATGTTATTTTCAAAAAGTAGTGTTTAATTTTTAGAAGTTTGATAGATGAAAATTGACCATTTTTATCCATTGGACCATTCTCTATATGTATATTTTAAATTTCAAAAGTTAATGTTTAATTTCACCATCTTTATGACTTTTTACCTCGATGTTTTAAATCTAGTCCCATTTCCTAAATCGGTGTAATACATGAAACATTCTGTTTTTTTTTTTTTGTAGAAAAATCTATATTATAGGCATCAACACCCCCAACAAAAAGCTTGGAGTTTTCGGTCCAGGCTCCACCCTAGGAGACGTGCCTCCTACATGCTGACGTCAAAATTGCGCGCGCCAGCTTCGAAATGGGTCACCTAGTGTGACCTTTGGAACGGGCTTTCGGGCAAGCTTTTAGACGCCGTACAGCTTCCAGAAGCTCCAGCCTTCGTCATGGCCAACACTTCCAACTATAAACTCAGTGCGGCTGTTTCAAATCTCAAATATGATGGTAAGTGTAATCGATTGACTTTTTTTTTTCAAAAAATTTTAAAATCTATCGCTTGTATCTTTTTTGAGAAGCAAAGAATTAATAATAATAAAGTGTTCGTTTCATTTTAATTAAAGCATAATTGCTAATTGTTGTTTTATGACGAGATGAGAAAGTGTCGGTGAGTGTGTGGCGATTAATTTCAGTTTAATGTTGCATTTTAAACTTTAACTTAGTTAAAAAAAAAATAAGAAATCCTTTTTAATGTATAACACAGACGTATTTTATTAATTTCAAGTGTTTAATAAAAAATAAAATAAAAAATACAAAATTGTATTGATTTTTTACTCAGAATGGCCGCTGAGTTACGTAAGTGTAACGTCCAAGTGTTTTTGTAAACTGCAATTTTGCAGAAGGTATTTTCACAATATGAGAAATTCAAGTTTAGTTTTAATAAAGGCAACTAATTATTTTGAAATATTAATGATATAATAATAAAATAATAAATCAGTTTTTAATTTAGATAAACTCAAAATCGCTTCAACTTTCTAATTATAATTAGAACTGTAAACACTTTTGCCTTTTACTGAAAGAAATTAAATTATGGCACTTGTTTCTCATAAATTTCAATCTTATTGACCAATCACAAAATACGCTGTTCCTTAAAAAACTTGCGACCACTACGAGTAAAATATAGAAAAAAAATCCATTTCAATTTTTTCTTTGAGATAGATTGCACAATAAAAGAAAAAATATTTAGGTATATGTTTGAAAGGAGAAGTGTTGTTAATTTTTCGATGTGTTATTTGTCGGTTTAGTTAAATATGGAGTTAGAAAAAAGTCTAGCTATAATTTTAATGGTGTGAAAAGTCAGTAATGCAAATAAATTGAAGCATTATTGGAAGCAAATATTTAGTACTGCCAAAAAAAACAGTACAGCAAATATTTTGAAGTATTAATCATAAAAGTACAATATTATTTAGCACCTCAAAGTACTATGATTATATCGTAAAAACAATACTGTCAAACAAAATTGAGAAACGGCAGAAAACTTTAAGGACTAACTTTGACACTTATGCTTCGTTAGTGCGTAAATGTGTTTCATGTTTCAGTGTTAATAGACTTTTATTTAAAAAATGCTGTAATTTTTTAGAAAAAATGTAAAATATTATTCTTAAAAAACTGAAAAATTAGATTCAGCAGTCAAATCTACAGGCTGTTCCGAAATAACCCCACATTAGAAGTATTGGGTGTTCTAATAGTGATATTTATCTAAAATTTTGAAATGTGTATCAACTTCCTTATTTTAAATAGTTTAGAGTTAATAGAGTTTTTATCAGACTTCCCTATATCTAAAATTAATCGTTTTTGAAATATTTAGACTTTTTTGATTTTTTCTTAATTTGTATCTTCTTCTCCAAAAATCGATAACTCTACCATTTTCAATTATTTTGAAATCGTATTTGGGCATACGAGAAAGGAAGGTTAGATCTGTTCTTTCGTATATTTATAATTGGAAAAACTATTAACAAACCTCCAGAATTTAAGGTTATCTTTTTTAAAACTTCAAATACCCCTAGCTGATTTTTTTCAAATGGAAGACCTCAATTTTTTCTTCACTAAATGAAAGAGAATTTAATTCTGCATTGATCTGTATCAACATTCCCTATACCTAAATTTAATGATTTGCAAGTTATTTTGACTTACTTTTACAATGGAAGAAATTCATTACTATCCATGGTAGTTTTCGCATAGTTCTCACTGAAAAAACGCAAAGTTTTTTTCGCAATTGTGTTATTCTTTTTGTAAATACAAATTAGATTTATTTAATCTAAATTGGAATAACTTTTATATTCTATTTTTGTCTTATTTCAATGCCAAACTATGCTAAAGTAGCTATGGCTAATGAATTTCTCACAATAGCAAAAAAAGTTACTATAACTTGAATACTATCAGACATAGGTATAGGGAATCTTAATACAGATCGAAGCATAACTTAGTTCTCCTCCATTCATGAAGAAAAAAATTGGGGTGTTTTATTGAGAAATATAAGTTAAGGGTATTTGAAATTTCCTAAACGTAACTTTACGTTTTGGCAGTTTGTTAATTATTTTTGCAATTATGAATACACCAAAGGAAAGATCTAACCTTTTTCTCTCGTATATCCAAATACGGTTTCAACAAAAATAAAAAAAAGTAGAGATCGATTTTTGAACAGGAAGATTCAAATTCAAAAAAATTTAAAAAGATCTAAATTTTAAAACAGTTAAACTTAGGTATAGGGAAGGCTAATAAAAACTCTCTCAAAACCACTTGAGAAAGTGAAGTTGATATCCACTTCCAGTGTAACAGGAAATGCCGCCATCTTGAAAATATTTTCATTGAGCAGAACCTAATCGATTATGGCTTTAAACAAAATTTTAGATAAATATCATTGTTAGAACTTCCCAAACTTTTAAAATGGGGTTTAACTGGAACAGCCTGTATAATAATGAGAAACAAAGAATTATTTTATTTTTATCAAATTTCTATAAATTAAATGTCTAATTTTTAATTATTTTGTGTAGTAAACTTTACTAAACAAATTTTGTTCCACCTTGTTAGAAACTACCTTGTGCTTTTTAATATACAAAACGCATTAAATTTTGCACTTTAATATAGCTGATAAGAGTAAACCGCGAGTGGAAGATGTTAGCTATCTAAAATCAAATTTTACTTAATAAAAAGGTATAAAACAAAGTAGTTTATAGTCTGCCATCAGAACACAATTACAGCATAAAATTTGAGCTTTTCTCGTGGTTGTAAAACTCGCATTCGTGGTCTTAGGTGATTAGAATTTAAAAATTGCATTAAAACAAGTGGCAAACGTAAACAAATTTAAATGAATTCTTGCTTATCACAGCTCCCCAGTGTATATATTTGGTGTTAGCGCCCCTATTTGCAAACAGTCGCTTACCCCTATGAACATATTGTCGATCGTCGTATCCCGCGTTGGGTCCCTTGTCGTGTGTCGCTTTCAGGGTGCATAAATGATTAATTAGACGGTTTAAACATCAATTAAAGGATAAAGTGCGGTCTGATTGCACCTGTGCTCGCATGCCCCTGTTCCTCTTTATTTAAACTGATTCAGATAGGATTATGCGATTTTGGTTTTGGTGTCCATCAAGCAATAGGATTTCGGATGATTGCAAGCAAGGTGTTGCAGCTCCAGAACTAAACAAAAGCCCTAATGACTTTCTCTGCTTTTGATAGAAATTCTACCCTGATGACGTTCCAGAGAATAGAATCGGCGAACTGGAAATGATCTAGAAAGGTCTTTATTCCTACAGATTTTTAATTCACGCGATGCAACGAAAATGTTTGCACGACTGCTGTAGGATTTGGAACTTATCTCTATAATGGTGCGATTTTGATAAGTTCAAAACTCGTTAGCGTTGGACGAGCTACAGAAATCTAACGAGTTAAAGGCATTATGAGATTTTAAGTCGACACGGAAATTAAACTAAACTTGAGTTGATTTTGAATATTAATTTAAGTTTGTTGTAAAAACTTTTCAACTGGTTTATTTATACAGGGTGCGCCAGAACTCGCGCCCCAGAGAAAAATACCATGTAAGTAAAGATACCAGAAACACGAAAAAAATGTTAAAAAAATTCTCTCTATAAAAATTTTGAAGTTATTACAGTTTAAATTTTGCACTTTGACTATTTATTCCTGTTGGAAAAATAATGTTCCAAGTTTTTTTGCTACAGGTTATTAGAAGACGAAACAAGGAAGCTGTATCATAAATTGTAGCTCTATTTAATGTTACTTGTGGATTTTATTGTCAAAATTTTTGTACCTTTACTAAATAACTAGAAAAAAACATATACAAGATCACCAGTATCATTAAATAAACATTCAAAAAAGATAAAATAAGAATTAATGCAAATGTAAATTAGTTTTCAGAAAAAAAAAATTGTTGGAAGGCAAAAACGCTATAAAAAATATGACTGCTTTAACTCCATTTTTTAAAAAATTAACTTTTTTGGGTTCTGCTTTTTTACTGGCAACTTATCAAAAAATGGTCTTCATCATACACCTCCACAAGCCTCAAAATTTTGTTTTTTTTTTGTTGTAACTTAAGATAAGACATGCATACCCTATACTATTGCATTCAGAAAAAAATATTTTCAATAATAGTTGTTTGCGTAACATGCCACTAAAATTGATTTTTTATCACCAATATTCTTAAATAGACCGACAAAATTTTATCACATCTTCCTAAGGATAAATGAAGACAAACTTTACCCTTTTTATGTTTATACCTTTTAGGAGCAAAACCCCCTTGATCCGTGCCACTTACGGCGTATATGAATGGTTACCACTACCTGTGCTGACACATCAGTGGCGTACGCTTTACTTCGAAAATAACTTTAATAAATTTTATTTGAAGAACGTTTAAACAAAGAATTTTTTAAATATTTTCTCCAGCATGTTCTCATTTGATACTACCAAGGATAAAATTTTGTCGGTCTATTTAAGAATCACTCTGTATTGAAAAGAATAACCATGAGTGGAAAAAACAACTTTAGTGCATTTTTTATAAAATTGCAATTCTTTAAATCGTGTTTTACGGACACTTTACAGACGATCAATGACATATGAGTCCGGAAAAGTACTTCTTTACGGCTTATTTTAGGTTAGTTTACACAAAAAATATTATTTTATAGAAAAAAGTAAATTAACTTAACTTTGTAAAACTTTATTTGGGAAATCCTGTATTAAAAAAAACAGTTGTTACAAAAATGTTTATAAATCATGAGTTTTAACAGTTATTGTTATGATTACCATAATAACAATAATGAACAGAATTCTTAATTAATTAAGAGCATGCAATTTGTTTTCCAATACACATAAACAACTTCAACATATTTATATGCATTTAATTAAGAATATTGCTTGTTACAATTGATATTCATACAAGAATGATAACCGAAAATATAACGTGTTATCGTCTATTGACAGTTAATTTATCAATACAACAGTACAGAGATTAAGTCCCGGATCGAGGCATTTGACTGATGGGCTATTAAGAGGGGCTGTAAAAGACTAAATCCACCGCAAAGGCGTCTTCGGGGAGTTTTAAGGATACTCTAGGGCTTTCGTCTAAACCCCAACCATTTTTTATAAATTCCGATTCACAAAAGCGAGATATATTCCAAACAGTTCTGAAATCACTGGACATAAATCAAAATTACAATAAGCAAACAGACAAGCGGTATTTCAATTACTATCAAGACAGTGAATAATTTTCAATTCCCGACATTCCCGTCCTTTTAGATCAAGCCTGACTGACTGGGGATCGAATCCGGCAACATCTGTTCGAAGAAGAGGCGCTGCTGTGGGGAGGAATATTGCGAAAATTCAACAGGAGGCCAGGGGTGTCTCTCAGAGGCACTAAATGTATTTGCTACCAAATTTAACAACCTTTAAGCAAATCAACTCATTTTTTTAAATAAAAACAAGAAAGAGATGTAATCGATCATTGATTAAAATTTTTATTAAGTTAAAATTTGGAACTTGTGACGGGTTTTTAAAGGGGTTGGATTGTGACGAGTCGCCTGTGACATGCGTCCCCATCTGCAGCAGGAATGCTAACCATGAAGGGAAGTTAGCTTTAATTAAAAGTCCCATAGGCCCGTTTTCAATGCTTGCACACACAACAATTTCTCGACATTTTATTTAAAAAATAACTAAGAAATGTTGATAAAGGGACCGAATCTCAAGAGTGTATTTTCGTGTTACCACAAGAGACACAGCTAAGACCGATAATTCCTCACTAAATAAACCGGGGAAGTGGGATTACACTTGAAAAATTGTGGTAGCTTTCCTGCAATTATTCAGACAAGTAGAGAACTGATTTCGGATGTATAGCATCAAGAGAAATCAACTGTGCGACAAAAGGGATCTTGTTCGAAAGAAAAATGGAAATTGGATGTCTCAGTTGGTTAAATTGAAAACTTTCTACGATAGAAAAACCAATACGTGGCCTGCGGGTCTACTAATGTGCAAACTTCACGCCACATTAGAATGTAACTGGAGCAGAAACCAAAGAATTGCACTTTTTCTTTGCTCACAAGCAGCAAGATATCGTCTTGAGCAGCCGTGATCGTCTAGTGGTTAGGACCCTACGTTGTGGCCGTAGTAACCCAGGTTCGAATCCTGGTCACGGCAAAGGCGATTTTTTTACGTCAGAATGGTATTGTTGAAATGTAACGTTATGTAACAGAGGGCTGGAATGCCACAAGTATTGATTTTAAAAGGATTTCTCCACCCATCGGGCGCAGATGGCGCCAATCAACGTTGAGTTACGTCCGAAAAATATCATTAAAGCAAAAATAACACCAAAGGCTTCTCTGGTGCATTTTAGATGAGATAATAAAAACGAATTTATTCTTTCTACGAGATGAGTTATTTTTATAGTGTGGTGTGATGGGGACTTGCTATCTGGAATAGACGTTGATGACTTGGGGTGGAGATTTTCAGATAAAACGTCGTCATACGTTACACAGATAATGTCTTGTAAAATTTAGTGTAGTAAAAATAAATTCAAAGAAATAAATAGCTCGTTTTAATTTTGAATTAAATTTTTAACTCTCTACTTATAAACTGAATGTTAATATACTTATAACGTTAAGTAAATTTAATTCAAAGTTTTAGTATAATAAAATGTAGAAAATTACTTGAACAATTCACTGAAAGAAAAGTTTGTGATTATAAAACGCTTGTAGAAAACTACACCTATTTGAACGGTGTTTAAAATAAAATTGAGTGTCAAAAACTTTTTAGATAAGAAGAGAAAATTATGAATTTTTCACAAAATGTTTAGCTTTTCAAACAATTCAATAAGAATGCACGATTTGTATTTACTTTGATTTTAAATTGACAACAAAATTTTAATCATTGTGTTCAAGTTTTTTTAAACTTGAAGTATTATTCGCAAAATTGTTAAGAAAAATTTTATAAAAAAAATTATTTATATTATTTAAAGGCTGTTTTATAAAAACACAAAAAAATGCCAAGTAAAATAAGATACCATCAGGAACATGAAAGAAATGCTAAATTTTTTTTATGTATATAATAATTATGAAAAAATATATTTATACAAGATCATCGGTAACAATAGACCTAAAAACAAAGTCAAATGTGAAAAAATAAATGGCAATAATTTTTGACAGCTAGAATTTTTTAAACATTTCTTTAAAGTTTCTGGTATCTTGCCATTTTACGTTTTTTTTTGTGTTTTTATTAAACACCCTGTACAGGGTATTCCACATAAAACTTTCGGGTCTAATATCTCTATTATTTACCAACGGATTTTTATGAAATTTAAAATGTAGGTAATTTAGGAGGTGGAGATTCAATTAGTTATAATAAAATTATTTCAAGATTTAAAAAAATAAATTTAACACATACCGTGCGATCAAATAAAAAATAAATTAGAGTAGGCGTCGATTAAACTCTACAGTTGGCAACACATTGGCTAGGAATCTGGGCTGGAAATTTTCCACACAAACTGAAAGTAAAAATGACCATCCACCGTTTTCCTCTTGTACAGCAACAAAATTTTCTGCTCTAAAGTGAACATTATTTCACTCAAAAGGAATAAAACTCAAACTTGTCAAAGTTTCCGCTGACATTTGATGTCAAAAGTCAGGATTGCCATCTGAAGGACTTTAAAATCACCGCCTACTCTAATTTATTTTTTTTTTGGTTGCACGGTATTTTCTCAATTTAAAATTAAGCGAAACGACTATATGTAGTTAGCGCTTAAGCACTAAAAAATAAACCTCCACACAAAAAAAAACTAAATCACTCGTCTGAATCAGCAGAAATACGGCGATTATGTTGTTAAAATTTTGTTCTAATTTTTTAAAGAATTTTATCAAAGTTAACTCTAAAACAATAGTTTAACGTCTCCAAGTACCATATTTGTACAACCCTGAAAACCTTTGGTAAATTAAGTTAGAACATCTTTAGAACAATTCCTACATTAATTTTTTAACTTTTTGACAGATATGCGTGACCAAAATTCAGCAATATCGCTCACTTTTTTATAGCGGCCCATGTTTTTGCATTTTCACTTTTAGCACAATTTTATTCTTTTTTCTTGTAAGCAGGAGGTTTTTCAAGGACAAATTTTTGCTTATGGCATTTTTTATTAGTCATTAAGAATTTGATATAAATTTTAACTAATTTACAATTTTTAAAGGGCATGTTAAAATCACATTTTAAAGACTATAAGATTGTTTTAGTAATGCGATATTAATCTTTACCTACTAAATACTCTACATTTTACATTTAGTCAGAATCCGCTAGCAAATAATGGAAATATTAGGTCCGAAAGGCTTAGGTGGGACAGCCCTGTATTGATTATTTTATTTTTTATTTTCCTATGTTACTTGTAAATTTTTATTATTTTTTAAAATATTAAATTAAACATAATGTACTAGATACAAAAAAAAAGTTTGTGACAACATAAAAATATAAGTAAAAAATGTTATAAATAATAAGTTTTAAATAATATTGTATTACGTGTCCTATAAACATGAGTTTAAACGCAAATAACGTCTTCGATAGCCGTGATCGTCTAGTGGTTAGGACCCTACGTTGTGGCCGTAGTAACCCAGGTTTGAATCCTGGTCACGGCAATGTGTAACATTGTCACGGTGAAGACTTTTTTTTACTTTAGTTATTTCTAATATTATTATTATATTAATGATTGTCTTTTATTTCGTTCTCAGAACAAAAATTTCCGCATTGTCCTTTGAACTACAAATTATTCAAATTATTAAAATGATATCTTGATTAAAAAATCTTGATTTTATTATATTAGATCTTGTTTTTAATTTTTTTTCATAAAATGTTTAAAAACATTATTCTTTGCACTTGTAAGATTGCGTACTAAATATGAAGTTGTTATTTGGTCGCCTTTTTATGGTAAATACACTATGATGTCAATTGAAACAGTGCATGAGAGAAAGTTTTTAAAATATCTTTGCCTACAAAAATGTTTTATTTTGCTTTTGTATAATCTCTTGCACAACAAGATAAAGTAAAGTGACCTGTCTTACATCAAGTTTGCAGTGCCACGTATAAACTTGTAGACGCATCGTTTTTTCTTTATTTCTACTGCAATAATAATAATATTTTCTTTGTACACTATACTATAATATGTGTAGTCTTTTTAAACATTGTTATGACTTTTTTGTGTCATTCTCCAAATTCAAACAGGTTAAGAGATCATTATTAGATAACTAAAAATCTTGTATTGTTCATTCTAGAGATCATTGTTAAATAAATTGTAAACAAAAACACGATTAAACCCGCCACACCAAACTTTTATTTCAAACACAACGCGTTTCAACCACAAAGTAGTCATCCTCAGGTGAAAATAAAACTTTTATTCTCACCTGAAGATGACCACTTTGTGTTTAATCGTGTTTTTCTTCATCGTTTCCATACCAAGAGGATCCAAGAAGAAGTAAATAAATTGTAGTTTTTTTACTACTTTTACTCATTATTGTTATGATTATTATTGTTTTATTATATGAATTATTTCTTGTTTTGCAGACATCCTACCCTACAAAACTCAAAACGGCACCGTCACAAATGAATTCCTCCAAAAACTCATCGAAATTCTCCTGGATTTTGTGCGAGCGACCAATGACCGCAATGAAAAAATCTTGGATTTCCACCATCCAGCAGAAATGCAAGCATTACTGGACCTCTCGATTCCTAATAAGGGGGTATCATTACAGCAGCTCATCCACGACTGCGCTACTACTCTCAAGTATCAGGTCAAAACAGGTTAGTATGTGTGTGTAGCAATAAATTTGCGTCTTTATCGAGAGGAAATGTCGCGGTGGAGTAACACGAGGGTTCTAAATTGAATCCAATCAGGGTCGTTTTGAGGCGCGAGGAGTGTAATCAAAGGACAATGAGCTGCAGAAGGCAGGACGCGTGCCTCTGAGGATACTCGATACCACGCAGTCGATGTTTGATGAAATCTTTGTTTGCTCTTAGAAACTTGTAATTCAATGATAATTCGTTATCTACCCCAGAGCAGATTGTGGTGTGAATATGAATTAATTTTCGAAGGGGACGATATACGAGTACATACCTACCCCACACAAATCAGCACTGATAACTTATTTTTTAACTTTCCGAACGCATCTGCTATATTCACATTGTTTATTAACCGTTTCTGACAAAGAGAAACTTGCTAAGCCATGAAAACAAAGGAAATACCTATACAAACTAAATGACGTTTTTTGCATTAAAGCTTGTTGGATCAAATTTTTATGTAAATCCCTAAAAAATAATAATATATGTATACAGGGTGTTCCGTTTTTATTGTTACAAACTTAAACAGGTGATAGAATATTCAATTTTAAGACAAAAGTATCCTATGAACATGTATCAAAAAATGTTACGTAAGCGAGCTACACCCCCTGAAAGAAATGCGTTTGTAATAGGGTTTTCCCACTATTGCAAAATAGATTAAATTACAAGAGTTGGTACAGCTGATTATTTTTAAACACCTGAATGAATTTAAAGATTAATTGTCGAAATTTTTAATCACGGGTTTCTTAAACGGTGATACAAATTTAATTTTTAATTTTTATCCTTTTTATGGTCTGTAAGATAAATTGTAAACTGATTTTACTCAAAAACGGTAAGTTTTATCGAAAAAACGCAAAAGACCTCTTTTTTGTGAAAAACTATCTAATTTAGAATTTTGTGGCTGAAAGTGGCAAAAACCAACCGCCAAAATAGTTAGCATACTTTTTACCCTAAACCCCCCAGTTTCGGACGCCCCTGGGTAAAAATTTCGACATTTTATCTTTGAATTCATTTGGGTGTATAAAGGTTATCAGTTGTACCAAATTTTGTAATTTTATCCAAGATGGTTTCTGAAATATTGGAAAAAATATATTAAAAGATGCAAAATTTTTCGATATATGTTTATAGTAAACTTTTATCTTAAAATTGAATATTCTATCACCTGGTTAAATTTGTAACAATCTATGTATGTAACAATAAAAGTGTATATACATACGTATAATGGGTATGTACAGGGCCATTCACATAAAATGACGTTAATTCTGAAAAACCTGCTATGTGCAAAATGAGTAATTTGTCAGAAAATAATAAAAAACAGTTTCAAAACTCAGTCCTAATAATAATTAATTTGATTTTTGTATAATTAAAATCTTCTCAGAACAAATCATATATTACCATTATGTACAACTAAAAATTGGTATAGAAAAATTTAGAAAGAATTTTTTTGTGGTAATTGTATTGCTTTAAAAAGGTATACCTACCTTCATGATTGATTTGTCTAATTTTTTGTTTGAACACCCGTTGAAAATTCAATTTATTATTTAACACAAACTCAGTATTAAGTGGTAAGTGTAAATACACCACAATTGATTCACTCTGTGTAATAATAGATCGGGAATACTGTGGCGTATTATAGCAGAAACCTATGAAGACCGCGCGCTTGGGGCGCAAAGGTTTCAAGAGGCGCAAAATTTTGAGAAAGATTTTTTTTCTTTAAAAAAAAATAATAAAACCGTATTTGTCGGAGCAAAATAAATTCACGGTCATTATTTTTTCTTAGAACAATGTTCGCTCACAATCCCACAAAATCACAAGGGTTTCTCGAATTTTGACTTAGAAAGCAATTATAACCTGTTTGTGGAAGATAATACTAGAGTATAGTAAACAGGTTCAATGAGCAAGTGAACCAAAAACTTCAGGCTGTGAATATTGATCCTGCAAGCACTCAAATTGTGTGATAATGCAAGTTACCACTATGTTAGTAGAAAAAGGAAGAAGAGATTGAAGCAATTAGATGAGACCGAGACGTTGAATCCAACGGAAAAGAGCTTTCCAAGAGGACAGAGTCGTATTTAGAGATTAATGAAGAATAAGAATTCGGATTTTTGAGCTCCTTTCCAGCTATCACCACGGAGGAAATCAGCAGTTATTGTTTAAATTGTAAATCATCCCCCGTTTTTTTTCTATTTTTTAATTATGTATTATTAACTAATTTCTATAAATAAACAATACGCGTTTATTAAGTAACAATTTTATAATCAATTTGATACTCACCATTACCATTAACAAAATTAATAAAAAACGGAAAAGAAGAGAATGCTATGTCAAACACTAATATGTAAAAAAGTGTTAGTGAAACAGAAAAAAAAAATAATGCGGGGAACGACCGAAATTTTCTTAGGGCTTTGGGCGCCAAATTGGGTTAAAACGCTACTGCGCGGATATGTTACAAAAAGAATTTTTTATGTTCAAAATCACGAGTCGAACATAAGGCGACTAGTTAAAATGCTTTACGACGAGTAGTTTACGACATATTGAGTTATTTTAAAGGTTATTGACATAATATCTGAAAATTAACAAAAGTGCCTCAAAACGTCTAGGGAATCCGACTTCGCAAACCGCTTTAAGGTACGCCGATTGTTTTCGAATCATATACAGTTGTCCAAGAAATTAATAGAACGAAAATATTTCCTAAGTTTTTTGATAATTTTTGAATATTTCAGTGAAAAATGGTCGAATCTAGATTGTAGATTAAAAAAAAAGTGAAAACAAATTTAATTTTTTTTATTTTGATAAAGCTTACTGTAACTTTTTACTTTTGTAAAACTTTGATCAATCGGCCCGAGAAACGTTTTGATTTAAAAATGTACATTAAACATTGATCTTCTCATCAATATTTGTGGATACGCGGTAGATTTACTAAATAAACGAAAAAAGTTACTTTTTGTTGTTTTTCAAATCAATGTTGAGAGAGAATTTTTTTTTCAAAAAATCGTAAAAGAATCTTGTTGGATGTTTATTCCAGTTTTTGAAACTATCCTTACATTCTCTGTGTGGCCATATTGGTTGCTGAGACATGAGATATCGATGATCAAAGACAAAAGGATACTTTTTCATTAAAAGTTAGATATCTCAGCGACAATTTAACATAAAAAGAATATAAAAACCATATTAAAGCTGGATAAACAGGTTATCCGGCACATGCATTGATTTAACTAAAAAAAATCCTCAAGTCCATAGACTAAAAATAAATAAAATTATAATTTTTTGTTGTCCTATTTCTTAGGATTGCGTGATGATCGTAGAACAGAGTATTTTTTGTTAAAAGATCTCACAACGAGCTTGAAGCGTCAAAATATTTTTTTATTATACCTGCATCATAATCCTAAATTAAAACACGCTGCAGCGTGCGTAATTTAGCCTTTATAGCACGCTGAAATTTTAAAGTTGTCTAGGTAACAAGAAATAGTGAAATGTCTGGACCAATTACAACGTGAAAAAATGTGCTTAACAATGTAAACTAGTAACCGTCTCTACGAAAACTATTCACAAACAACCTTTGATAATTTTATTGTGTAAATTCACACTTTTGCAATGCTCATATAAGATTGTAAATGGGCAGGTATAATAAAAAATAGCGTATAACACTCGTTTATAAGCGCCTTTAAAACACTTACGACGTTAAAAGCACTCCGCTGACGCGTCGTGCTCTTAAACCCGTCGTGCGTGTTTTAAAGGCTTGCTTATAAACTATTATTATAATATACTATTTTTTTTATCTAAAGACGACCATTTTTCACTGAGATACAGCCTTTCAAAAATTATCAAAAAGTTTAAACAATATCAAAAAATAGAAAAATTAAGTAATTTTAAACATAAAAAAAGCTGAGAATTTAATCTATTGTGTTTTACTACTTAAAATAGGTTAAGATCGTGTTAGTTGCAACAGATTCAAAAAACAAAAACAAAAACAGGTAGAAATTTGGTGTAAATTTTTTCGCAAGTAACCCCTCGAATTATCTCAGATAATTATGGCGCATCGTTTTTTTCCAATCTCACCCCCAAATCTGCATCCAACGATAAACGTCCGCATCCATAAAAAAAAGACATGAATTAGGTCCCAGGTTGATGGTGGAAAACGGATATCACGTTAAGCCTTGTAAGCTGCGGATTGCAGACGTCCCTCGTCTGTCACAACTATTGCCCTAAAGCCCATCTTCATTCAATTCCATACACTACACACATCAGCAATGTCAAGATAGAGCAAAGCAAACAGATGCTTTTGACACGTATATGAAGGTCGCTTTACTTTTGTTAAAACAGCTTTTGTTGTTCTTATCACCACCATCGCCCGTATGACATCTTTATCCCATCTTTCTGAAATTAATTAAAACAATTTACAGCAAGTCACAATAAAAATAAAGCTTTTATTACGATAATTAAGGAATTATCCTTAAAAAGAAAAGGGAAGGTTGAGTGGCAGGAGTCGGACTCTTACTGCACTAATCTCTGTCTGAATGCGACTGGAATCATGTCCATCGGCTCGGAAAATAACACGCAACAGAAAGCGGAGGGTACAGACATATCTCCAACATACGTTTTTTACTTTTAATATTTAGAAATCCATACCTAGCTGATCAAACCAAAGTTTTAGAGTACTCCTAGTTTTTTATTTATTTATCATTTATTCTTATTCGTTAGGTAAATTGTTATAAATTTGTGTTACTCGCAGGATGAAGAAAGGAACTCGATGTTTTTCTGTTTACTTCTACCGGGTGGGGCATCGGTTACGCGCACTTGATAAATCGCGACTTCAAATTAATTAAAACTGTCGATATTTCATATACCTAACTAATCATTCATAGGGTATAATTTGAGAATTTTTCTATTTTTTTTGGATAATAAATAAGTCCGTAACAGTTTTGTGTGTTTTATGAATTCTTTCTGTTAATTTACCGATAAAGTTTTTACACTAAATGAATCTGTACCTGTCAGCGCATCAAACTTTGATATCACAATTTCAAATTTTGACTTGGTTAGCCAAATAATCGCTTTTTTTATTTAAACACAAACCAGACCCGTGATTTATGACAAAATGGAATAATTTGCCAACAAAAGAATCATTTACTGGTAGCCGACCGCTTTAAAAGGTCTTTTTGTTGTAAACCTTGGAATCTTACCCCAATACGAGCTATTAGACCTGACGTCACAGACGCGACTGTACTGCAGCTAAACATACAGTGTTGCCAGTTGTGATACTAGAGTACCAAATTGATACTAGATTTTTTTACTAGATATTTATATTTACTTGTAAACAAATAATAATTTATATTCTCAGCCAAATACACATTATGTGAATGTTAATATATTTTATTGTATTTTGTTTTGGTACGACCTATCCACTCCTGTCGTTTGCAACATTCTGGCAATGCTGTAAACATATTTTTGACGTACACAGAAAGTGAGGTTAGAACAGATTAAATTACAGAAATGTTGATTACAATTGTTAAAACCATTACGAAACGACACACATTTTTCATAGCAACTATTTCCTTAGAAACAATCTCCCTACACGTCCAGGATTCAAGAAATAAACTTTTATTTGTTTAGCTTCAAAGGTACAGTCACGTACCTTGCTGACGTCACACTAATAGCGCGTATTGCAGTTCCCTATTGTCACCTAAATTTACGATGGCATAAGTAGCAGGTCATAAATAAAAATGATTTTCAAAGTTAAGATGGAAAATTGCGTTTAATTCAAAATCTAATTGGTATTTTTTTTCTAATTTTCTAAACAATTGTAGGAAGTGAATCTGCGTAGGTCAGTATAAAAATTAGAATTAAATCTTTTGGGAGAAAACTACTTTTTATTTTTTTTGACTTTGTGAATGAAAAATTACCAAAAAATTAGAGAATGTACCTTACTAATGCCCAGGTAAGTGTGAAAAAATTCAACAATTTTAATTAATTAGAAGAGGGGATTTTCTTTTTGGGCGTAACGGATGCCCCATCCGGTATATTCAGGTTCTATGTATAGTATAGATCTAGAAATATTTGGAAACAGAGTTAATCAATTTATAAGTGTCATTAGTTATCACCTTCTGGTAAACTACAAATGGCCTGCTACCAAGCTTACTCCTCATAAAAATATCATAAACAATTCTCTTCTCAATACAATGAAGTGCAAAATTTTGACCTGCGGTGTTGAATTTCGACATATTTATGGTAAGGGTATTATTTACGTCCCGCTGTGAGAGCAATAAAAGTACTTGACTCTGTTTCAAAATATTTCTAGACCTACTACATTTAGAATGTCTTATAGAACTCGAGTTATGTTAGAGTTCAAAGGAACATAAATATAAATTCAAATAATTAGTTATCACTGTTATCAGTAAAAGTACATAAAATTTGTATATAAATTGACGTAATTATTAGAAGATGTAACATTGTAATACCGAATCTTTGTCTGTTCGAATAAAGATTTTGTTTTTAAAAATTCATAATAATTTCCAAGTTATATAAGTCTCGAGCCCCAGAGAAAAATGTCATGTAAGATATTCGGAACATGTTTAAAAAATTCTATCTGCCCAAAAATTTTGACATTTGACATTTTTTTAATGTTTTCTTAATGATACTGATGTTCTTGTATTTTTTTTTTATAATTATTTAGTAAAAGTACAGAAATTTTGTCAATAAAAGCCACAAATAACATTAAACAGACTTAGGTACAATTTAGAATTCAGCTTCCTTGTTTCCTCTTCTAATAGCCTGTAGCAGAAAAAATATTTTTCCAACAGAAACAAATAGAGTCAAAGTGCAAAATTTAAACTCGCATAACTTCTAAATTTTAGTAGATAGAATTTTTTTACCATCTTTTTCATGTTCCTGATATTCTCCATTCACGAAGCTTTTGCCCCTAAGCAATATAACAAAGCCGAGGATGACAGGTACCAGTGCACCCAAAACATTTAGCCCTCGATTTGGGATGGGTGACGACACTTCTTCATCCGAAGAATATTCTCATACATAATTATTATTAACCGTAGGATATTAGGTACATGTATAGTATTTTTATTATTTCATTTTATAAAACAAATATTTGTTAAATATTTTTAAATACATTCCAATAACTTTTGAGTCGTTACATTTTTGTTACCACTGATCCGGAATTCTGCTTCTCATTTGAAAGTTTTACGTCACTATCTTCCTCTTACTCCAACAACATACAGTGACATGGAAAAACAAGAATAGACATATTGAGTAGGTACCGAAAACCCTCGATTTTCACAACAAAAGAAACAGGCAGGAGCGTTCGGTTTGAGGGTGTTTATGAAGATTTGCAAGGAGTACGTACGGTTTATGGCTTAGCGGCAACAGCTTCGTGAATGGATAATATCTTACCTTACACGGTATTTTTTCAGGAACGCGAGTTCTGACGCACCCTGTATACATATATTTTCAAGGGCTAACTTAACCTCGATTTGGAATCGACCGCCACCCCAAAGTGAGAGATAGAATAGAAATTAACAAAATTCTTAACAATTTGAAAAATCATGTTATTAAATTTGAATTTGAAAATTAAAGATCTCAAAGTAACAGGTTGTTAAATTTGAAAAAAAATAGACCACTGTCGTGGCATGAAGTACATTTCGGCGTCGGTCGCAGCTTAGTCCACACTCGGTGCACCCTTCAATATAAACAGCGAAGTTTGCACCCCGTCGAAGTGGTGTAATTAAGGGCACTCAAAGCGCCCCCGGCTTTATCCGTGCCCTAGTCAGTGTCCCACGCCGGATTAAAACCACCCTTGCCCATCCCTCCGAAAAGCGCAAGAATGCGATGTTTAATAGTTTCGGGCCAGATTCCTGCAATAGATTTTATTATTTCGACTTGTGTTCCACGTCATCGCAAATTCCAATTACGCAGAATAATTAATTGATATAAAGTGCCACCAATTAGATCACAAGTACCTACATATGTTGCTAATGAACAAGTGTGATTGTTTACTGAACGTACTTGTATGAAAATATGTTTTGAGGACGACGAAAGCTCCTTTTTGTGATATTATACAGAATTGTGTAGTAATTCTTATCATCAATCTGCTATTATTTCGGACTATTGCTCAGAATAATTGAATGTCACTGAACTTGAAACAAAGATGTTATTTGCGGATCATGCACACCCTTCATCGGCGACACGTGACCTATTGGATTAGGGTTAATCCTACAATCAAACGACTCACTGAAACAGAAACATTTTAGTCACTTTTTCAAAGTTTCAGTTTTAATTGAAGTTCCAATGCATTCTTCATAATTTTTCAGGTGATAAAAAACTAGACAAAAATGCATTATTTAACGAGAATTTTAATTCTAAAGTAAACTAAACTAGTACTTATATTAAACAAAACTAGTATTAATGTATAAAAAAATTGGACTAATCGAATACTTTAGAATCGATTTTCGTTATCAAAAAAAGGCTTAAAGAAAGGTTTTTTTTAAAGTTAGGTATAATGTATGAATACCTGAAAAGTGATGGTTGAACAATTAGCTCTAGGTCGTGAAATCGTTCGAAATATTTTTACTGTCCTTATTGTATTGTAATCGGCGAAAATTTGACCTACATATTTTTACATTTCTGGGCTTCAAGACAAGAGCTCTAGAAATTTAAAATTTTGTATGTAAGTTACTTGTAGCGAGGGGACGTGGCAGAAAATGATTGGTAAAAATCGGTCGCACCATCCAAAAGTCGGCCATAAAGCAGGCGCAAAATTATACGCTTAAAGATACAATAAATGTAAGGGGATACAAATTATTTAGAAGCATGAAATATACTTTATTAAATAGTAAAATGTGATAAAACAATAATAATAATGGGTACCGAAGTAAAAATAAAATGCACCCCAGACTCGACCGCCCATGACAACTATGATCTATTTCGCGTGTAATCTGGCAGGTAGCATTAACGCAAGGTTAGGTTTGCTACTCGGATTTCCAACACTAAATTATTGTCGTTAGGATGTTTTCCAAATAAGGATAAGGATAAGGAAAGTCGTGTGATGTTCACACCAGATTTTTTCTATGTAAAATCTCGGACTGGTGATCTACAGGTTAAAATGATCTACAAGTAATTTTCGAAATGTCGAGATATGTTGAGCGTTTTGGAGCTCTGATCAGAAAATGATACATCGATTTATTGAGTGCCCGCACGCGGAGCGCCCAGAAATCGATAATATGAATATGAAACATATTGAGTGAACAGCAAATTATTTTTATGTAGGACGATTAGTTGTCGAGTTATGATTTTTTTATATTCTTTTATATTATATTATTTTATATTATTTTATATTTACATTATATTATATTATATTATTACCAAAAAGTCGAAAAACTAAAACTATAATTCCGAATGTTCGCCTCTCGATTGATTAATTAATTAATTTTGGGCGACAATCTTTTTTTTTTAATAAATTAAAATTCCATTCTAGCGGTAGGTATTAAATACAGGGTGTTTGTGGATTGCGAGCAAATATTTTAACCACTAAGAGAATTTGTTATGAAAAGTCGAATTGAAGACCAAACAAATTCCGTATCCAAATTTTATTTTTGCAATTTCCTCCTATGATTTTCACGAGACGTTCAGTGTCTCTGTCCTTGTTAGTTGGAAGTAAAAATATCAATGAAAATAAATTGCTTTGAATGTTGACCGTGAAAGTTTTTATACAGAAAAAAGGAAACTTTTTGTCCAAATAAATTATCACTTGTTTACACGTGTCAGTTTAGTTAGTCGTTAATGCGCCTTCGGATGAATTGTGCACATCGATTTGAAATCAAATTGTCAATCAAGTCATTATGGCCAACTACTCAAACGCCAAATTAACTAGTGTACGGACATCGCACTTCCAAGACCGATTTTCACTAAATGTTTGGGCAGGGATCATTGAAGATCACCACATTGGACCCCACATATTACCTCAACGTTTAACTAGTGCCGTTTATCTGGATTTTTTGGAAAATGTGTTGTCCGATCTTTTGGAGGACGTGCCCTTGACGACACATGCGGTATTTACAAGTGGAGCTCCATCAGATAATGCCAAAGTCGTCACCAATGGATTGAACAGTCATTTTCACTAGAGATGGATTCGTCGCCAATGTCCACCGCGGTCACCAGATTTAAATTCATATGCTTTTTTGGGGGTTCACATGAAACAATTAGTGAAATAGTGTACGCAGCTCAAATTTATACCTTCAAAGGGCTGTGTGTGCGAACGCAAGCTTCCCTAGCCCAAAGTGTTCAAGAAGTGTGCATTGCCAACAAATGACCACATTTCGAGCAATTTTTTATAATAGCAAGTATTGACCCACTAACATTGACACTGATCTACCCTAATGTAGCGATAATTTTTTTGTCTTTACGCTGTTTATGTTCCAAAGTTTTATCTTATGAATGATTGTAAACATCGTATTAAGACATAGGCGAGGACGGATTTTCAGCCTCAATTTATTTTTAATTTTAACTCAGAAATGACGTGCTTTCGATAAAAGTTGTAATAACGAAAGTTGTTTCTTTTCACGAGTCCTATTAGTGGTTAAAATATTTGCTCGCAATCCTCAAACACCCTGTATAAGCGGTTACGATTGGTAGTTTTGGATTTATGGAGTATGTATTAGCTCAAAATTTTGAATGGAAGAAAAATAAAAAATTACTAACTTCTCAGCTCCAAATGTGTTTTTGTACTCTTATACAGGTTCTACCAAAAAGGTGTTAAATAAAAATTATATCGGAAACCAATCATTTTAACATGCATAAAAAGCATTTTGCAAAATCATCGCAAAATAAGTTTTAGCGAAATAATTTTGTTCCAGGACATCCAAGATTTTTCAACCAACTTTCTTGTGGATTAGATTTAATCTCGATGGCAGGCGAATGGCTAACAGCTACAGCTAATACCAACATGTTCACTTATGAAATCGCTCCTGTTTTCATCTTGATGGAAACCGTCGTCATGACACATATGAGAGAGATTATCGGAAGTAACTGGGTGAACGGTGACTCAATTCTTGCTCCAGGTAAATAAAGCAGTTTTTTCATCGACTTGCTATAAAAATGTGCACCGTAATCGTGAGCTTAGCAAAATTTTATTTCGCTAGAATTTTTAATTAATTTGTGTTTCATCCGCCCGTGCCGGATTAAAAGCATAAACATGCAAATCTGATCACTCCAAGCGTCAATAAGTAAGAAAATTTGTAATTTAAATTGTGGGAATTAATTCGGTTAGCAGATGGTGCCACTTTATATATGACGACTGCAATTTACTGCAGCTTTAAAATTTCATAGACGATTTATCAATTTATTAAAGACTTGGTTATTCTGCACTTATTTATTTCTATTCCAGGCGGTTCAATATCCAACCTGTACGCCTTTCTAGCAGCTCGACACAAGATGTTTCCCAATTATAAAGAAAAAGGGATAGCCACTATACAAGGACAACTTGTTATGTACACTTCAGATCAAGTGAGTAACAAAAAAAAAACGGACGGTTAGAATATTTTGACGAATAAAACACTGTATTATTAAAATTACAATATTGGTTATAAAACCAATTTTATTTTTTTTCGAAATTCTGTAATAATAGTACAGAATACACAAAGAATAGTACCATAATACACAAATTGATGATTTTTTTTCAGTAGGTATCTGTTCAATGTTGCAAGATCTGCCCTTTCAGCTAATTAAATTATAGAATACATTATTTGAACGGCCAAAATTTAACCTTTGAAGAGCTAGTTCTCCTGAAAACAGGCTCAAACTATTTTTTATCATGAGAACTTTTAATTCAGTTGTATGTTCACTGACGGACAATAAAATCCAGTAGGTACACTATTTTTTGCTGGTTAAGTAGGCATTAGCATGATATAAACTTTGTCAATGTCAAATAGTTAAAATGCCAAAATTGAAAAGAAACAAAAATATACTGTCTAAATTGGAGGAGGGCTATAGCAAAAAGCAGTTGCAAACTAATAGAATTTGAACAAGAGCACAATTTTAAGAGTAAAGAAAAGATGGAAACAAGAAGAAATAACCTCTTTTTTAAAAATACAGGGTGTTTCACATAATTTTACGAGGCCTGCGCCTGTAAGATGCAATCAATAATAGGTACATATTCCGATACCAACTCGATAACAAATTTTGAAAAATTGCATAGTCTTCTCTAGTTTGTTCACCCTTTCAAAATTTACAACATTTTTAGTTAGTTAGTGATTAAGATAGGTAAACTAGAATCATATTCATGCCGTCTCTTGATAGAACAAATGATAATTTTTTCTGAAAAACTGCAGTTTATGACCTTTAATGAAACAGTGATTAGTTTGACAACTACTGTCATGGGTTTCCAAAGAATACATAATTAAATGTGTATTTCTTGTATCTAGTGTTTTCTGACTTTTGTATATTTGGGTGCGTACATTAGGCGCAAGCCTCGTAAAGTTGTGTGAAACACCCTGTACGTTGAAATTTCAAAGAAGACAAATTTACGCATTGAAAAAGTTAGAAAAAAACGTGTTACTTGATATTTACAGTGTACGGGAGTACAGACTTTCTGAAAAAAAATTAGATTTTTTTAAATTGAAATAAACAGAAACTAGATAAAATAAATTAAAGCTCATCAAAAGCTTCTGTTTTAATAGTACAAAGAAAAAACGTTATTGTGAATCTAAGTATGTAAAATAAAGAAAAATTCCAAGGAACTAAACTTTATTCCAGAAAAGTATAACATATCTTATTTTCCAACTTCAATAACTTGTAGTTTTTAAACAAAAAAATTAATTATCAAATTAATTTTTATCCATATTAAATATGTAAAATTCTAAACAAATAGTTTGACGTTTGTGTGGAATTCTAAAAGAGTAACTTGAAAAATTGTGATAGAGTGTACTTTTGCATTTTCTTCACTTTTCTCTTGTACGAAGTGATCTATGATCTATGATCTATGTACAGAGTGTTTTCTTCACATTACAAAAAATTGTAACCACATATTTTATATTTTACATCTAAAAGTAACACCAATAAAAAAAAATAAAAGAAAACTTAAAATAAAGTAATTGCCGGAAAATAAGCGTTTTCAATTGTTCACAAAGTGTGTAAAATGTTATTAAAGGTTTCAGAGGAAGTTCTAATAAATTTTAATTTTTATCATGAAACTCTATGTAGTGTGTATTTGTATTTCTGTAATGAAGCTTTATGGGACAATTGTTTATTTGACAAAACAGTGTTATTTTTCGAATTAGAATTTGTGGTTGCAATTTTCGCACTATTAAGAAAGCACCCAGTATAGGTTTAATGATAAAGCCTAAATACCTATTCAGTTAAATATTAAAAATTAATTGTTTTATCTTGAAGTGTTTGTAAACCACAAGCAAGCTTTTTGACAGTGTAACATTGGCAAATATTTCCGTTTCAGCCTGTGCAACACCCTGCCGAAAATGATTGATATTTTTCCTCTTTCAGAGTCACTATTCCGTGAAATCCTGCGCTTCAATTTGCGGTTTAGGTACCGACAATTGTTTAATGGTGCCTTCAGACATTCACGGTCGTATGATTCCATCAGAATTGGAACGTCTGATCCTTGATAGAAAAACCAAGGGTCACATTCCCTTCTTCGTTTGTTGTACTTCCGGAACGACCGTGTTGGGGGCTTTCGATCCGATCAACGAAATCGCCGATATTTGCGAAAAATACGGCATGTGGCTACACGTTGATGTATAAACACTAATTGTTTTTCCAAAAAATTAGACTAAATTGGTTGGTTTTAGGCCGCTTGGGGCGGCGGTCTGCTCTTGTCCAAAAAATACCGCCATCCAAGACTAACTGGAGTTGAACGGTGAGATGAATAATTCCGTAGTTATAATTCTGAAGCTAAGTTGTTAAGCTCTCCTTCGTAGCCATAAATTAACCGCGTAACACCTAAATTAATTGAACCTTTTTTCGGCTCTGCTCTTAATTGCATCAACATTAATCTAGAAACTAAAAGCTGTTCCATTATTTAACCTCTCCACAACAAGAGTTTCATTTTTCGTCGCTCAGTTTTTCTTACTTGAAATTATTTTTTTCAAAAAATTGATCGCCGACTGTTCGTTCTCCTTTAATAAAAAGCGTCCCCTTAGAGAGCAAAAGCTTGTCAGGATTTCGTTCTGAATGTAATCCTTGATTATTTGAGAATCTGCCAGATGGTGTCGCTTAAAACAATGGCAAGAGTTATTTGTTCCCATTGGAAATTCCAGATATAATTTTTTCTCGAATTTGCTTAATTTGTTAGTGAGTGAATGTGGCGGATTTATCGCTTATCAAAGTCAATTTGAGTGTTTCACCCTCGACTCCACCGACACTTTGACGGAGGAGAAAAGTGTTTTTAAACCCATAAGTAGTTTTGATGCAAATTGAGGCGCATTTTAGGGCTTATCAGTGGCTTTATGGGAGGGACTCTATCGATTTTATAGACAGTTCGCCAGCCTAAAAGAATTGATAGGTAGTGCGAATACGCAGTGTGAATCTAAAATACAAAAATGGAAATTTTTACTAAGTTATTTCATAAAACATAATTTCCTACCACTCGTTTATTTAATTATTAAGTTTTAGGGATTATGTACAAACACTCAAAAATACAGTTTTCTTTCAAAACATTAAGGGTTAGAAATATTTTTAGCTTTAGTTAATGGAAATAAGAAAATTAACAAGTAATTAAAAATTTCATGCGAATCTATTTCTTTTTGATTAAAAGAAAGAAAAATTATTCATTTTCCTAAAACACATATAGATGTTTACGGTTTAGTAAATCAATTTAAAATAAAGAAACCACTTATTATTCTCACAAAAAATAAACATAAATATATCTAAACCCCATACAGGGTGCACCAGAATTCGCGCCCCAGAAAAAAATGACATGTAAGGTAAGGTACCAGAAACTTGGAAAAAATGTTAAAAAAAATTTATCTCTAAAAATTTCGAAGTTATGAGAGTTTAAATTTTGCACTTTGTCTCTGTTTCTGTTGAAAAAATAATTTTCCAAGTTTTTTTGCTACAGGCTATTGAAGAGGCAACAAGGGAGCTGTATCAAATTGTAACTCTGTTTAATTAATTTTTTTTACCTTTACTTGATAATTATAAAAAAACATACAGAGTGCGCCAGAACTCGCGCCCCAGATAAAAATACCTTGTGAGCTGAGAGAGCAGAAACATGGAAGAAATGTTAAAAAAATTCTATCTACAAAAATTTCTTTTGAGAGTTTAAATTTTGCACTTTGACTCTACTTATTTCTGTTGGAAACATACTTTTTCATGTTTTTTTGCTACAAGCTATTAGAAGAGGAAACAAGAAAACTGTAGCCTAAACTGTAACTCTGTTTGATGTTATTTGTCGTCTTTCATTGGCAAATTTTTTGTACCTTTACTAACTAATTATAAAAAAACATATACAAGATCATCAGTATTATTAAATAGACATAAACAATGTCAAATGTCAAAAAATAAATGTAAAAATTTTTTGAAAGATAGAATTTTTTTCATGGGCCTGGTAAAGATACCAGGTAAGATAAGAATCTTACTTGCAATTTTTCTCTGGGGCGTGAGTTCTGACACACCTTGTATAATTTACATACAAGATGAATATTAAGTATGGAACCAAACGGTTTTTTTGAACTCATTTATTTCCAAATAATAATGATTAATATAAATTATAGTAATAAGTAATATAAAAAATGTGATCGTATTTTGAGAAGAAGATTTTGTTTTTGTTTTTGTGTTATGCGATTTTTTTGTCAAAATTGCATTTTAATTTTTTTTAAATGAATATAAAGTAGATAGTTGTGATCCATAACCTTCATGAGAAAAATGATTTTATACTGGGTTGTCATTTAAAAAAATTAAAAATTTTGTAGAACTCAAAAAAAGAAAATTTCGAAAAATTTTATTCTTGATCAAACATCACATTTTTATAGTACATTGTCATTCATCAATTATTTTTTTCAAAAATTAAATAGTTTAGACAAAAAAACGTTTAGTTCCATACTTTTTATTTACCTGGTATGTATTTAAATAATCATTTCACTGAAAAATATCAAAAATCTTATATTTCTAATAAATCCTACTAAAATTCCAATGAAACAAAGAAAATTAAGCTTATAATCCTTCTGTTATTTTTTCAATTATTCTTAAAACACAAATCTTCTTCATTCTCATTGCAATTATTGATCTTTACGGTAATTTTATTTAATATCATTTTCAGTATTATTTCTTCATTAAACTAAACATTTGTTGCATTAATTTGACAACGATATGAAATTCCAGGGCCGATTCAGTGACATGGAATCCTCACAAACTGATGGGCGCACTATTACAGTGTTCCACCATCCATTTCAAAGAAGACGTAAGTCCCTTCTGACACATTGTAACTTAAACATTATACATATTCGATTATTCCAGGGATTACTAATGAGTTGTAACCAGATGTCAGCAGATTATCTTTTCATGCAGGATAAACTCTATGATATCAAGTATGACACTGGCGATAAAGTCATTCAGTGCGGTCGTCATAATGACATTTTCAAATTATGGTTGCAATGGAGGGCTAAGGTAGTAACACTTTATTTGTTTTTTTTTTGGTAGTTTGAGAAAGTAAAAAAAAAAGTGTTCCCCAGGTGAGGCTCGAACTCACAACCCCGGCATTGCTCACGACTACTGTCTTATAAGTACCGTGCGCTAACCAATTGCGCCACTGGGGATGTGCAAACATTTCTTCATAGAACCCGTTTTGAAGAACAGTGGTACAATTAAAAATTTATATTCACATTTTTTATAAAAATATAAAAAAAATGATACTTACTTTTAAACAAACATGAAAAATGTATTGCCATTCAACAAATTCTCTTAATTACAATAGCGTTACATTTAATTTTTTAATTAAACTTTGAAATACAGGGTGATTCATCGGGACTTCCTCCAATTATACTTAAAATCGAGAAAACATATTTTTTAATACATAAACTGTTGTTTTAGGGCGACGAAGGCTTTGAAAAACACATGGATAGATTGATGGAACTGTCCGAGTACATGGTAAAACGGATCAAAGAACAAAGCGATAAATTTTATTTGATCATGGAACCAGAATTGGTGAACGTTAGTTTTTGGTACATTCCGACACGTCTCCGCAAGGTGCCACATTCACCAACACGAGAACAAGAACTAGGAAAAGTAAAATTAAAGCCAAATATAGTGAAAAATTCTAAAAAAAAATTTCAGTTGTGTCCTATATTGAAAGCACGAATGATGCAAACTGGTACACTCATGGTAGGCTATCAACCAGATGACAGGAGGCCAAACTTTTTCCGAAATATCATCTCTTCAGCTGCTGTTACTGAAAGCGACGTCGACTTCCTCCTGTCAGAGATGGACCGACTTGGGCACGACTTGTAAACTACTCATTTGTTGAACAGTATGTTTTTGTTTTCGTTCGTTTGTTGTAAAATATTACAAAACTTATTATTCATGTTGTTCATATCTACTCTAGTAAAATTTTCTCTCAAATTATGATAGTTCAATATTAGGTAGTAGAAAAATATACAAACATATCGAGTTTTTGATCATTTTTCATAGGTAGAAACGGCCAAAACCCTTTTTTTATTAGTAGTAAAATATACTATTTCTTATCTTATCATAAAACTAATAAATCGTATTTAGTCACATACTCGTATTAATGTTAATTAATAATAACACACTTTTGTGTTGAGTTAGATTATAAAAAACCTTGAAAGGTCAATTATCAATTTACGTTTAATTGAAAGTCAATTAAATACATTGGACCGTATGAATAAAGTTAAGTAAATGCTTCTACTTGTAATAGTAAAAGATAGACGTAACTTACATTTTATAGGAAAAAAAGAGACAAAACTATAGCAAAAGCCTTTGCTACTTTTTATTCATACTACCCATTGTTAATTAAATCATTCGTTTAAAATAGGTAAACCTAGGAATAGAAAATTAGATGCAAAATTACTTTATGCTATTGTTATGCAAATATACCAAAAATATACAGAGAATTTCAAAACGATTTGTCCGTTCTAGATAACGTTGACAACGTCTCTTGGTTACAAAATATAGTATATCAAAGTGACATGATAGTGATATGTCACTTTGATGTATGCACTAGGGACTGGACAGTGAAATCCACTTTATATACAAAGTGATCCACAATAAATGAATCTGTTGGCAATCCTGACTCTAATTTTGAAAGCTTACCATTGTAATGGGCTTTTGATTAACAACAATTTGCGAATCTTGAGAGGTTGTACGTCAAGTATTTGTCAAGCAAAATCATATCCCGTTGCAGTGTTTGAAATTATTAATAAAAATCCTTTCAAATCTGTTACTAAGAGACTCAGTCTTTCTGAATCACTTTGAATTTTGATTGTGAAAACTTTTGCTCATACTGTCTACAATTTTAGAGTCATTGGAAATTCAAGTAAAATCAACCAATTTTATCAACTAAAAACATATCAGCTAGAGTAGTACTCGTTAATAAAAAATAAATTGAGAGAAAACTTTACGACTCGGTAAAAATCTCGATGTGTTACAAGATTTGTGATAGAAGTCTTGCTTCTTGTTAATTTAGTCGATGTCCAGATTTTATTATTTATTGTAACAAAACAAAACTATTAAACATTGTTAAATAATGTCTTAAATGTAAATTATTGCATTAGAAAATACCAAAAAACACTAAGTGTGCGTAGCGTATATTTCTAATATGGTAAAAAATGTGTAGCTGACGCAATAATGTTGTATAGAAGAAATTTTAAATTTTCCTTTGCTATATTAGATTTAAGTCACATGGTGCTTTTTCTGTTTTGTTCGAGTTATTTTTTTCAATAAAACACTTTATTAGAGTGCTACAAAATTAGGGGAAGCACCAGTTATTTTTCAAAAAGCATTTACGGTCCAAAGAAAACAAATATAACGAGTTCCAGTGAGTTTTGAAAGTTGTTATAGATGTTTATATGGTTAGAAAATGAAATGTATAAAATTGTTGAAACTGCCAAATTATAGAATATTTGTTGTTTATTGAGTTGTTCTTCCAAATCAGCGGTGGTTATTTATTTATATGTTACCAACTTCCTGTATGTGAAACAACAAAACACAAAGTCTTCCATTTTATATAAAAATATTATTTGAAAAAAATCGCTTGTTCAATGGCGAAATGTATACATGTACTAAATACATTATTATACAGTCTACGGGCCCGAAATTCAGTCAATGACGTTGAAAAAGGGTTTCAAGATCTCATTTTTTTCATTTGGGAATTTTGGGTCACCGGTATAATTATGTATTATACCAAAGTATTATATTGCCTAAATGTAAAAAAACTTAAAATGTAGTTTTATCTCGTTTAATTAGTTGCTTCTTAGCATCCAAAAATTGTTGTAAAGATCCTGTATGTAAGGTATCTATCAAATAAAAGAAGTGTATATATACCAACAACCCAGTTATTTAATTAAAAAATATAGTGGCATTAAAAAACTGATTCGTCACGATTGTTATTGTCATTTTGCATACATAAAACAACCTGTTTTCTGTAAATTTATGTATAAATCTACATGATAAGCAACTGAAAACAAGACCTTGGCCAACAAGCCGCTCAGTCGTTCGCTGTGTCCACAAAGATGAAGTGCTTCATAAGATATGAAAAATACTGCGATTTTCCTATTGAAAATCTTCCATATGGGGTCTTTTCCACCAAAGATGATGTGAGTTTTATATTTACCAAGTTTTGCGCGATAAAAGTAACCGTGGCCCACGTTGATAACGAAAAATTTAATCTTCACTTGTTTTTAACTTTCCGGAGATCACTGCCATCTAGTACGGGGTAGCGGTGGATCGTGTGTCGATAAAAACGAATTCGTTCAACTAGAAATTATGAAATTTTAAATACTTTGACCGGGAAATAAGAAAATAATTTGTCCACTCTCTAATTCGTTAATAAATTAGAGTTATTACTTCTACAAATTCCTATTTTCAAAGCATTATTTTTTTAGCCTACACATAGGATAGGTGTAGCGATTGGAGATCAAATCCTAGACTTGAAACAAATATCTCATTTGTTTGTGGGGCCAGAATTGAAAAAGAATCAGGATGTGTTCAGAGAGGTGAAATGAACATTTTTGCGGCTCCAGTATTTTTATAAGATTTTTTTTATTTTAGAAAACTCTAAATAAATTTATGGGACTGACGAAAAAAGCATGGAAAGAGGCTCGGGATACGATACAAAACCTACTTTCAATTGACAATCAAACCTTACAGAGTCCTGACATGAGAAAAAAGTATAATTTTATAATCATTAAAACAAAAATTTGAATTATTTTTTAGAGCCTTTGTGTCACAATATGATGCGACAATGCATCTTCCTGCTGAAATCGGGGATTATACTGACTTTTTTTCATCGATCCATCATGCAACAAACACGGGTATTATGTTCAGAGGGAAAGAAAATCCTCTGCTTCCCAATTGGTAAACTTTCGCATAATTTTATTTTTCAAAATATAATTCTCTGGTAGGAAATACTTGCCGGTGGCTTATCACGGGAGGGCAAGCTCAGTCGTCGTCTCTGGAACTCCAGTCAGGCGCCCCAACGGTCAAACACTTGCAGTTGAAGGTAAAAAAAGTCAAAAATGGTTTTTGAAAACTACACTTTATGTCTAAATAAGGCGCACCTCCCGTTTTTGGTAAATGCAAACTCATGGACTTCGAGTTAGAAATGGCATTTTTCGTGGGTGGGCCTTCAAACGAATTGGGAAAACCTATTCCAATTGAAAAAACTGAAGAACATATTTTTGGATTTGTGGTAATGAATGATTGGAGCGGTAAGTAACTTTTTCATAAAAGCGGGAAATATCAAAAAAAAAATTAGCTAGGGACATTCAAAAGTGGGAATACGTGCCATTGGGACCTTTCACTGCCAAAAACTTAGGGACAACTATTTCGCCATGGATCGTCACCACTTTTGCTCTTGAACCGTTCAAGGTAGAAAACTATCCACAAAATCCAGAGCCTTTCCCTTACTTAAAACATGACGATAAATTTAATTTTGATATTGGACTACAAGTGGACATTACACGTAAGTGTTCACAAAAAAACATTAACATTGTAAAATATTTAAACATTTGTGCTTTACTTTTTAACTTTGCTACACTATAGTCATTGACAACTTATACCTCATAACTAAGGCTCGGATTATATGCAAAATGTATACTTGTTATTAAGAGGTATATCAACAAAATTATAAGTTTTCTATGCATATCCAGTGTTTTTTGATTAAATAGGCCAATTAATTATTTTGGCAACTTCGTGCATATTTTAGGAAAAATTGCATATTTGCTTCAAATCGCAAATTTCTGATTAAACATTTCAGTTCAAGTTCAAAATTAGACAGTTTAAGAAAAAAGATCCGATTACAAAATATGTTAAAGAGAAAACAACCGGTAATTCGTAAGCCGGACTTAAAAAATTAGTATCCTGCTGAGTGTTTCCTTTTTGAATTCGTTTTATCAGGGTTAATATAAAATATGGAACTAAGCGGTTTTTTAAATTAATTTTTGTCTCTAGAAAATAATACTTAATATAAATTAAAGTAATATAAAAATGTGATCGTATTTTGAGAAAAAAAATTGTTTTGTTTTTGAGTTATGCATTTTTTTGTCAAAATTGCAATATACAGGGTACGCCGGAACTCGCGCCCCAGACAAAAATGCCATATAAGGTAAGATACCAGGAACCTGGAAAAAATGTTAAAAAAAATTTATCTATAAAAATTTCGAAGTTATGAGGGTTTAAAGTTTGCACTTTGACTCTATTTATTTCTGTTGGAAAAATAATTTTCCAAGTTTTTTTGTTATAGGCTATTAAAAGAGGAAACAAGGAAGCTGTATCCTAAATTGTAACTCTGTTCAATGTTATTTGTGGCTTTTATTGGCAAAGTTTTTGTCTCTTTACTAAATAATATCCTTAAATGAATATAAAAAAATGTCAAATGTCAAAAAATAAATGTCAAAATTTTTTGACAGATAGAATTTTTTAAACATTTTTTTCATGTTCCTGGTATCTTACCTTACTTGAAAATTTTCTCTGGGGCGCGAGTTCTGGCGCACCTGTATGTAAAAAAAATACTAAATACTAAAAAAATTAACTAGATAGTTGTAATTTTTAGATCATAACCGTAACGAAAAAAATGTTTTATCTCCAACGTCACAAAAGTGACCACTTTTATGACTAAATGACACAGGTAAAAGTTTTACTTTTCAGACATGGAGTAAAAACACTGTTTTTACTCCTAGGCGTTTTTACTTTTACTTGACACTTACTTTGACATTTATCACTGTTGTCTCTTTCTTGTCTCTTTCGCTTTTTCAGCATTTTCTGGAGAGGTACAAGGTAGATTATCAGCATTTGACATATTGCACTATAAACTACACCAGTTATTCACCAGTTAAATCAATCAACACTTTCGAAATCTCAACACAAATTCCGAAACTGACGCGTGACGTTTGTTACGATTTTATTGCAAAGCGTCCTGATTATTGAGGTGATTTACTTAATTATTGGTGTGTTGCTCTTTTCGTTCCATCTGAATCGTTTGCAGATAAAATAGTTTATGTTATTTGGAGTAAAAGTGAGATTATGTGGCTCAGCTGAATCCATTTGCCTCACTCCGTTCGGCAAAATGAACGTTCAGCTTCGCGACATAAACAATCACTTTTACTCCTAATAACATAATCTACTATTAGTGGCTTGTCATTTAAAAAAAGATATTTTTGTAGAACTTAAAAACAAAAGAAGATTTTGAAAAATTTTATTTTTGACAAAACATCACATTTTTATAGTACTTCATCATTCATTAATTAGTTCTTCCAAAAAATAAATAGTTTAAGCAAAAAACGTTTGGTTCTATACATTTTATTTACCCGGTATGGCTATAATCCTTCCATTCGGATAAGTAGTTGTTTGCAAGTGAATTTTAGCGAAATATTTTAAAGTGATGTGATCTGAAAAGTAGAGATTTCTTAAAAAAGGTTAATTACTAGGTTATTAAAATGGCTTGTCTGGGGCAAAACCAATTTATTTATTTTCTTTCGTTCAAGATGCCGAAAATACAAAGTCGAGAATAAAATTTTATCTCAACTTTGATGTTTTATTGTTAAAAGTTTTGCATATCAATGCGTATTTGGCATATATTGGAGCATATTTATTAAAATCATGTGCATATTTTGTGAAAATACGTGCATGTACAGGCTGTATTATGAAAAACGCCCCAAGCCATAACTCCATTATTTTTTAAAGTTATGACAATACTTCTTAGAACAAAGTTGAACATTTTTTGTCATCTATCGTTTAGGATAGATGATAAATTAATGCTGTTTTAAATATTATTCCTTTGCATTTTCTCTTACTGTTTTTATACTTTTTAATGTTAGTCATGGATGATAATGTGTTAACAGACATATTTTGAATAAAATAAAAATTGTGGAGAGCACTACACCTTTACACTGGGTGATTTCAGATGAGAGACGTTCCAAATCGTCGAAAATTTAAGCGACTTAAAGAAAATTTGAGGATGTTTTGGGCTTTTAGAAAACCCAAACTAAACATCTCTAATTTCACAGAGATACAGAATTAGATAGGTATTGAAGAAAATGCAAGAACATGAATTCAAGAAATTGCAAGTAACGTTGGCTTATCGCACGCAACTGTTCTAATTTGGGTTTTCTAAAAACCCCAAACATCCTCAAATTTTCTTCAGGTCGACGAATTGGAACTTCTCTTATTGGAAACCGCCCAGTGTAAAGGCGTTGTGGTCTCCAACAATTTTTATTGCTTTCAACATATTCTTGAATCATGTCTGTTAACACATTATCACCAGAACACCAAAAAGTATAAAAATAATAAGAGAAAATGCAAAGTAATAATATTTGTCAACATTACTTAATATTATTGTTTTCCACTGCCTACTTTAATAAATTTTTAATTGACTCATATCTCACGAACGGTTGGTTTTAGGCACATTGTACTAAAACTTGTTAAAAGACAATTAAACAAAGAATCCAAGTGGTAAAATATACAGCGTGTTCCATTAAAAAAAATTAAAGAAAACAAAAGATGTTCAACTTTGTTCTAAGAAGTATTGTCATAACTTTAAAAATAATGGAGTTATGGCTTGGGGCGTTTTTCATAATACAGCCTGTATATGCGCATATTTTACGAATTTTTCGTGCATATAATCCCAGCCTTACTCATGACCTTGATCCAGTTTATTCAAATGGCATGGAACTGCTTAAATTTGGATAAATATTCGAAATGATTTTTTTTAGCAAAAGGACTAAACGTGTCGACCACTGTTTGCCGTTCAAACTACAAATATTTGTACTGGACAGCAAAACAACAACTGGCCCATCACACAATTACTGGGTGCAACGTCAAACCTGGTGATTTGATGGCAAGTGGAACAATCAGTGGCGAGGTATTCAACAAAATCAATAAATAAGTAAAATATAATGATTTTTGTCCTTTTAGACTTCGGATTCCTTCGGTTCTCTTCTTGAGCTGTCTTGGAAAGGCACTAAACCCATTTCACTGCTCGACGGTAGCCAAAGGAAATTCCTCCAAGACGGTGACACAGTCACAATTAAAGGAATGTGTGAAGGAGATGGCTACAACATAGGTTTCGGCGACTGCGTCGGCACTTTACTGTCAGCTATCGACATGTAAAAATATTTCAATAAAAAATTTTCGAATTGATTGGTCTTTTTGTTCCCAAATCAGTGATGGCACCGTTCCAAGCCATGAAATCGCCAAACTGAATTTATCGATCATGAATATAATAAATGCGGGCTCCTCCACTTTTATAAACCTTGGCTCCTTTTCCATAAGAGTGAAAATCACGAATCAGCATAGAATACAAACATTGACGAGAACAGCGGAAAAATTGTTCCAATAGTAGTATTAAAATATTTATGCTCGATACAAAGCAATGTCAAGGTTCCTGCTTGATTAAATTTACAATAAAAATGGCTTTGAGCGGATCTCTGCTCAATAAAAGTAGTTCTCAGGAAAGATCCGATCTTGTGGCTTTTTGGAGTGTTCCACTCCTCGATGGGGTACATACGGTAGAGTTTGAACATGGGGGAACAACCGGAAAGAGAGTTATACGAGTGGACGGCAAGGTATAAATTTATTAAAAAAACCTCTATATTCGTAATACATTTTAGGAGATATCGAGACGCGACTGGATGTTCAAACTAGTCGGTGATGAAAAATTTACTTTAGGAAAACAAGGCGCTAAATGCGAATTGCGTGTCGATCCTTTGCCACATTTTGCATTTGCGTACAGTCTGTATGTAGATGGAAAACCGCTGGAGAAGTTTACTGAAAAACAGTCACAAACGACGAGATCGTGGGCAGTTGTAGCTGAAGGAAAACGCTACCGCGTTGTTTTTGGTAAGTGGATTGTTTTACCAGAAAAATTGTTAATGAAGTGTTTTAGAAAAACAAACTTTGAATGTGTGGGTTAATGGACAGTATGTGGAAACCGAAAATGTTTTTATTGAAGGTGGAAGCGAGATGACTTTTGAATTTGAAGATTTGAAAGGTACCATTCGAGCCACTTCGACTAATCGAAAACAGGGAGTTATTCATCAACTTTTTGTTAATGGCAAATTAATTGAAGAAGATACAATTTACTAATAAATAATATGCAATGTAATTATTTTGTAAATAAAATAAGGAATAGTATATTAAAGTACAACTTGCGTAGCGGCGAGTTAAGGAACTGAAGAACCTTCTGTAACAAGTGCTTTATACTATTTTTTCTATTTTGCCGCTTTATATCATTTTATAAATTAAAAGACGAAAATTAAAAAAAAAAAACTAGAGAATTTTGCGACGGTTGGCGACATTTATGTGGAATAATTTTACGAGTAGGCGGCAGTAAAAAATAAAAATAATTCTTATTTTTACATTTGAAAATAAATTGTGAAGAAAGTTCGTCACTAAAATTAAATTAACGCCAACGACTTATTCCAGATGACGTCATTTGGATGCTGGAATAGACTTATTTTAACACCGAAATAGGAAAAAAGATTCCGGTACCGGGAATCGAACCCGAGCCTCCTGGGTGAGAGCCAGGTATCCTAGCCACTAGACCATACCGGATTTAACAGAAACAGAGCCATCTTTGTATTTTAATTCTGCAGTAACTCTATTAATTTTGTTAAAGAAAATGATACAATATTTTAAATATTTTCTTTTTTTTTACCTCACGTAAAATCAAAAAAGCATCTAGCAGAAAATCTGGTCAAAAACCAACAAATTGTGTAATAAAATAATTAACTGTGTATTAAGACATTTTGTAGGAATAGCAAGGTGTAAAGTGGATTTCTAATATATATTTTTTTCTAATAAGTGTATTATTACAAATCGCATACAAAAATTTGACAAAAATTGGAAAATAATTACAATTTCATTGGATCCCCTCCATCAACAAATGTGGGCGAAATTTAAAGTAAAAAGTTTTGACTTTTGTGGATGTTCTCTATCATACTTTATTAAAAAAGAAATTACAGCCTTTGTTAATATACAATTTTCCAAACTGAAGGTTGCGGACACTCCGTATTTTCTTTGCAAAAACAATTAAAAGTTGTGTCTGTGGGAAATCCCAAAATTTCCCGCTCCTCTTGAATACGAAATGAAAATGTACTTTCATAAGTCCCAATGAAATATCTGGCATGAGAACAAATAATTTGATCAATTATGGCCACGTCTCCATCTTTTATTCTTTTCTTCGTTTTGCTGTTTGGTGTAAATCTCAGTGTTTTGTAAGGAATGTTTTTTACAATTTCTCGATATTCTGTGTAATTTTCATTAGGACAAATTTTATTGAGAGAAAAAATAATTACCGTCCTCGTCAGCATCCGTAGCGATAAAAACTTGCAATAAATTCAACTTTTTAAGTAAAGTAGTAATTTGATCAGTTATGCTATTGATAGAAGGAACCTGGTGCGCCCTTCCGCGCAAAAAATCTCTCCTTCGTAAGTGAACTCCTAAGTATGGACCCCCTTTTGCGTTTCTTTTAGGCTAAAAGTCATAACAAATAACCAAACATTAGCCTAGAGTAAATTACTGTTTCATCCTCCCAATTCTCTGGCAATAAAGTCTCATCCAATTCATCACTCGAGTTTAAGAATTTTTTTCGGAAATCGAGTGCAATTTTTTGTAATTCTCGATTAAATCTCATACTTCTTCGACACTTCCAGTAAATTCGGTCCCCAAACATGTCATGTAGCGCAACCTCAGCATGATGCAACAAAATTGTTCTTCAACACAAATATATTTTTTCAGTCAATAATAAAAGTCTTACTTGGCGGAAGATTTGAGTAATAATTGTGATAACTTTGTCGCAGGTCCATGATAAGACAAACATTTAACATTGTTTGAAGTAATATTTTTATAAAAGAAATAATTTATTTGGTAGTTTTGAGCACACTTTTCAACTTTCATCTTGTCTTCAAAATTTCCAGTCTCAAACATATGTTTAAAATGTTGCAAAACATAAACCTCGTCAATTTGAACACTATAAGTCCTATTTATGGCTACAAATAAATGTTTTAAGTAAAAAAAAAATACGAAACGACATTCACACCATACCATCAAAAAATTCATACATTTCTATTACTGGTGCAAATCTTTTTAAACTATCTACATTAAAAAACAGCCCCCAAGGTATCTGTTCAGGTTCCGCGTTGTATTTCCAATGAAATAAATGCGACCAAGGGGGTAAAACCAATTTTACGTTTTTCAGTTCCTCTTTTTTTGATTGTTGCAATTTGTGTGCTAGAATTGCAAAGCGCATATAGACATCCCGACGCAAGTTGAAACCTTCAGGCGGGTTTACGTCGTACAATAAATACCTGAAAGTGGGTGTTATATGGGGGTTCGTGACAGTGACCCTCACCTGTCTTTCGAATTAGAATTTTGGCCACATTGTGAATTAACGTGACAATAATCTTCACCGTAATTGCAATAGACGAATACAATAAGCAAAATGAATTTAAATAAGTGGTTTTGTGGTAAGTTTCTTGTCATTTTTGTGAGGTTATATCAGGTGTCACCTCCGGTTATCTTATTTTCTAAAATGCACATTAGAGAAATCTTAAATTATTATGCCAAGAGTTTTTATAAACTGGTTATAAAATCTTATAATTTGATTTGTGTAAAAAATTAAATGCAGTAACATAAAAATGTTTCCCAAGTTGGCAATAAAAATTGTGTGATCATGTAACTCATTTATTTTCTAATAAAAAGTAAAAACACGATTTTATGTAACCATTATTTATTATTCTAAATAAATCACAATTTTATTACATTGTTACGTAAGTGGGAGTTGTCATGACTCCACAGTTGTTGTCTTTAGATGACATTAGGATGTATCCATCGTTGCCCCAATAATTCGACCAACTGTTTTTAACTAACCAGTAATTTTCACTATTGATAGTTCCATATCCCACTGCCAAAACTGCATGATCCAGCTCATCAATTTTATTACCACTGAAAAATTTGTAATATTAATATTTAAAAATGGAAAAATTAATTACCATTTGGGTTCATAATAAACCCCATTGGAGTAAAAACTGAAAGTGCGTTGACTGGCATCAATGGCTACGCTAATAGGACCGTGTTTGAAGAGAGCCAACCTCAATGCATTTTCATCGTTGGATGTAACGTTTACGTAACCGGTGATTTTGGCAACTTTTTGCACTTTATCAGCATGACAATAACCATCCTGTGCAAAAAATACCATTTAAATATTTATGATAATGTCATCACCACTCACTTGTCCCAAATAAGGGCCATAAGCCTCTTCAGTCGGAATACCTCCATGTTTCAACATCCATTGATACGCTCTAAAATCTTCTCCTCCATCGCAACCATTATTTCCATACCCCCAGGAGCAATCAACTAGAGCTTGTTGAGACAATCTAAAGAGCCTTCCGCCATTGTGCAAAAAAAGTGCCCCTTCGATAGTTCCCACTGTCCCAAAACTCCAGCAAGAGCCACAAACCGACTGATCTGAAATTGAAAATTTGAAACTAATTCGGCTTTAGTCAGAAAATACCTTTAACGGGTGTCACAGCGCCAAACAGTCTCCAATCCCACTGGTCTGGCAAATCCTCTTTATTTATGTTTTTGTATGGGAAGGGGGCCCCACCGTTGTAACCTCCGGAATAAGTACGCCCTCTCAAAGCTTTCAATTCCGCTGGAGTTTTATCAGCCAAATGGTTAATAGTTAAGGTGAATCCCCTGTTTTGTCTGTTCATTGAATGAATAAATCGGACGTTTTGTCGGAAAATATCCTTGCGTACAAGAGCATCAGTTTCATTTTGGTATTTTTTGCCATGTTTTCGCGTGAATTTGTTAAATTCGAAATCAACATGGCCAGTTTTTTCGGGTCTGACAAACTCAGCCATGGGGTTGAAAGTGTAAATGTGTTTGTCGCCAGGGCCGGGGAAAGCACTACATTTCATGTCTAAAAAAATGGTTTCGTTATCTCTTCTTAAAAAATACATGACAAAGTACTTGAATCAAGTTTGAAGATATCGTCCGGAATGGGGTCAGAGCTGAAGGAGTCATAATCAAGGTAGTAGTGGTCATAGTGACTCCCCAAGAGTGAATTGTAACCCCTCATTTCATATTTGACCGGAACGGCGATTTTGACTCCGGCGTTGTCGGGATCGTCTTTGTAATGTAGCCACATGGCGTACTTGTTGACTTTTTGGCCAATGGTTTGAGTGAGGGCCCATTTCTCGGTTAGGACTCCGCTGATTGTCTCCTCACCGGTACACTCGAAATTTGTGAGGTCGGGGAGAATGGATTGGGGCTCTATCGTGATATCTTCAGTGCCATTCACTTGAAGACATGTCCGGGAGTTGGTTTCGGTCTCTGTTGTCACGGGGGCTATTTTCAAACTGGTGCCGTAAGGGCCGCTTGAGGAGAGTTGGTAGGTTTTCACCATATCGCCGTAATAATCGATACGAGAACGTTTCGAGGAACCATCGTACCTTAATTGAAATAAGTTGCAAATGGAAAATTGTGCTCATATTTAAACAATATTTCTGTGAGGTCTTAATGGTATTTTTAAATTTTCATTTTATTCGATAAAGTAAGGAATGATTTCCTTATTATCCAATTTATCTTGCGATGGAAAATTACGATCCTATTTCAGACAATTATCAAATTTACTTGATTAATACAGTAGATAATCACAACTATTGTTTATTTATGAGACGACAATTTTCTTTAAAACAATGGTTTGCCTAAAGAATCTGATACAGATCACAGGATGTAATATAAGATCTTGAAATAAGTAGTCGTTAATTGTCAGAGAGACAATATCAATTTTATTATCACAAAAATAATAATACAATAGTAAGTGGTTTATTAAATTAAAGTTGTTATTTGTTAATGATGAATTTATCAACAAAGTGACTATCAGTACAAAAATTATGTTTTAAAAATGTGGAATGTGTTTCATAAAGGAATGCTAGCTTTATCACCACCATTGGCTACAATTTTTTGTTAAACTATAGCTTCACAGAAATTTGTAACACAATCGTGATAACATTGTTTAGCGTATTTTTGGATTTTTTATTAATTTGTACAAAAACAACAAACATTTTTGTCACTATAGTCTTCTTTGTAATTCTTCAAAGAAAAATTGGATTAATTTTTTTTTTCCAGATTCAAACATGCAAAACACAAAAAGAAAACCTACAACTACAACTTCTATAAAACTGAGAGGTTTATTATGATTACGACTTTTTATAAACAATAAATGTACTTATAAATTGCCAAAAAGTTTATACCTAAAGTTCGGTTAAGTTATTATTTTTGATTTGCTTATTGAAAAAACATTTCTAGAACGCATTCTGTGGGCGGAACTTTTTACTTTCGGTTGCCAACTAGTTGTACATTTTTTTAATGCTTTCAATGGGTAATAAATAAGTACTCACCAGACATAAAAAGGTTCTTCAATTTCTGCATAAGGGATGTAAAGAATTCCTTTAACCGTGTATGTGTTGCTCCATGCCGGTGCTTTAGCGGCACAGTCCCCATAGACTAGCAAAAAATTGTAAGTACACACAACTGATATTTTAAAATGTGCTATTACATACCTAGAGCCAAAAAACACGAAAAAATCACACTTGTTAACAACATTCTTGTTTGGCGTCAGAGATACAAATAAACAATTAGATAAGAGTCCTCCTTTTAAAAACAACCCCCACGACCTATGAACTCAGCTGATAAGTGGTAGAAAGTTTCGATTGGAGTGAAGCGATTCAACGAAGAGGGGATATGCAAATATGGACAAAACTGCTTGATGATTCGTCAATACTATACAATTTCATCAGAATTTTTAACTGATTTTAATCAGGAATAAAGGTTTAAAAAATGTTTTAAGATCAGATCAATATTGAAAATGTATATTTTGTGTTGGAGATAAATGACAATTACAAGTCACTGAACTTTGCATTCAATAAATATTTGTTGATAAAAATTTGCCACAGTACAGGAAGAAATATGATAACCTTGCAAAATAGCTTAAATGTTGAACTACTTAGACAGGTGTATAAAATCAGTAAACTCCACTGAACTCGTATTAATAGAAAAGCTTTTGGAATTGGTTTGTTATTGTTTGTAACACACATAACCTCTGCAAGTGTTTACAAGAGACAAGGCTTGTGATTGGTCGATTCCTATTGTTTTTGTTTGACAGTCGACAGCTGTCACATTTTCTGATCGTAATTTTTCCAAATTTTAAGTGTGTTTTGTACTGTTTTTACAATAAAATGCTATGATTAATTCTTATGTAGTGTGCAGAAAACACCCCGATTTTCAAGGGTAAACAGAAAAGCAGAAAAAATCGTGAAACACTGATTTTTAAGGTAAAGTCCATTTTTTTAAAAAACAATTGTCAAAGTGTTGTCATGTTGGTTATTTGATGTTATTACGTTGGCAAGGTAAAATGTCAATTGAATGCCAGCCGTTTTGTTCCAAAGGCGCTTGCGCTACTGAAGCCGCAATTACTTTTAAATTTAATATTGAAAGTACAACTTAAAGAGCACAGAAAATGTTGAAGATGGAATTGGTTGGTATTAGAATTATTTCTGTGACGTTGCGGATAGCAGGAATACCTACGCTGCTCCGAACAGAGGCCTTTTAGAATGGAACTATTACGAAAGGTCTTCTAACCTTACAGTTTGTATTCAATGGCGGCATTTCAAAATGCGCTAGAAAAATTCAAATTTGAGCGGGAGAATTGCTCATGACGTGTGATCGGCGTAGTTTTGGACCCTTTTTTAAAATAAGATAACCCTACGTTGTGGTTGTTAGTTTATTCGTAATAATCCTTCGTCGTTTCCTCGAAGCACTGAACAAACGGATGGGAGTAAAATTAAATAATCAAGAAATAAAACACTAATGTTTTATTTATATGAAGTATAATTCAACAATTAAATAAAACAACAATAGGAAATTCGCTGGTAATGAATTTATCAAATAAATTATGTCACAACAAAAGAAAAACTCGAACAATTAATAAATACATTCAGAAAAACAAATCAAGGCATTCTTATGAAACAGTTTCTTTTCTTTTTACTGTGAAAACCTAGAATCCAATGTACCAAAAATCTACAACACAATTCCCGATACCGCTGTAGCCATCTCCCAATCTCGAAGGAGAAAGGAAGAAAAAAACATATATCAAGGACTCTCAATCAATCAAACAATCGCGTCTCGAAACCCTACAACTCTGTCGAGTCGACAATGGTATTGGACCTATGGTCTCTTTAGTGGGCAAAAACCGTCCTTTTTCGACAAGCTCCTCTTTTGTGCCCTGTGTACGTGGAAGCGTTATTACTTATCAGCTACCGGGACTTTGCTGATATGATTGCCCAATTAAAGGAGAGTAAAGAACAGTAAAAGACAGAACGCAATGCAGCATGCATGAAACCAGGAGAAGCTACAGAAGTTTTAACTTTTCATCTCGCGTTACATAAAACTAACCCGAAAACTTAATCTTTTACCAGACGAATTATCCATTTACAAAACTCATGGCAAATTAACAACAATCATGATTATTATGAAGAAAACAATGTTTTAGGCACAATTTTCACGTAATATCGATACAGAATTTACGTTTTTGGTGACGTAATTAGTCATACCCCCTGTCGCGTCCGGTCTTATCTTCCTGAGCCCCACGGTCTCCTCTGCAGCATCCTCCAAGTGACGACGCTTCCTTCTCTTCCTCGATGGAAGTCCCCCGGGTGTAGTCGACATCCCAACAATTTCCAAAATTTAATTCAAAAAGGAAAAACAACAAAATTCTCCTCACTCTTCGCCTGCCTAACGACGACTGCCACACCTTCCTTTGTTTTCCCACTTTTCGAAAAACCCAAAAAAAAACACAAAATCCCCCCTTTCCCACTGTGGCGTGATCCGTCACCGCAGAGTCAAATAAAATTTTCAAAAATGCATAGGCAACACATTTTACCGAATAATTAAATACAAATGGTACGGTTACAGTCTTTTTTGTGAATCTTGCCGTTTTTGAGGAAATTAATACGATAAGCCTAGCTCTCGTACGAGTTAATTGAATTATAATAATTGTTCGAATACATTATTATGAAATTGTGTTTTATCTCAAGAAGAGTCGTTTACAAAAATGAGTTTCTAAAAGCAAGGATCTGAACCTTAACATAATAAGACAAATAGCTATATTTAGATTTTGTGAATATATGCAGACAAAAAACCAACCATGTTAAAATTCTTCATGAATTTGATAATTTTGGTTGTGTAAAAACTCCTAAAAAAGAACGGCATCCAATAAATTGCATGACTAGTCCAGTATTTTATTATATTCCTCCAATAATGATTCACCTTTCTCCAGAATCAGATTCTGAAGACGATTGGTGGTCTAAAAATTTTGAATCAGATTCTGAAAATGAGTAAAAATTTAAATTACCCATTAAATAAATTTTTCCCGGTTAGGAGTTGCATGTTTCCGTGTCCTTACCATCTTTATTTCTTGTCTTTTGGTAAAAAAATTGCTTCCACTTGAAACTTTTCTGGCATTTGAAAATTACTAACATAACCTCAAACCTAATCTAGGGAGATTTTAATAAACAACTGTTCCGAAAAAAAGATTTTAGGGTAGTACAGTCTGGTTTTTGAGGAAATTTTGACATTGACAATTGTTTAAAAAAAAATGGACTTTATATTTTAATATTAACATTTTTCAAAGATTTTGCCCTGTTTTACAAGGTTAACGACTTTAAAATAAAAACGGTATTTATTATTAAATTAGTTTTACCCTGTTATAGCAGTAATAGAGCATTAGCATAATTATAGAACTACTTATGTCAAAAATAGATGAAATTTATTTAAAAGAATCATATGAGTTGGAAAATGCGCAAGATCATACCTATATAATTGTGCCATGATTGTGTTATCCTTAAACTTTCATATTTTATTTTTGTTTCTTTAATACCCAAACGGTATATTGTATCAAAGTTTTCTAAAATAACCCTCTTGTCATAAACAAAACCAAATTCTTTTGTTTCCATTTTATTTAAGAGTTCCTTAGTTTTAGTATCTCTGGTAATTCGATTATATTGTGTACTGATTATACTGTCTTTCTTTTCTAAAATATTATTTATACTGTCGGAATTAATTTTTTTGGACGTTTCATAATTTAACGTAAATCCTTTTATTCTACAAACAACTTTACCTGTATTAGTCTTATAACAATAACTTTTTGGGCCTGTTGATATCCAGTCTATTATCCATACGCCTTTACCTAATTCGTCTGTCCAATCTCCCAATAGACAGCCTGTTTTAACAGTGTTTTTTCCATCATCTATATATACAATACTATCTGTATCATAATATACTACGCTTTTTCCTAATTTATCTAACATTTCGTATAATCTTATTAGTCTTGCGTTTGCAGTTGTAAAAGCAGCTATAAATATATTGGTATTGAAATCATTTTCTATATAGCAATCTTTTAACTTATAATCAATTTGTAACATATTTTCATTTATGTCGTTTATACGTATATTATCAAGTTTCTCGTCTAATAAAATTTCATAAAACTTTTTAACATCTGTAACATATTCTGTTGCGCCCATATTTTGTCTTTGCCCAAATTTACCCCATAAGGAATTTAAGCATATTTTCGCAACAGCCCTCTTTCCAGGATTATTTTCTATTTTACCCAATTCAATACCTAGATTTTCTTTTACAGCTTTTCTATATTCTTCTTCTGATTCAAAATCATCCTGCCAAGGGCTTGTTTCTAAGTTAATTTTCATAAACGCTTTCACATATCCTTTAAATAAATTTGATGATTTTTTGTAAAAATGCCAAACCTCATCAATAGTTATTATTTTGTAACTCTTTTCAATTGCTTTTTTTACTTCATTGGTACACCAGGTTCCTCTGATAATTCTTTGAGATTCCGTATGAGAACATTTATCTTTTTGATTATTTAATTTTGCGCACAATTGACATAATGGAAATGTTAGTTTTTCATCACCGATTTGGTTTTATTCTGAACAGGTAAAACGGGGTGATACAAACCTTTTGGTGGTAAAATTGCACATTTTATTAAACCATACCAATCTGAATTATACGTACGAGGTTTGAATATTTTAGTAGGATGTCCAACTGGATAATGATCGTAACATTGTACTGTTGGATATAAACTGCGAATATCTATATATTTCATATTCTTCCCCTTAACGCGCAATTTTGTTGCATTCGTTCTTCCTCCAAAGAATGCGTTTCTAGGATTAAGTTCTTCCAATTCCTTAATTTCTTCTTCAATTTGTTTCATTTCTTTCTTATATTCTTTTGACTTCGTCCACTCACATTCCCACATTTCTATTAAGTTATAACCAGCTTTTTTTAATTCCTCGCTTCTTTCTATTGTTTTCTCATAAAGATCTTCCATAGTTGTTTCATTCTTATTATTAATAAAATCTGAACTATAACATTTAGTACAACCATGCCAAAAACAGCTGTGATATTGGTAAACAGTATTGGATTTTTTATCAAATCCGTCAACTTTTGATCCATATATTTTCCCTTCACCATTGTTTAATGCGTGTTTTATATTTGGATTATGAAAACTATTTAACCATGAAAGTGATTGTTGAGAATATTGATCTTTTTTCGGATTATCAACAACAGCTATTGTATCTTTCTTAATATATTTTGATCTATATATAGCCAAGCAAACACCTGCAATAGTAATATATCTAAAAGGATCTATATTCGCAATTTCTAGAAACTGATTTCTTAATTCAAGACATCCTTTTCTTAATATATCAACATCAGAATTACAATAATCATAAAGTTCTTTTTTAAAATCAAACAAATAATTTTCTTTTCTTTTTTGTTTATGCCATTCTAAAAACTCTTCCCTTTTTTTTGGTTTCATAGAATTAACACCATAGTATTCTGTATCAGGTATTTTTCCAATATATCGGGTGTTTCAAAAATGTGTGGCATAATTTTAACCACGAATAACCCTCTACAAATGAGAATAGAGAACACAGTATTTACTGACCTAGCTCAAAAAATAGAAAAATTACAGATTTCCAAAAATCGGTATGGAAAATGATTTTTTGGAAATATTTTTGTTATCGTTTATCCGATTATTATGAAATTTTGCATGTCAAGGGACAAAAAGACACTCTTTGATATGGTGTAAATGGAAGTCTTGTAAAAGCTATAGATTTCTGGTGACAATGGGACCCTTCCAGTTTTTGGGTCATAACTCTTTTTTTCAGCCTATTAACAGATATTTTTGATGCCAAAAATCAAAAGCCCGATCATTTTTTCATAAAAAAGTACTGTTAATATCGCTAAAATGTACCGTTCTCAAGTTATTTCGGTTTAAACAAAACTCTACACCGCGCTGCAAAATCAAAAAGTATGAATTTTGAGCGTATCATTACCTTGGAAACAATCCACTACGAATGACATAGCTGTCAATACTGTGACATTTAATGTTAATTTTATTTAATCCAAAATAAAATTTGATTATTTCTTGATGATCATAGTAAAACACACGATTATGTGTTGGAAGAAACAATGCATAAGCTGGCATTAACCATCCCGGCCATCACAACAGCATCTGAGAATACACCACGGAAATTTTCACACCGTAAAACGATTTTCCCTCCAAATTATTGTTTTTTCTTCGTATTTCATTATTTGCATTTTTAAACTATAAACCAAATGAAAAATTAAAACGACCAAACCAAGAACATAACCTCAACTTTAAAATACTGAAACTGTAATAAWTAAAAAAAAGCCTTATCAACCATTTGAAGTAGCATATGGTAATTTGTTGTTGTTAAAACTTGTAAAGAATAAGGCACGTTTAATGTTTATCTACATTTTTTTTAAATTACAAGAACGTCAAGAACAATAGCACAATTGGAACAAATGCCGTTAGATGGCGCTTGTGCTGTTTCGTAAAGCGCAAAAAACAAAGATTTGAATAATAAAGTCACAATGTTTAAAAAATATTAATCATACTTATTTCTGGTGACTTGTTTTCAATGATTAAATGAGTTATGATTCAAATATTATACTCTTTACTTTTAGAAAAGAAATTGATTGTTGAATAATTGCAAAATATTAMATCGTGTTCGTACTCGTAAATGGTGAAACCTTTTTTAATTGTGTTGAAATTTTTGATAGCCCTAAAAAGGGCATTTGGACACAACATAACTACTCAATTCAGGTACTGCTGAAAATGGCCACCATTGGCTTCCAAACATGCTCGAACTCTTTTCAAAAAATTTTGCTGGACCTGTTCCAACGTAGCAGGTGAATTTTTCATATTTGTTGTTATTCTGTTGACACGTGCCATCAGATCGTCGAGGTTTCCTACAGGAGTTTTGTACACCTCCTGTTTAATCGTTCCCCACACGTAAAAATCCAAAGGATTTAAATCCGGACTTCTTGGAGGCCAGAAATGTGGTGCCTCATTTCCCCTTCCGATCCATCTTGCAGCAAAGTTTTGCTGCAACCACTGGCAAACTTCAACAGCAAAATGTGGTGGAGCACCATCCTGCATAAACCACATATTAACTCGTTCAGCGAGAGGTACATCCTCGAGAACATCTGGCAGGTGGTTTTCTAAGAAATTTAGATATTCTTGCCCAGTTAAAGATATCGGGCAATCTCCATGGACCTAATAAATGGTTCCCAAGAAAACCCATCCAATAATTTACACGAAAATTTTTCTGTGTATGATTGATAAACACAGCGTGCGGGTTTGCATCTGCCCAGACGTGCATGTTTCTCATATTTAATATGCCTTTCCTATGAAAACACGATTCATCCGTAAACATGAGAGGAAAACGAATGATCGTGTTGATGATTTTCCAAAATCCATTGGCAAAACATTCTTCTTCTCTCGAGGTCTTCGGGAAGAAGTTCTGTACTTTAACCCGATGAAATGGATACAAACTTTGATCACGTAAAATTCTCCAGGCAGTAGCATGAGAAACATTTTCTGTCCGGCTTATTTCTCGTGTACTAATAGTTGGATCCTCTTCCACCTGATTCAGAACCCGTTCCTCTAATTGCGGTGTTCTAGCCGCTCTGGGTCTTCCATTTCTGTTTCTTGAACGAAAAGACCCAGTTTCACGTAATCTTTGATCTATTCTAAGAATAAATCCTCTAGAAGGTGGCCTTCTATTAGGAAAACGTGCGATGTAACGCCTTCTGGTGGCAGCCGCATTGCCATTACATTTTCCAAACATTAAATGGATGTCGGCCATTTCAGCATTAGTAAGTATTTTAAAGTTGAGGTTATGTTCTTGGTTTGGTCGTTTTAATTTTTCATTTGGTTTATAGTTTAATAATGCAAATAATGAAATACGAAGAAAAAACAACAATTTGGAGGGAAAATCGTTTTACGGTGTGAAAATTTCCGTGGTGTATTCTCAGATCAGGTTGTGATGGCCGGGATGGTTAATGCATTGTTTCTTCCAACACATAATCGTGTGTTTTACTATGATCATCAAGAAGTAATCAAATTTTACCTTGGATTAAATAAAATTGACATTAAATGTCACAGCAGTGACAGCTATGTCATTCGTAGTGAATTGTTTCCAAGGTAATGATACGCTCAAAATTCATACTTTTTGATTTTGCACCGCGGTGTAGTTTTGTTTAAACCGAAATAACTCGAGAACGGTACATTTTAGCGATATTAACAAGAGTACTTTTTTTTATGAAAAAATGATCGGGCTTTTGATTTTTGGCATCAAAAATATCTGTTAATAGGCTGAAAAAAGGAGTTATGACCCAAAAACTGGAAGGGTCCCATTGTCACCGGAAATCGATAGGTTTTACAAGACTTCCGTTTACACCATATCAAAGAGTGTCTTTTTGTCCCTTAACATGCAAAGTTTCATAATAATCGGATAAACGATAACAAAAATATTTCCATAAAATCATTTTCCATACCGATTTTTGGAAAGCTGTAATTTTTCTATTTTTTGAGTTAGGTCAGCAAATACTGTGCTCTCTATTCTCATTTGTAGAGGGGTATTCGTGGTTAAAATTATGCCACACATTTTTGAAACACGTGATATAAGGCTGATAAAATAAATGAAAAAGAAATAAATTTACGTGAAGAGGAATTTGCCAGTAATTTTAATTATTTTCCCAGAGAGAAATACCTAGAAAAAGTCCACTTAAACGGAAATTAAATTATTTGATTTAAAGGTTGCTAAGTGCTATGAAATTACTGCTATAAGTAAATTAGATGATGTTATATTTTATCCTGTTACTTATTTTCAGATCCATCGAAAATTAATAAGTTATATGAGTTATATGACGCTGTTTCATATTTTCTCGATAAAAACAAAGAGTGTCTCTCCAAAGAGATAATATGCTCTTCAAATCTAAAGATTATGCGAAGATTGTTTTTGTAATATAATTATTTTTGAAGATATTCCAATTATTTAATTTGATATTTACTCTAATAAATGAAATATATTATTTTCTTATTTCTCACTACTGTAAAAAGTTCAGATGATATTAATATTACAAGCACAGCGAAGCCTTACGATGAATCGAAGATTCAGAGTTATTTAGAACAATTTGGGTATTTAGAGAGTAATGGATCATTATTAACAGAAACGTCTTTGACTAGTGCTTCGCATACCAATGAAGCATTAATAAGGTTTCAAGAATTCTATAATTTACCAACTGATGGAACATTAAATCAAGAAACACTTGCTTTTATCAGTAAACCAAGATGTGGCGTTAAAGATAATCCAACACCTTATAGAATTCATTATCAAAAATGGAATAAAACAATTCTTAAATGGTATTTTTCGTTAGCTAGAAACGAGATGAAAGAATTAGCACAAAAAGCATTTGATCAGTGGGAATCTGTTTCAAATTTAAAGTTTGAGTACAATAGTATTAAACCAGATATACTTATATCATTTTCTAACACGTTGTTTCAGCATAATCATAATTCACGTTGTCAAAAAGGAATATGTTCTAGCAGTTTTGACGGAAAAGGTAATGTCTTAGCACATGGCTTCTTTCCAAATAATAATGAATGTTTAGGAATTCATTTTGATAAATCARAAAAYTGGTATTTTGGTGAATCAAGCAATACACCTGATGMTGAAACTAATTTTTATACTGTTTTATTACACGAAATAGGACACACATTAGGTATTGAACATTCTGCAAATAATAATTCAATTATGTACGCCTATTATAAAGGTGATATTGATAAATTGACTCAAGACGATATGTGGGCAATTCAATATTTATACATATGGACGACCTGAACGATTAAAATATGAATTAATACCAACAACAACAACAACAGTTAAACCTACTGTAAGCAAAGTCGGAGTAAAGATAATGTTGGTAATTCGTCTTCGACTCATGAACCTATGTATAGAATCTGTCAAAATTAAGTCTCGCAGTCTCGCCCTCCTTGTATCTATCTGTTCTTTGCCTCCTTGGCCCTTGTTATTCGTGGTGTGTTCGTGGTCGTGTACATGTTGTGCACATATAATAGTTCTTCCGTGCGTGCAATTTCGGGAATCGCCTGACTTGACTAAGTGTCGTTCTTCAATGGTAAATTATTGATTTATAAATAACCACAAATAACAGGATATGTCTGAAATACCGCCGTCGATCGTGAGCCACTTATCAGGGGAACAACAGTATACTTTGAAACTTCTCTTGAAGACTAAGGACCAAGAGTTGAAGACTAAGGACCAAGAGTTGAAGACTAAGGACCAAGTGTTGAAGACTAAGGACCAAGAGTTGGAAATACAAGAACTTAAATTTGAGGCAGAAATAAAAAAAATGGAAGATCGTCTAGTAAGTTAACGTGTTTCATTAAGTATTTAAAAAAAATGTAATTTTTTTTAGAGCGCAGCAAACTATAAGGTTTTATTGTCACAAAAACTTCTTACTATAAGAAGTTTCATGCGTTTTATCAGAGATGAATTCCTTTTTAACGTAAAGGGGACCTTCAAAGACAAATTGATGGTGTTAGCCAATGATAATCCCGAGCTACTTGAAGAGTGGAAAATCGACAAATATTTTAGTATTTATCTAACGTTGATGAATGATTTAAATCAACATGCACACCCGTTTTTCGACACGGACGAAGCTTTTATTCTGGTTGAGGGCGACTTAGAGCTAGAAGCATTACAATTAATTGGGTTTCTATGGTGTGTCATACCTCTGCCCCGAAAAAACCTCCTTATCAGAAATTTAAATAAGGATGTTATCCCTTTGATTAATTTTATCAAAGAATAAAAGATAATATAAAAAATATGTGTATTATTTTCATTGGGTGCTGTTCAAAAAAGTGAGTAATTAATGTAATGTTATATCAAACTCAAATCAATGATGTGGATAAGAGTAACATTGAAAACAAAAAAATCATATGAAAATGATCACAGACGATTAATTAGTTTTATTATTTGATCGATAAGACCACATTTAAATCCAAAAACTGTCAAGTCAAATTTATCAGATTTAACTAATGTATTCGAAATATCATCAAATTCATAAAACATTTTATCTTTAAAGAAATATAAATTTCTATATCTGAATGCTCTGCTTATATTTGGAGGTATTCCAGTAAATAATTCTGAAATAAGGCCGTTTTTCTTTGATCTAAACAAACACTCATCAAACTCAATATACAAAACTTTATCATAAAATATATATGTTTTTTCCAGAATAAGTTCTAAATATCGCATCAATTCTTTTTCCTTTTGGTATTCCTAAATTTTCAATAGATTGACCATTGTATCCACTTTTAACATTAAAACTTGGAAAATCAATTAAATAATATAAATTTTTAACAACTATTAAAACATCATCTGAAGGTCTTTGATAAATATGCGAAACTTCTTTAAAATCATCAGACAAAAAATATAAATAATCTTTAATTAATTTCGGTTCTTTATCATGTCATATCTTTTAAATTGACTAACCAAACATACTTCTTATAAAAAATATACATATGATGATTTGCAATTAAAAATGTGTCAATTTCTTTATTAAAATCACATAATTTTGACAGATTCTATACAGAATTGCCAACAAGTAAGAAGAATAAAGATAGGTTGTACTATTGGTTGCCTACTAATCAAATGAATAAATTTCTTTAAGGCTCTCCACTAGTGTAAAATTTATACGGGAAAATATACAAATTTCACCCATGTGTAAAATCTGTATTTTTTAATTCTACAAAAAAATCCACGTCTCTATCTGTAAATAATAGCATAACCTACCCCGCTATGATGTAATTTTTTCAAAATACTACTTAGATTCTCTAAAAAATTACCATTATTGTAAAACTTTGCCCAGATTTTTCTTTGTAACGGTGCAACATCTTAAAACAATTTTTTTATTGACATGTAGATAATTAAAATATGCACCTCGCTACGTTCAATTTTTTTTATAATACAAGATAAATTACAAAGAAACTTTAAAAAATGGATGCAACCCCCATTACTCTTGGATCGAAAATCTCAAGTTTCTTCCATGATTTACAGCCGTTATTACTCCCCATCGAGCGCTTAACCCCTAATAATGCTTTTACACAAACGGTACCTGCAAGAAACTTTCCTTTTTGTTGAATTTCAAATTGATCATATCTTAGCTACATTTTTTTGAAGTCTAGTAGCATTATGGCCAATTTATAGAACATTTAACTGCATTCAAATTTTAATTCGCCAATTATTCGACGTTTAAGAAGGCAAAATGAATGACAACAGAATTTGAAGCAGATACACAGTGTGTTCCCGTTTAGGGGAAACGACTCTTGTAAAAGATAAATAAATGTTGCTCTAAATTAGCACTGCTTATTAGTTAAAGACTAATTTCTAACATAATTTTAGTTTAAAAAAAATCAGGTATGCGTCGGAAATAAAAAAATATATATTTTTCTCTAAAGTGCCTTTTTTATGTAGAAAATAATTGAGTTTTTCTAAGAAAACTCTTGTGTAATATAAAAATATGTCGCTCTAAATTTGCATTTTTTGAGATTTACCACTGCTTATTAGTTAAAGACTAATTTCTAACATAATTTTGGGTTCTTCTAAGAAAACTATCATGATAGAAGAATTCGTTAGAAATTTGATTTAGTTAATCCTGAAATTTTAAAGAACTATCGAGTGTAGAAACCATATCTTGCGAAATTATTGTAATAAATTAAAAGAATTGGTCAAATGCGTAAAACTCAACCCAAAAATTAGAATTTTATTACGGCATGTATTACAATTTCGAACGGCTGTAGTAAATGCGGTCAAGTATAGAAAAAATAAGTCTGACCCCTTACACATAAAAACATGTGATCTAAAAAAAGACATTATAAATGGTCCTAAACACATATTTGGATGCCATGATCAGTGTTCGTCATATTTTTGTCATGGTGTAAAATCTGGCGAAGAGAATTTGTGGCCAACTTTTGAAAAAATATCATTACAAGTACTATATTTTTATATATTCTCATTCGACTCTAGTGATGATGGTATTTTGTAACGCATACGCGTAACCAATAATTGTTTTAGTTGGTTTTTCAAAATACTCTTTGCATTACTAAATCTCCATAAAAAACTCAGAAGTGTTTTTTGACAAATCGTCCCCTTACTGCAACAACTAGATAACTTAAATTTTAGGAAAGTATTTGTTACAATACTTCAAAAACCTAAAACCTAAATTTCTGTCAGATTAAAAAACTTAGTTTAGTATATATTACACACTTGTATGACCAATAATAATAATTTTTGATTACTTTCAACATGTAGTTTTTTGTCTTTTAAATTTTTAAATTGCAGTTACACAAAACTATAAATTTCAAGTTATCTAGTTGTTGCATTAAGGAGACGAAATATTTTGAATGTTTTTAATTAATTACATTATTTACTTTTGAAGCTGATAAATAATTAAAACTTTGTGGACTAAACATTGGACGACATACGTTCGCTTACTGTCATTGTTTTTTAAATAAACACATATTACATCAATTATTTTTAATATTATTATTACTATGTATATGTGTAATTTTATTTTATAGTGTATAGTGTTTGCTTAGTCTAATAAAATATTTTGTGTGAATATAAAGCCATTTATGGTCTTTTTTCTTTTTTTATTTTTGTTCGGTTTATAAAAGATTATTTATCTTCATACGTATTTAACAATGCAACTTGGCATTTTGTTATTATTATTAGTATTATTATGGTATATGAAAATAAGTGAAAGTGCACATTCTGAAAATTTTACTAGGATTATTTTAAAAGGTTCGGTCTGGTGTGGTCTTAGCGACCCTCGCCACAGGCGGTCTTTTAATCCGTTGATTGACAGCTGCCATTGCAAGCCTAAACGCCCTGCAATTTGGGTTGCATATTTCTGAAAACTGAAATTTTACTTCACTGCATAACACCCTGGCATTTTCTGGAGTGTATACCGTTTGGGCATACACTAAATTCGCTTCGCTTCATGAGCTCCGTCCGCGAATTTTCCAACTCATATGATTCTTTTAAATAAATTTCATCTATTTTTGACATAAGTAGTTCTATAATTATGCTAATGCTCTTTTACTGCTATAACAGGGTAAAACTAATTTAATAATAAATACCGTTTTTATTTTAAAGTCGTTAACCTTGTAAAACAGGGCAAAATCTTTGAAAAATGTTAATATTAAAATATACCTTAAATATCAGTGTTTCACGATTTTTTCTGCTTTTCTGTTTACCCCTTGAAAATCGGGGTGTTTTACCTTAAAAAGTGCTCTGTGCTGAAGGGGCCTTTATACTACTAGTGTAATTTGAGCCAGTAAAATTGTCATCAAAAATCTTTGATTCTCCGAAGTTAAAAAATTAATAAAAAATATTTTAAATTAAAAGCAAAATATTGGCTTGTAAACTTATAAGCAAACCTGTATATCACAGGTATTACATGCATCAATATAGTTTGATAACATTAAACAGAGCGTTCAATAAGTTTTAGGTTTTTTAGCTATTGGAAACAAATAACACAATTCTGTGGGAAGTAGTTATTCAAAATCATTTTGGTAAAGATCATACTTTATTTTTGTTTTACATTTTTTTTAAATAAAGGAAACATACAAATCAGGCGATGCTGCTAGCATTTGAAGCGATCCTGGGCCACAAATCTGCACACTCTTTCGCCACAGGTCCTGTGATAGCCGAGCCTTTCATTTCTCCTTTATTATTCACAATGACTCCCGCATTGTCTTCAAAGTATATAAAAACTCCATCCTTCCTTCTGAACGGCTTCCGTTGCCTGATCACAACTGCAGGCATGACTTTCTTACGAAGTTCCGGTTTGCCCTTTTTCACGGTTGCTACAATCATATCACCAGAACCTGCAGCCGGAAGACGGTTTAATCGACCGCCAATACCTTGGACTGCGATTACATACAAGTTTTTCGCTCCTAAAAGTTAATTTTGTAAAATTTCAAACATTAAATAAAAAATGGAAAACCTACCTGTGTTATCAGCACAGTTGATCACTGCACCGACAGGCAAACCCAGGGAAATCCTGAATTTGGCTCCCGCGGAACCACCACGTCCTGAAAATTAACGAAAACATGTTACCGAAATCATAACCTAAAAACTAAATTTCGGAATTTCTGGGATGATTTTCGCCCATCCTTAAAAATATAAACACAAACTTATACAGATTTTCACAGGAATTGTAATAAAACAACTTCTGAGATAAAAAAGATACGGATTGTTGGTGAATTTTATGATTTTTTAGAGAATATTCATACACTCACCTCTCTTAGACATTTTGGATTTGGAAAAGAAAGTGGTTTATGCAACAGCAAAGCACAATGATTGTTTGACAGATTTTTAAATTTTGGCGGTAATGTCAACTGAATTTTAAAAGTTGATAAACGCAACTAACAATAATGTTTGGTGATAATTGCGGCGATGATATTCAAAGTACTTTTAATTTAGTAAAATAATAGTGTGTTAACACCCCCGTAGACGTTGTTTTAGATATTGAAGAAGATGTATGCAGAAACCAACAAGCTTTGGGTAATGAAGACGAAATATTACACTCCAATGAAATTGAAGACCTCATCAGTAACATTAATGTTAATATTAGTGATTTAGACACATTATCTGGAACATTATCAGCCTCAGATTTTTTAAATGATTTGGAAACTCAAAGTTCTCACAGCAGTTCACTGATAAATGTTGAATCGGACGAAATTGAGGAAGATATCGAAAGCAAAAATAAAAGGGTTTGTAAAAATGTGATTTTAGAAGAAAAACAATATTTTTGAACACTTTAAGGAAATTGCAGTAGATAATTTAGCTGAAGTGTTGGAAAATCTGCAAATATCCTGTAAGTTCAAACTTGGTTATTTTTGTTTCATTCGGGTGGCAGCAATATTATTTTTGGGACTTATGATAATTGTCTGTTTTTGGTAGTGTTGTTTACGATCATTTTTTGTATTTCTGGCAAAAGACTAAAGGGTTATCGAAAATATTAGTAGCGTAGTTTTTAATATGGTTTTAGTTGATCGTATCCAAATAGAATTAGGGGGTAACTGATTAATTTGAATTTATTACATAATTGTGACATATAACCTCAAACTTTACAGCTCAGGAGCCCTGGCCCAAGGACGTCAAATTCTTCCAACCCTACGAAATCGAGCAGATTTTACTACCCGACAATGCCAACTGCTTGGCAGTACAAGCTTTTCTCAAAATGTGCAATTTGGATTTTCAAGTCGAACCACGAGCAAACGCTGAAGCGATGTCTCCATCTGGAAAAGTCCCGTTTATTAAAGCGGGGGCTTTTGTGGTGTCCGAACTCGAACCTATCGTGCAGTTTGTTAACAATAAAGGAATTTCGTTGACTGACAAATTAGATCCTGAAATGAAATCAGACATGAGAGCCTACATGAGTTTGGTACACAACGTTATGGAAGTTGCTGAAGTGAGTATTTTATTTTATAAACTTTAAAATGATGTTGGCGTAGTTGTATATATGCTGGTGCGACAAAGAGACTTATAATGAAGTCACTAGTGTGAGATATGGCTCCATTTATCCATGGCCATTGAATCATATTCAAAATAGAGTGAAGAGGGCTCAGGTGATAAAAAAATTGAAGGTTTTGGGGTGGTATCAAAAATCCATATCGGAAGTTTTTCAAGAGGTTGAGAATTGTTGTCAGGCTCTTACAGACAGACTTGAGGACAAAGATTTTTTCTTTGGTGACAAGTATGGGTAGTAGTTTAAAAGGGAATTGTTTTGATTTGAGAGGATTTTAGACCAACTGAACTTGACGCTTTAGTATTTGGCCACCTTTTTACAATTTTGACGACTCCCTTGCCAAATAGCCATATTGCCAACATTGTGAGGAATTATCCAATTCTTATTAACCTGATCCAAAGGATTGAGAGAGACTACTTTAAAAGAGAGACAAAACACTAGTCATACAAATAAAACACAGTTTATTATTTTTATATTTATTTACTGTTAAATTCAGATAAATGTAGTTATCGAGATATTAAAGCACCTTTCAGTTAATAATTCTTCGCTTTTTTAAGTTAAGTGAAAGAGATCAAGAACCAGGGCAGCATTACGAATTTATGTACAAAAATATCATGGTAATGCTGCTGTGATTCAAGATCACAGAATACAAACAAGCAACGGCTTGATTTGTATAAATTATTGAGATGAATTCAAATCGGGAGTATCGCAACTTCCCGAATGAACGTTTTATAAATAATCCCTTCACCTTCCCCTTGTTATCATGACTATTCTGGAGCCAGAGCGGCACTTTGAAACTTAAACCTATCGGAACTTGAGGTAAATTACTAGAGAAATAAAGATTGAGGCAAGTAAAAAGTAAATGGCAGTTGAAGATTTCATTTTGAACATCACTGTCGTATTTAGAAGAGACGTTTAAAACTATATGAGCACTGAGCCTTGAATGGCACCTAAGCTAATTTTCGACAGACTGATGGCAGTTGACTTTTTAACTACTATGACTATAGGCAGTGTTGGTGTAAGGACCGCTGTAAATCGAGCTGCCGGGATTCGATGAAGTCTTCTTCGATCTTCGTCTCGCCAGGAGGCAAAGGATGGCGGCGATGACGCAAAGCATCAAAATCAGACCCGCTATACAAATGCCGATGGCGAAACTTCGTTGAGAGATGCAGATGCTGTCCTCGGGTGTCTGAAAAAAAAATGAATTTAGGAGTGTCGATTACAATTAAAATTTTATTGCCTCCCTTTCAATGAGTAACGACTATATCTAATAGTCACAGTGAAAGTTCAAATAATTCATTTTTTAAGTGGAGATACGCATGACATTCACTTTTCATTATTTCTTTATTAACACTGGAGGAGATGAGATTTATCGCTCATTTCCTTCAGCGATAATTGTCCAGGAAGTTGATATGGATGAACGGATTTTTTTAAGTTGTATAACGCTATCCGTGGCTCAGACTACTAAAAATTCCGTTCTTTTTCAGTGAAAGAATGCATTAAGTATAATTCAATTATTGGTTGTTTCTGTAAAGAAAAAAGAGTCATTGTTTCAGTCTGATGCTTAACAATGCGTTCTAGGACTGAATTTGGTAATAAATATTACTCAGTTACGTGGGACAAAAGAAGTCTTCAAAACAAAACAAAAAGTATAGACAAAAAAACAAAGCAAATTTTAATATTTTGAAACTCCATTCTTTTCCATTTTTAGGGTATAATATTAATGATATTCTACTTTTGTGAAAAGTTGTTTATTTTTTAGTGTCGATTTTTTAACTTATTTTATGATATTTGACACTAGAATTAAAAAAATAGATTTTTTGGGAACCACTTCAGTATACAAATGTATGTTCTAATCTGCAATCAATATTTTGCCTGGAGTTAAATTCAATGACCATCCAAAATCTGCATGAATAAACCGTTTGATCTCATTGACCGATTCGATGCTTTTTATTCCTCAAATTGAGCGAAGTTTTTTCCTCAAATTACTCGTTAAAATCTCACCGAAGGTCATTAAATCAAAATTGTGACTCACGGTCCCAGAGAGCAAAAAACCGTTGTTTAGTGACTGCAACAGCGAATGCTATCGGTTTGCTATTGTTATTTGTTCTTTCTTTAGACGTTTGTGTGCCGAAAAAGGCGACAGACCGTTGTTTATTTTTTGATTGCAACCAAAATTGGCAATACGCCCCGGGGCGATGCTCGGTCGGTGGTTTCGAAGAAGATGTGATAGGTAACTCACCTTCTCGCTAAAGACGGAATCCTCCTCCAAGCCGGCTTTAGCGAGGTCGTTAGCCTCATTGACATAAAGGCCACTGTATACTTCGATAGTGGCAGGAGTCCCTTCGTTGGGGTCCGCCGGACTGGCACCGCCAGTGGCTTGCCTACGCAACCTGTTCCCTCCGCAACTTGGTGGCTGCAAAATAATCAAAAAACATTTAAAACTGCTGCTTATCGAATGGAATCTGGTTAATTTATGCATGGAACAAGTGCAGCACAGATGAACGAAAATTCACATTTTGGATAGAAAGCTGATGTGATGATTTTGTATCACTTCATTTGCATCTTCACGAATTAAAAAAGCTTCTCAAGAATGTGAAATTCGTGTTTTTCAACTTAATTAGATACCTGCCGAAAATTGCTATTTTCAATATGAAAAATGAAAGTCTGGAGATTTTTTGCCTAAAACTTGTGTTCTAAAGCCAACCTAAAATTAATTCAATGAAATTAGCATTTTAAATATGGGGAAAGCAAGTATGCAATTTAGAGTACAAGCAAAAAATTGTTAAACGCTCTGAAATATTAGAACATAAAGAACTTGTTTGTAGAAAATGACAAATAAGATAAGTCATAATATAGGTATACAAAAACAAATATTTCACAGTCATGACTTGGAACTACGAGTATTACTTTACTCCCTCGTGTAGGTGTGTTATGACCGCTCTTCAAAAAAAATTAGCCGCCAATATTGACATTAAATTAAATATTTTTGAAAAACCCAGGCATAATCAATAATAACTATGTTTGCGGTTTTCAAATACTTTTTGAATATCTGCAAGACATGTTAGACTTAAATTAATTTAGACATAATATTTAAAGAAAAAAAGAGAACATTATTAATCCACCATATTTTTATCCCAAGTTTAACTGATTTAGAAATCGGTCAATTTTTTAAACCTAGAATTCTTCGAAATAATTATTTCTCAGTGTCATTTTAGGACCTATTATTTTTTTAATTACAAGTTCTAGTCAATTCTAAGGGTATTTTAAATATGTGCAAACTTTGTAGTTTTTTTATGTAGTTTTATCGTCAATGAGTTTTAATTTTTTTTTTTGTAAATTTTAAGGACTTCATCAAAACTTACGTAGAAGATAGATTTATTCCATTGCTTCTTGAGTATGATAAATTATTTTTCTATTATTTATAAATTACGCTTTTTATAAATGGATTAACGCAAATATAATAGAAGAAACTAGTCTATTAGCCGGCGATTTATAAAGCACGACAATTAACGCACTCGCTGCGCGCGTGACTTTAAAATGTCTCGTTATTAATTGAAAACATTAACAAACTCGTTCAATAATAAAAATATTAATATATTAAATTAATATTTATCTACTACGGAAGAGAATAATTTAGTTTATCATAATTTAGAAAATATATCAGAGGTTTGTAAGAATAAGTAGTGAACTAACCTGTAGAAAATGATTAGTTGATCTTTTTGACATTTTTATAATAACGACGAGAGAGTAGGTAATCTGCATTGTGCATACATTTTATTTTCGAGTATAACAGACATACGTACTTTTTTAAATCTTTGAGTATCTACCTATTAAAAAAGAAAAAAACTTTTAATGACAAAAAAAATTAAAGTTTGTATTTCTCTAATAATTATTTCAGTTAACGGATAAATTGTTGACATCGGACAGCTTCCATTTTTTTTCAGCAGTCGAACTTGCTTTATCATTATCAAACTCGATTACATAATGTTAAAATTGAATATCGCAACGTGACTGCACATTCAAAAAATCTCGCATAAGTGTCAGTGGCGAGAGCCATTTGTCTTATAGTTCTTCGAGGACACGATATGGCCATTGTGCATGCAATGGACCCTGACGCCCTCCCGCTTAACCTTGGGTGCAGCGGCCATACACCTACAACCTGAACCTGATGGTTCTCAAAACGAACTTCGCTAACCTCCGTCAAGAGGTAACGGTAACGGATTTAAAAATCTTTTGATTTGGTGTTCTTAATTTTACAAATAGGATGTTATTTTAATTAGGATTTTATAATGATGTGATGAGAGAATTCCCAGCAGTTTCAGTCGTGCATCAAGGCATCATCGGTATGAAAACCAATTAAAAGAAAATCATGAGGGCTATTCTTTCGGCAGGTCACGAATATCATTTACAGATCTAACAGTTGATGGATGAGTTTTAGTGAGGAAATTAGACATAACTGTTGTGGTTTGGAGCAAATTTCCTAGGGCATTATATTCAACCGCCAAAACCTACGCCTATGCAAAATAATCACTAAAATCAATTTTATGTAATAATTGCCAATTTTGGTTTCCTCTAATGGATTTCGTAAACAGTTTCTTTAACTTTCATTTTTTGAGAGAAATTTAAAATTCAATATACTTATGTTTCGTAAGATTAGCTGAATAAAATAATGCAAATAAAAACATTTGTCTGCTTTTATTGTTTAATATCTTCCTACACGACTAAAACTAGCTAATATCTCGTCCAGCTTTATTGGTTTTATCCTTAACAGGTTTAATCACTGCCTCCACGTTGGCGAATTTGTAGTATTTAGTTTTTTGGCTTAATACATTTCGAAAAATCTTAAAAATCATTTATTCTTTACGATAAATAATTAACTTTTTCCATTACAACAAAAAATTTTTTTTATACATTACAGTAGTCACGATAATCCGGAATTGATGGTACCGGATCCTATCCGTATTAGAGAGCTTTAAAATTCTATTTTTTTTTTTGAGCTCTGTCTGTTTTGTCCGGATTAACCGGAAGTTCGGATTAGCAAAACTCTACTGTACTACTTGCAAAATTCAAAGATTATTTTTTTTATACATAGTGCATGTTAACATTATCGGATAAACAATAAACTCGACACAAAAGTTAATTTTACAATAATTATTTTTAGTTGAGTATAAATTTTCGATTATTTAAAATACACTAAAAATAAATTCTAATTTAGTTAACAATCCCACTTACAAGTAACCATATAACTGATTAAAAATATGGGAGGTTATAACAATAATAATTAAAATACGCTTTTGTTTCAACAAGGAATTACATTTTTCAATGTATCCTTGTTCTAGGAATTTTATTTTTCTTCTTTATTTATAATCCTTTCTTATAACTTCGTTCGATGCATCAAAATTGTATCAAGAATCTTCTTTAATTTACGAGATTTCCTTGACTTACTGCAAATAATAGGAAAATCAAACCCTATTTTATGTCTCATTTCGGTTTATTTCGTTCAAATTATCAGTTTTTAACTTATTTTAAATTGTCTCTTTAAATTAATACAAGAAATCGCAAAATCAGATTCTAAACAATGCTATTTCAGCTTATTCTTTCATTCAGTTAAGAGCTTTCATTAAATTGAAGCAATAAATTAGGCTCTGAATATATAATTTTTAATTGTTATTTCATCTCATTTGTCTAATTTTGTAACAAGAGTTTCATTTACTTTAAGAAATAATGTCCAATTGATTAAGAAGCAGCAAAAATAACGCAAAGCGCAAAGGTCTTTGCTTTTTTAGTTAACATTCATTTTATAGTTAATCCAGAAATGCCAAACTTTCTACCTTAATTGGTAATTTACGAATAGCCTCTCACTTTTTATTTAATAAAATTAGTTTTTTTTTTTAATTTTTTTATATACCTTTTATGACACTTTCTATTAAATTATATTGAAGTACAATTAAGACAATGTACATGTTATAGTAGTATGTATTTTTTATAGAATTTGTCTCCAATGTTCTGGAATCGATTTTTTTCCTTGTATCCAAGAGCTGTTATGATTTTAAAAACACCCTACTGTTAGACAAATATTCATTAATAATTGTTACTAGACCGATAAAGAAATAAAATAACAGATTTGTACATTTCAGTTTCAGTGACTTTTTTATGTTTCAAATTCCAGTAAATTGAGAATACTTACGGAAATATCACAACCTCCATCAGCCTTTAGACACAATTTGACGTTGCACTGGTAGTAAACCGATGCGGTATAAGGGAATTTGTGCGCTTGAAAGTGCACCGAAGCTTTCGTCTTGTCGTCGGAATACTGAAATTTGTCCATAATTTCGGCATCCAAAGGACATCCTTCGTCGTTAATCAATTTCTGTTCTCCCCAGCCTAATCCGTCCCTGACCAAACAATCCGTGACGCGTATTCCGTACGTGTCTTGCTCGTCCAGAGTAATGACGAGTGTTAAAGGATCACCGATTTTCACGTTCTCGGCCACTTCCTTGTATAAAGGGTCTCCAGAAAAGATTTTCATGCTGCAACCTGGCATCGGAGCTAATGCCGTTATGGGGTCGGCGGCCATCAAACTGGAAAAGTGAAATTTTTTAGAGCGGTAGGTGAAGGTTGGTGACAATGAGCATGACTTTTCTTTACAGGAATGAAAGTCTGATGCAGATTAGGCGACGCAATTTAAAAGCCATCAAAGGCTTATTTCTTGAGAAATGTATGGCAAAGATTAAAATATAAACAGGAATTATATGAGTTCTATGTGTGAAAACAGACAACAAAAGAACTCAAAGTTGAAAGTAAAAGAAAATGTCATAAATTATCATAATATGTATTGGTTCGTTGCAGCTACATTCAAACTCTTATCTCTAGCCGCCGATTTTGCATACAGCATGGGCGTAAAGGTCATAAAATCGAGTTCGCTATATTTCCATACTATCTAATTTATTTATAAAAAAAAATAAAGTGATAACATTAAATCCTGATAAATCGTTGAATTTATTACTTACTGTTGTTACAATCAACGTAATTTTAAGTAGCTTAAGCTTGAGAATTCACATAAAATATCATTTTATTATACCTACTTCGTCTCATTTTGCAGCAATTTCAGTTTCATCCGGTGGGTATTAAAATATTTTCATGCAAATCTAAATCATCAATCGAAAACTGTTTATACAATTATTTTAATTATAGACAACATTATGTAAATAGTGAACATTGAACTAATTTCCATGCAATCATCAAGGCTGTATGCATTTAATTTTGTTATATTTTCACCGTTGTATAAAATATGTTACATGATAGGTACTTTTTATAGTGAGCACGAGTAAAATAATGGTTATTTTTCTAAGTAGCAAATAATTTTCATAGAAACTCACATAATTTAATTTTTTTTCAAAGTTGTGACAGAATAAACCATTTTGTAATAATATTTGCTGAAAGTACTGTTTATTTTACCTTCCATATATAGACATAAAATAGGTAGGTACTCAGTTGGTCAGATTGATTTCTACTTACTTTTCTAAGTTATTTAATCAAATCTCAATTGAATAATTTAATTACTTAATATAATTAATAATTATTATATTGTTAGTTTGTTGTTTTTCAGTGTCTATAGTTTTAGTTGACTCACCCTGTACATTATAAATGCATAAATATTGAACATATAGCGCGCTGTTTCTTAGGAACCACTTTAGAACAACAGAAAGAAATACTTGTAAAAATATTGTTGCATATTTCGTTTCTCTTTATAAATTACTAGGTAAATTGAATTCATTTCATTACGTTCACTCACTAATCTATTTTTTTTACTTGAGTGGGAGTTAATTTTAATCTTTGAAGAAATTAATTGGCATAGTTATTGTCTTCTGCAACATATACCTAATAGTATATTAAAAAACAACTTTCATAAGACCAGTTCTGAAGCACGAATTCAAGTTTAAAAAACGAGTGGCGTAGCCACGAGTTATTTTAAAGAATAAGTGCTTCAAGGTCTTATGAAAGAAGTTTTTTATACAATTTTTTTGTAATTTGCCTTCTTTACGTTGTTTTTAAACATTTTTTTTAGTTTAATCGATTTAGGGATTATTGTGACATTTTATAATGTCTTAATTTTAAAAGTCAAATTTGATCAAGTCGCTTATTTTATCGCACATGATGACATCGCGTTCTTTAATAATGAACCTAGGCAAATTAGAAAAACATGTATTATTTACTTAAAAAATGTTAATGATTATTCTCTTGATTTAGACCCGGTTTAAAGAATATTAATTTATTGACAACTTAGTTCGAATAAATTTAATTCTGAATTAAAAATTTAATACGCTTCTTTCAGCCTTAGGACACCAATTTCAGGTCTTGTTCCATCAAAATCTTTCATTTAAGTCGATTTCTGTTTCCAAAACGTACTAAATCTACTGAAGAAGAGTTTATCTGATTTAAAACGAAGATTTTCGTATTTGTTTCAGAAAAATATAGATATGAAAAAGTAAAGCAAACAAAAACGTTACATATACGAGTATGTACAAATTTATTGAAAAAACAAGTTAATAGTATCGTAAGAATCTGGTTTCAAATTTGAATCACTTTATAAATAAATTATTGATAAAACAATTTTCGTAATTTACTTTGTATTAGGACGTCTTACGAAAGATACCTACAACCAGCAAACCAAAATAAAAAATTTCTTAATGAACCAAGTGAAACGTTAAAGGTTTTTAAATGTTGTAATAATTTAAGAAACAGAAATTATTAAAAGAGCTGATTACATTACTTTAATTATGTTCGTAGTGTATTACGAAATAGTGCAAATTCCTCTAGGTACTTGTAAAAATCTAGAGACGAGCTATCAAAAGGAAATTTATTCGAAAAGGATGAGGAAATATTCAGTGGCCATTGCCACACTAACAGCGAATTCTTGTTCAAAAATGGTTGTTCATTTACTATGGAAATACCAGGCTTGAAATGAGATTCCACACATCATAAAAAGATACTTACTCAACCTTGAGAGAATCATTTGTGATGGTATTATTTCTGGTGTTGTAGCGACAACGGATATGGAAACCTCTCCCTTGATTGGTGACCAGTTTAAGATGGGGTTGCACGACGATGGTATTAAAATATTCAATACCACCATCATCCTAGAATTAAAAACAGAAATTATATAATGACAATCACGAAAAGATGTATTTTGTATAATTGAATGTTTTTACAGGACGAATGATGTCATGCAACAAACAACCTCAAGGTAACTTAACCCATGCAATCATCTTTCCTCGTCATCACCAGTACTGTTATTAATTAAATATTGTCATTATTTCTCTCCACAGGTGAACGTACTGTCAAAAAAGCGAACACTTTTTTGGGTTTCATATATTGTCGACAAATTAGTAGAGAAAGTGAGTAATGATTATAGCAGGAATCAAACGGGACTTAAAACTGGAAAAAATTAAGAAGCAGTGTCTCCTACATTCTACCCACGAATTAAAAACGAATTCGTGTATATTTTTTGAGGTGTAGAACTTGTGAAGGTCGTCTTGTACGTGGGCTTCGCAAAGGTCAAGAAAACCCACAATTTTGGCCAAATTTTCACGTTCAGTTTCAAGCAGCATTTATGCATTTGCAAAATTAGAAAGTATTGCTCTATTACAAATGAATTTAGTGACTGTATAATTGTGACGTAATCATAATTGTCCTTTAATAACCGCTATTGAGTCTCAACTTCACGGTTCGAGTTGCCACCTCTTAATTAAATGTCAGAAAAATTCAAATTCAGTAACTACAACCCGGACTTGCTGACGTATTATTTAGTCAGTTATGATCTCCCACATTGAGACCATTCCGGGCAAGAACGTGACCACGCCTTTCGACGTGTTACAAAAGTTGGTAATTATGCTTTATGTGTGTATTAAACAGCAGATTATAATTACAAAATTTGCAAGTGATGGATGTGTCGAAAATAGATAACCAACTATCCATTGTTCTGTTGTATTATAATCCCCTAACATCAACATTGACCACTTTCACTTTTTATGTGATATAATTTTTGTTTGATTTTAGTCGCAAGTAACCTTTAAGATGCAGCCATGAACGAGATTTTTTCAAACAATGCACCAACGAGACCGGTTCTTCTTTCAAGTCAATTTTTCGTCTCTGGTTTCAACAGAAATTTCTGTTTGCTTTATGTGATAATTTGCATAACTTTCTCTGCGGTTTTACTTTTTCCCAATTATATAAGAAAGAACCATATGTTATTATTAAGAGCGATTGATTGTAATGTGTACCAGCTGTTACCATAAAACATCAGTTTCAAGGCTCTGGCCTCTTTATTCATATAAGTCCACGCAAGAACATTCGGGTACATCACGTTACGTGTTCACACCTACTGTGGAAATTGCGTCAAAGTATTCAAATTTTTCAAACATCTGCTTGACTGATGGACGAAATTTGCTAAATCATCACTATTTTTTGATTGGACCAGCTTCTGGCTTATATAAACCGTTCGAGTCAATTTGTATGTCAGAAATGATGTATGGAGTGGACTGATTTGCTCGTTTTCAGTAACGGTTCAGTTAAAAAGCTCCATCTCGTTGAGATGCGGAACCGATGAATTAGTTTTTTAGCAGGTTGACAATTGATGGAGCACTTGACCGAGTCCGATTCGAGTCTTCAATCAATTTGGGATTTATACTCGTATTTCTACTCTTTTTTATTCTTTGATTTTATTGTATTATGATATAAGTAAAATGACGAGAGACAAGACAAAAAAAATACATACTGGGTGATTTTAACGTATGTGCAAATGTTTTAACAGGTGACAGTAGCGCTCAAAAAAAGTCAAAATAACTAAACTTGCTTTATCCGAACGTTGATAACAGTTTCTGAGAGATATAAAGGTGCAACCTCTACATTGGCGTCAAAAAAATGCAACATAAACGAAGTTTGAATCTCTTGAATACCTTATCCCAAAATTTACATTGTTAGTAATCAGTAACATTTGAGGTAGGAATGAAATTAGATGATACCTTCAACAAAAAAATTGATCCAAAATTTTTACCGCTTTATGATTTTTTTATATGACACTTTTTGTGAGCCTACTTTTGCTAGTTTTAACTCAATTTTTTAAAACAAGTAATGGATTTTGAAAAGCTAATCTCAGAGATCATGTTTGTTTACAATTTGATTTGGTGAAGTTTAAGGCTGCGCCCCAAATTTAAATTTATTCGATGAACAAAACCCTCTGTATCTCAAAAACTATAAACATTCGGATAAGGCAAGTTGAGTTGACTTCTTTTGAGCTCTACTATCACCTATTAAAATATTTGCATATACCTTAAAACCATCCTGTATGTTTTTTTTAAAAAAGGCAATTATTAAAAAAATGTAGGTAGGACTAAAAGGTAAAAAAATACCTAGTTATTTATTATTATACAAGACGATAAAGAAATTGTTTATCGACGAGTGAAAAGGATAAGTTTACGAGTGGCGAAGTCACGAGTGGACTTATTTCACGAGTAGATAAACAATCTTTATCGTCGTGTATATATGGTTTTATTTTGAACTCACAAATCAGAATTTCTTGAATATAACAAGTAGATAAAAATTACTTTATTTCACTAAACGATAAAAGACCACTTTATCTACTGAAATTAGTTGATAAAAACACTTTTTAAAATTGAATACAAAATAAAGAATATTTCTATTAGACATTTTTGCTCACAGCTTAAGATTTTAAATTTTATAAACTAAACTTTGTACCTAATTGTGTTAGAAATAGTGTAGGTCCACAATTGCACAATTTTTTGTGAGTTTATAAAAACATCGGTAATACTTTTTTTTACAAAATTCTTTTCAAATAGGTCTACAGTTAAATAAAATTGCTTACATTTCAAATTGTTCCAAATATTCTTAAAATCGTATGTGAAAGAGAAAATTTGACCATTTTACCCATTTTTTAAACCAGATCAAAATTTCTGAAATGCTTCCTTTTTATTTAATAAACAAACTGCGGTAAGAAAGCAATAATTATTACAAGCGGAAGTGATTAGATGTCATAGGACTTGACTCAGAATTTCAATTAACGTCTTGTGATTAAAAGTTTTTGTTTTAAGTGTGTTTAAATACGCGATTTTACATGAATTATACATAATCACAACCACATGACTTCACGGTATTTTAAAACATTATAAAGGAATAAAGAATAATAAAAATAAAGAAATGCTTCTTTCAGTCATGTAGCTATTTATATGCACTTACATACAAACCTCACTGCAGTAATTCCTTATAATGACTTTCAACTTCTGCTTACAGAATTATTATTATTAACCACTTATATTCCGCAATTTACTCGATTTAAAATTAAAGTCAAAGTTCACACTTTTAATATTCTAATCGCTGGCCTCGAGGAGGCACTCAAAGTCCTGTTATTTGTGTCAACACGGTTCGTAATAAATTCAGAAATCGACAAACGGCCGTTATGTGAGCAAGATATGCGAAGCTCATTAACAAATTGTAGCCGTCGTTGCGTAAAAATGTAAAGACAATAAAGGAAAGTGTTGAAATTATAGCTTAATCACGTATACTTAACTGTACTGTTTTGTGTACAGAAACGGTCAATTTGTCGTTTTCTCATGAGGAATTCCCGTTAACTTTATTAAAACGCTTCAATTATTTCCCGGATAGGGACTTTATGGGCACGCGTCATCAAGTTGAATTAAATTTTCCGTTATCTATCAGCAATTTCCATATTAATCTGGCCTTCCATCGTGACAATATCGAATGCTCGCGGTTTTATATGTCAAGTTGAACACGAACACGTCGTTGCACATTACCATAATTTCGTCTTACCAGCAAAAATCAAACGAATTCGACGATAACTGGGCGCGGCAGTGCTCTCGTGCCTCAGGCTATTTCCACAACCAATTCATTATTTTCTTAATATTTAATTTTCAATTTCAGAATTTTTTCTGTTAGTTTTTGACATTTTTTTAAAAAGGTTTTTAAATCTTGGTGCAAAAGAACTTTCCCAAACCCAAAATGTCAAAATTTTTACACTACAAAAATTATAAATATAATTATAAAAATAAAGAGTTCCTTGACTGACTGTCAGACAACGCACAGCCTAAACCACTGAAGCTAGAAACATGAAATTTGTGCAGATATGTTCCTTAGCGGTTGTGAAGGTGCACTAAGATGAGATTTTTCAAAAATAATTAGTAAAAACTTTTGTACTCTCTTAGAAAAGATGGTGAAACGGGTTTAAACGAAAATAGAAACATTAAATTTAAAAGATATGTTTCTTAGAGTGTTTTCAGGTTCGCTAAGAAAAAATTTTTCGAAAATGAACCTCAACGGGGATGAAATGAGGTGTAAATATTTAGACAAAGATAGAAAGAAAAAAAAATTAAAAAACATGTTCCTTATTAGTTGTAAAAGTGCACTAGGACAAGATTTTTTTTTATATAAGAAGTAAAAACTTATTTACCCCCTTACAAAAGGGAGTGAAACGGGGTGTACACTTCTAATCAAAAATAAAAACATGAAATTTGGACAATATGTTCTTTAGAGCGTGTAGAGGTTCGTTAAGGAAGGATTTTTCTATAATCAATATATAAGGGGATGAAATGGGGTGTAAACATTTAAACGAAGGTAAAAATATAAACTTTGGGAAACATATTCCTTAGAGGGTGTGGAAGACCGCTAAGAGAGGATTTTTTGAAAATCAATTTCTAAGCAGGGTTAAATGAGGTCTAAACATTTTAACGAAAATAATAACATAATATTTGGCAAACATATTCTTTAGAAGGTGTAGAGGTCCGCTAAGAAAGGATTTTTTGAAATTATATTTACAAGAGGGTGAAATATGTTGTCAACACTTAAACGAAGATAGAAACATAAAATTTGGAAGATATGTTCTTTGGCGGTTGTAAAGGTGCACTAAGACGAGATTTTTAAAAATCAGTCTTTAAGGGAGTGAAATGAGGTGTACATGTTTAAACGAAGATAGAAACATGCAATTTGGAAAATATTTTTCTTAGAGAGTAGAGAAGTTCACTAATGAAGCACTTATCAAAAACCATCCTATATAACGGGATGAAATTAGGTGCAAACATTTAAACAAAAATATAAACATAAAATTTAAAATTTTGAGATTTGAGGGTGTAGAAATGCACTAAGAAGATACTTTTTGAAAATTCGACGAGGTGAAGCGTTTATAACATATTTTCGTCATTCTTTTAAAAATCGGGTTTCTGATGCTCCCGCGTTGTTTTGAATTGATGAATCAAGAAAAAAATAGATAAACAGACTAACTTCACATTTCTTCTTTAAGAAACAACAAAAATTTATACCGAAAATCTACGTGGACGACGTCAGGGTGCAAGCTAGTATATTTTATTTATTATAACATTGCCTTTTATTTGTAAATTCTTTATTTTGTCGTATTCTTGTAGTTTTTGAAGAATCTACTTAATGTTACTCAAAGTTGTCCGGAAAAGTCGTCAAATTAATTCGAGGCCGACAGATAGATGAGACAGTGCTTTCTCGCGCCCGAAGCATGAGAAATTCCCATTATCGAGGAAAAATTCCCGGGTCGAGGGTCATAAATTTTCAATGTATTCGTTCATGACTCACTTACCAACTCTGTGCTCATGGTGTTACATCCTCTCAGAGGAAGATTGTATTTGATAGGGGAGGGTCGTTGGACCCACTCGCCCATACAAGAACTGTTCTTCGACAAACCTCTAGGATAAATCATGCCGTTGAATCTCCCTGATCTGGTGTTGATATTGACTACGATTTCGTCACTGTTGCATTCTACACGTACATCCGATGCTACTTCCGGTACGTCTGCAAGAACAACGATATGTGAATAACTGGACAATTGATTAAGATATTGTTATTCGGGAGAGGTATTTGATTCGTAGGTTGTAGCGTGCGTACAATTCATTTCCTTTCATTGTTTCAAAGATTCATTCAGGAGAAAAACTTTTCGTAGCAAAAAACTTACACTATTTGTATTGATTCTAATACAATAAGAAGATAAACTGTAGAGTTTTCTCTTTACAGTAAAAGAAAAAGTTAAAGAAGTTTCACAAAAAAATTGCTAAATACTGTTTTAAAAATTCTTGTTACGCGTACTTTTTTTATTTGAAAAAGGTATATAAAGTATAAGCATCGGAAAAATAAAAGAATACATAAATATGTAATAAATTTAAAATAATAATCAAAAATAAAAGTCATTTCAGTGATGTCTATTTTTAAGAAAAATTTATCTAACCTGTGTTCGAAATAAGTATTTAATCAAAGGTTTCTGAAAGAAGTTGCAATTTTATATTTCAAATAATTTCAATTCTATTTATTCTCTAAACTAGTTCATTAAAATAAAATACTCATTTTCCAAATTAATAGTACGTCAAAATTGGGAACTTTTTACTCTTTATCCTCAAGTTGTAAAATTAATTACTAAAATTATCTTACAGTCGATTCGTTAAAAAATTCCTCAAAACAGAACAATATCATTCAATTATTTGAATAACTGGTTTTCATTTTTAATGAAACTCTAATTTACTTGATTTGTTTTCTAATAAAGGAAAAATTAATTTCAATTAAAGGATGCCGTTACATTTTTTTAATTGGAAGACCTTCCGGTATTAAAAAGGTAACTATTGTTATTATTCAGCAGGATTTTATTATAATTAAGTTTAAATTGCGACCGTGACTCCAACTTAATCAAAGTAATGAAAGAATGATGTTTCGTTGTTTGCGGAAAAATTTCACTTTGTGTACATCGTAGTAGAAAAGTCTACGTCGTGGCCATAAATAAAAAGTGAAACCAACACTTTACACAAGATGTCCAATACAGACTACAGATCAAATAATTAATATCTCGTGACCCCAATTTTACTTTCGTTTTCCATGCATAAATAAGTCATTTCTAAAAGGTTTAAAATTGCAACTTACGAAACTCTATACACAAGATTAGATCCGGTCTTGTGTTACAAACTATTATTATAATACCTATGAACTCTTAAAAAACTGATTGGTATAAGTAAGTAATCTGTACCTATTCTTGTTTCTTTATCGGCGTCAAAAATCTTTTGTCACACAAAGTTGGAATTATGTTTATCTTTTATGTTTAAAAACCGCGACTGAGGTTAACAAAACAGCAAAATAATTGTCAGTAATATGATAAAAAGATGATGGTAGTTAACGTCAAGGCGCAACTCGAGGCCATGTTTGGCATTATAATAATCATCTTTTCCATCTAACCTTAGACTCGGTCGAATAAAAGCTCATCGTCGGATATAACTGAATATAGGATTAATTTATCGTCGCATCACGATTACATTTTTCGTACTTACTCGTTGTGACGGGTATATTGGCAGCATTGACAGTGAAATGCGTGAAGACCTGAAAAAGACAGAAAATCAATCTAATTTGATTCAATAATTTAATTGATTGTTATGAAAGTAGGAGACATGAAAATGATTAGTAAGAATATCGCAAGAGTCGTTCACTTATACTTTCTTCTTTTTAGTGATTGTTATGATCGCTTAATTATGATTGCGTGATAGATGTTTTAATAAAGAAATGTTATTATGATGAAAAGATATTATGTGGGTTATTAAACTGCAATTGCGCTTATAAAATTTACAAGACTACGCTGTAATGAATACAACTGTAGATAATTAATTTTCGTTAAATACGTTATCGTGTAAATTTCAATTGAATTTTCATGTTTTGCAATCTGTTTTTAAATACAGTAATTGCAATGATTAAAATTATCAACGTTAAAACTACTTTCAACAAATTGCAGAAGCAAAAAGAAAGAAATTTTCTTGACAATAGTTATTGCAAGGAGAGCCGTTAGTGTTGGATATTTCACCCACACGATAAATAAACAGGTGATGATGAAGTTCCGGTTTCAGGAACAATAAGAATCACTCAAGCCAATCACATTTTTACACTATTAGTGCTCTTCCACAAATGTGAAAAATTTGATGAAAGAAGTGTGGTTCCTCATTTATCTAAACTAAAATTTTTCGTATGAAGTAAAAACGATAATTTTTACATCAAGATTGTTTACAACAATTGAAATGATAGATAATTTAAAAAAGTACTAAAACACACACATGGTCACTAATACGAGTACTCAATATAAAATATAAACCTATCTGATAAGTATAACACTTTTTGAAAATACTTATTTCCACCCTGTACCAGATGACGAATACCTAATCATTTTTCGATAAAATCTTTTAACAATTTTTATGAAAAAAGGTTTTTGTATAATAGGTTTTGATCATGTTTACATATTAAATTTTAGCTAAAATTGATTTCTTTTTCTATTATTTGAGCGACACACTGCATATACAATATTTAAAAACTATTGTCACAACTTTGCAGTCGTTACAAAATCTGTAGCTGTTTTTGTGTTACTTTACTAATAAACAAAACAAACGTCTTGCGCAGTTATACAGCGTGTCTCCAAATTGGCGAATTCCGAGTTTAGAGCATTGTATTGGTTCAAATATGGAAAAAAAGATTCGGGGCTTCCCCACAAGGATATTTTGAATTAGGTTTTTTCAAATGCAGGCTGAAAATTTCAGTGTTTATTGTTATTTATAGTGTAAATTATTGTGAAAAATAATGAAAATAATGTAGTCTAAAATATTTGAAACCATCAAATGGTCCGTTTCGTAATAAAGGAAAAAAAAATCTTCTTCACACGCACTACTTTGTGATTTCGACAATAGGTATAAATATGTTGTTAAAATAACATTTGAAAATTTCTATAAAAATATGAATAATTATGCCTACTCGAACGTCTAATACCATCAGTAAATACTCAAAAAGGGGAACAGAATTTTTCCCCGATAAGAAGATAGACATAGCAAAAGTCTCCAGTCGATGAGTTGAGCGGATCGCAAGGGGACACCAAAAAGGTACCAATTTATGGTTTTCGCGTTACGAAAAAAATGATTATGTACAAAATTGCTTAGAGCTTATAGATTTTCCAAAAAAACAATCTTTTAATTGGTTAAATCCAAATGTGAGTTTTTGTGCTGTAGAATTTCTTCAAGTTCTCCTATGGATTGCCTGGTGTACCAAACTTGGCACGCTGTTACCCCCATGTAGTGTAATAGATATGAAGTGTAACTTTTTGGTCGAAACGTCAAAAAATTGAAAAGCTCCCTCCAACCCTTTAAAAGCGGTTGGTATAGATATACCTTGCTTAGGTATTTGACGAAAACCGCTTGAAATTGTGGTTGTGTGGCATGATTGTGACGGATTCTAGATTGCAAATTGTACTGATGACCTCTGCAGCTTGTAGAAAACAGTATTTTCGTAAAAATGCCAACCTGTTGCACACTGCCAAGAAAGAGAGGTTATGTTTCACTTCTTGCATGTAGATGTTCAGATACGAAGAAAATTTTCACTCCCGTATCCTCGTCACCAATTTGTAGTAAGCAACACCAATTCAAGAATAACGAAACGTAGGGTACAAATTCATTTTTATTAAAAACTGCAATCAGTATAATGATTGAATGCAAATCTGAATTAACCAATGTCCCTAAATTTTGAATGAGCCTAAAGTCTTAAGTGATTGGTTTCTCCATGGTTACTCACATTATAATGATGGCCGATCTCAAACGGACCAATCACATTATTGCATTAAATTTTTCAATGAATCCAAAAATCTAAAGTGATGATTGTTTTTTTTTTTCATAATTATAATGGCCGACCTTAACCGGCCCAATCACATTGCTTACAAATTTTACAATAATCTTTATAGTCATTACGCACCCTTACGTTAATTCATAAACGTATTTAATCTAATTAGTCAGCAAATAGAGTGCGATATTTGCCAGCAATTAGGTATATCGAGAACTATTTGAAACAAGTACCTACAAAAAAAAACGAAAAACCCTTTTGTCGGAAATTGGAAAGGCTTTGATTTTGTACATAACCATTTTTTCATACGTAAACATACATTGTTTTCGGAATATAAGCAAAAAAGCATAAAACGGCTACTTCTGGGTGCCTTCCTGCGCCCCAGGCACCTAGGACGACCGTGGACTTATAATATTTTTATGTTCTAACTACTCCAAACACAACCTTTCCCAGCTTCTTCGCTGATTGGACTATAAACAATTAATTACAATTAAAATAGCAAAGAAATCGCATACTTATTGCAATCTCTTAAACAAAAAAATGGGTCGATTAAGTATGTACCATTGTAGTTTTTATTCATTTAAATATTATTTACCATTTTGCAAAACTAATTTTTAATGTAGGTAGTAACTTGTCATGCAAATAGTAAGTTGCTTTACCCATTTCTACATAATCTTTGATCTAACTCGTTTTGTAATCAGATAACCTTTAAATTTGGTGACGGCATTTAGGTACCCACATAGATAGAAAGAAATAAAGAATGGTTACAGGTGATAATAAAATTTGAGTCAAAGTACAGATCCTAGACTAATTTAGAAAATTACTAAAATTTACTTTAACATATGTTAGTATACTTTGTTTTATACAGCATTCGACAGAACTCGCGCCCCAGAGAAAGATACCAGGATCATGAAAAAAAATGTTAAAAAATTTTTATCTATGAAAATTTCGAAGTTATGAGGGTTTAAAATTTTCACTTTGACTCTATTTATTTCTGTTGGAAAAATAGTTTTCCAAGTTTTTTTGCTATAGGCTATTAAAAGAGGAAACAAAGAAGCTGTATTCTAAATCGTAACTCTGTTCCACGTTCCACGTTTGTGGCTTTTATTGGCAAAATTTTTGTACCTTTACTAAATAATTGTAAAAAAACATATACAAGATTATCAGTATCATTACCTAAATAGGCATAAGAAAATGGCAAATTTCAAAAAATAAATGTCAAATTTTTTTGACAGATAGAATTTTTTAAACATTTTTTCCATGTTCCAGGTCGCTTATCTTACTTGAAAATTTTCTCTGGGGCGCGAGTTCTAGCGCACCCTGTATAACAATTCTTCTTGTATTTAAATTTTTGAAAAGAAGATGTACTAAGTAAGTTCCAAGAATTTTCACTAGGCATTTTAAGACTAATAAAAATTGGTACAATTACACCAAAAAAAGAAGAACCTTCAATTATATTTAATGATAAACAGTTATTATTAGCTCATCGGCGCCGTTTCTTAGACCCGATTTCCAATTCAAGAACTAACCTTGAGAAATATCAGACTAAAAAAATGACGTAATTCCTGTAACATTCTGTATGCATTAAACAAGTTTCTTATATGCACATGATAAAAACAATAATATCAGGTAAGCCGGCAAGGATGCCAACCCAAAAGTTACACCATCTTACCAGAAGGACGCAGACGAGTTGAAGGTGAGACGGTGTTAGACCAACATGTATTGGACGGTTCGCTCTCATTGTATTCTGAAAGAAATAGAAAGTGGTCAGCATAAAGTCAAGCAGGCTATACAATTTAAAAACTGTAGATCATCTTGTATGTAGCCTTGGAGATTTTTTTTGATGTTAATCATCACATAACATTAAGTATGTTATAATGATGCCATCTTTTAAACAACTGTTTTGACGTATTGTTAAATTACTTATTATTTTTAACTGTTTTAATGATTTTTTGTGTGGTTGGCAAGGTCGGAAATAAAAGTTCTGACCTTGCCTCACCTACGAACATTTTTACTTCATAAATTGTTCGGGTGTTTGGAAGATCCTAATTTATCAAACATCTCATTGCACAAGTTTAAATTAATTAAATTGCTCAACACTTGCATAAAATTGAGTGAATATGCGTTCGTGTTGTAACGTCTCATTGAAGTCACCGTATTTGCGCGCCCGTTGGGCGCTTTTTCTCACCTTCATCGTAGAACAAACATCAAAAAACGAGAGTCGGTAAAATATCACAGAGACGCGTATAATAATTTAATAAAAAAAGATAAGATAACCTAAGATCAGTCTCTACAACACTTGTTTATTTCACCTGTTCATGATTCACTTCACTCCAAACATGAAAAATCTAACACATTTAAGACCGGGGAGTTAGACAACCGTTTTTTCGTGTATTGTTTTGTCTTCGAACATAGTTTGGTGCATGTCTCGTGTTCGAATACGCCCCCTAGAGGTTGTCGAGGCTCGCGACAGTCCCGTCGACTTTACTTTCGAACTTGTTGGCTTCGGACTGAAGTCAAAATTACCATTCTTCAGGTTGTTGAAACGAAAGGAAAAGCAGGCGCGGATTGGTCGACGAGTGTTCACGAGATGGGATTTCGTCCAAGACCGGCAATTTAATTCTGTTTAATCAAGAGCTGAGAAGTGTTGTTTATAAATACAGCCCTGTCCACCTACACATAGTATTTTTTCTAAATTTGGTTTCTTAGAACTTTATGATTAAATTTAATAAAATTTAAGTTGCCAACTATTCTGTTTAATCGTTAGTCGCTTTAAAAAATACGAAATCCGAAAAAAATGTAATTATTCAAAAATTTATGTTTTCAGTAGGTACCTAATGAATAATGTAGAGACAGAAGCGTAAATTTCATAATATTCAGTCTAAAGAGGGTGTATCAGAACTTGCGTCCCAGAGAAAAATTTCAAGTAAGATAAGATACCAAGAACATGGAATTTTTTTTTTTAATTTCTATCTGTCAAAAAATTTGACATTTTTTTATGTCTATTTAATGATACTGATGGTCTTGTACCTATATGCTTTTTTATAATTATCTAGTAAAGGTACAAAAATTTTGCCAATAAAAACCACAAATAACATTAAACACAGTTTTAATTTAGGATACAATTTTCTTGTTTTCTCTTCAATAGCCTGTAGCAAATGATTTTTCAACAGAAATAAATATGTAGAGTCAAATTGCAAAATTAAATACTCATAAGATAGAATTTTTTTAACATTTTTTTCCATCTTCCTTGAATCTTATCTTACATGGCATTTTTCTCTAGGGAGCGAGTTCTGGCGCACTCTGTATAATTATAATTATTTATTGTTGCCATCTTGTTAGGTTCTTTAACTCAAAACTATTCAGATAGTTTAAACTTAAAAATTTAACACATCTCAATGTTGCTCAAGAGCTTCATAAAAAATTAAATTATAAAAAGTTTTGTTTTATAAAAAAGGTTTAAGTTTTATTGTTATTTATGAAAAAAGTTCAAACGTCTCTCAAATAGAATTAGTTTATAAAAAATTTCTACTTCATTGCAACTATAAACAAAACAGAATGTTATAAACTATTAGTAAGATTTGTACTATTTTTATATGCGATTAGTGATTACTTTAGTGAAATAACTAAGTAAACATATAATTAGAAATACAAAAGTTCTAAAGAAATTTAAAGATAGCAAGTGCGTTGTTTATCGAAAATATTACGCCGATTAACATAATGATGCGGAAAAAATTATAGTAGGTAGATACAATTTCAACTGTTAAAGATGTTATAATCTAGAACCACCATGGTTTTTAATAAAAGTTGTACTAAAAAAAACTAGTTTTTTTAATTTTAAGATGGCCCTGATTTATATAAGGTGGCGCTGGTGTTGGTACATACAAGGGTCTCATACACACAGAGAAATATTGTTTAACAGTGAGTAAAATACTCTCGAATTAAATAATTCTTAATCTTCGATATACGCAAGTAAATATATTCTCCAAAATAGAAAATTATTTGCTCAACCTGCATTTCTTGAGTAGAAACATAATTGATTTAATACAAATACTTCCATTGAGTTTTAAATCAAGTAAATACAACATTAAGAGTAAATAACGTTTATTATTGAAGTAAAATCTACTAATTCTTGAAGTAAAAAATAATAATTTCTTCTGAAATATGGAACTTTTGGAAGAAGAAATTGTTTTCTTGAAATAAAAACTTACGCATTCAATTTATGAAACTGATTTATTTAATTTGAACGCATCCTTATTTGAAGCTAACAATTGTAAAGTTTCATTCAAATAAATATTTTTTTGATTGAAAAAATCAATTTTGTTGGGTAAATAATACAATAATCTTATTACAAAGAWAATTTTATTATAAAAATAATGAACATGGCATTCGTACAACTGTTATATAAAATTATGACAAACTAAAACATTAAAAAATCAAACATTCTAAGATTAATAGGAAATCAAAATATGTATTTTTGAAAGCGAAACATACAATTCACCTTTCGGTAGACTACGAAATATAGTAGGAACGGAACTACACAAATCATTTATAGAAAATGGAATTGCTCTTTGCCCATCAATGCGCTCAACTTATAAGCTGTACGTATAGTGTAAAGAATAATTAATTGTTTTTAACTGCTTACAAACAAAAATACATCCTTATGAAGCAAATATACTTAATTTGACTCATCTGAAACATTTCTTCAATCCATTCAGTAACAACATCTAAAATATTATACCGTATTAATTTCAGCAACTGTATTTACCTTTAAATTTTTAAATGACAGTTTTGTCAAGTCTGCACGATTTTAGCAATAATTTCTCCATTGTACAGTAACTGCAACTTTATTTAACTTAAAAAAACGTCTTGATCTGAGCTGCGTTGGGTCTCACTCTGGTCTCTCTGTTCTCGGTTCTCGAGCATAAGCAACAAAGTCAAGGAAAATTATATTCAGTGTAAGTTTACTAAATATTAGTTTAACTATGTGTGGTTTCAATTGATTCAGATATTTTTTCAAATGAATAATTCTGTATTATGACTGAAGTAAATCTGTTTACTTGAGGTGACGAACCAAATATTTTTAAAGTAAGATAACTTACTTTCTCCGCGTGAACTACCAAACTTTTATTAAATAGAATCTAAAAATATTTCAAACAAGAAAATTTTTCTTAAAGTAAAACAATTCAGTAAAATTATTCGTTGCTTAAGTCAAGAAATAGTTTTATTTTAATACAAATAAAAATAATTGTGGTAAAATAATATAGTTTCAAGTTAAAAATATGACGTTAAGACAATTATTATTCTTAAATTAAGATAATGACTTTTCTGTGTGTAGAGGATAGAAGTAAAGTGTATCCGTGGGGCCGTTAACTTGAAAAAATGTGTGCAACTAATTGCAATTTCAAAAAAAATCCACCGAAATTCTAGTAATCCAAAAAAATCCAGTAATTCCATTCTTTTCAGATTAATTATCCTAGACTTAATTCCAAATTAATTTCTGATATTCCAAATAATTTTACGTAATTCCAAGTTATGCCTAATTCTCAATTTTTTTTATTAAAATTCCAGTAATTCCAATAATAAATCGCAATTCCATTGTGTTCAGATTAATTCCAATTTAATTTCCGTATTTTCCAAATTACCTGTTATTCTAAATTAATTCGTAGATTTCTAAGAAATGCAACGTAATTTTCAAAAGAAATAATTTCCGACATTCCAAAAAGAATTCCAGTAATTCCAAACGATCAAAAGATAATTTTAATAATTTCAAAAATTTACTAATTAACTAATTTTAGAGTTAACGGTCTCTGGATTGTTTTGGAGTAATTTTTGGAGACTATGAATTGCGTTCTTGAGATAAAAAATTAAAACTAGGTTTTCAAGTAGATTTCCAGTAGTGGAACAAAGTAAGTTTGATTATGGAAATTCTTCAGATTAGAAGTGGGTTTCATTTTCTTAAGAGGAAGGTAAAAAATTCAAAGTCGGACCCACGAATTAATATCTATTTGTTAAAAGATTAAAATGGAAAACTAGTTTCGGCAAGACATCTTGCCATCTTCAATCTAAAAACTAATATGAAGAAACGAATTTACATGTTTGTTGATAAGTTTAAGTTTGTTGTTAAGTGGAATCCACGTCAGGACATGGCGTCCTCAACACCATGTCCCTTTTAATTTGCTGTAAAAATATACATTTTTAATTGTTGAATCTTATCAACACCTATTATTTTGTAGGTCACCATGAATATACATTTAAAAATTTTTGTATGAATTATTCATTTTAGTAATATTTTAGTTGCTATTTCAATAAATGGTAATTACTGACACCTCCTCAAGATGAACTGTTTAAGAGAAAAACAACGGAAAACCAACCCATTAGTGAGAAACAACTTTCTTGTAAACATTTTTTTTATGTAAGAAAAAAAAGTGCAAATATTTTGAAACAAGTTCAACATTTTAGTGACACGGCGGAGATTTTTTATGAAGGTCTTAAGAAAACACTTGAAGAAAAAGATATATATGAAATACTTCCATCACATAAATCTGAAAAATTGGACAGTAAACTGGAACAAGTATGGACAAAACAAAAAGCCTTTACGATAACATCTTTATTATTAAAATGTTTTGGATTTCATTACTTCCTCCTTGTTTCAACCCAGTTATTTATGATAATTGAAACGTAATTTCTTACACTTTTTCAGTTAAGTATAAAGTTAATATACATTCTTCCAGAATATTGTTTCCAAAAGCCTTAAAACAATTTATATCATGTTTTGCCAATTTTTCGAAATCAGATGGCTACTTTTATGGATTCGCCTTAATTCTTCTGTCATTTGTCAGTACTTTGTACAAAGAGAATTGTTTGAGATTGTTTTCACTGTTTGCAATTAAATTACGAGCATCATTTACCTCATTATTTTACAGAAAAGTTTTAAAAATGAATCTTTCACTCAGTAAGGTCTCGATGGGCAAAATACTAACATTGATTACAAGAGATGTTAACGAGTTGGAAACTTCTGTAATGTTTGTTACTTACATGGTTATTTCTTTTATTCGTGTAATAATGACAACTTTGTTGATTTATTTTGAAGTTGGATGGTTGGTGGTTGTTCTTATTGGAATCTTTGTTGGGGTATCTTTAATTCAAGGTAACAAAAATAAAATTGCTTTTAATCAAACTAATTTTTATTAGTATATTTGGCATCGTTGGTAACAAATTTGAAACTTAAAACCTTGAAGAATACTGATCAACGATATCAAGCAACTAAAGAAGTGTTGAATGCAATCAAACTAACAAAATTTTACAACTGTGAAGAAACTTTTGAAAAGAAAGTTTCGAAAATCAGAAAGTAAAACACAACTGGTTGCTTTTCTTGAGTCATGTTTTGTTTTAGAAATGAAATCAATATTCTGCACAAAATTTTTTTGCTACTTGTTACAAAATATACTCTTTCTGAGACAATTCTAAGAATGGTTTGGTACATCTTAGTTGTCATTTCAATCCTCTTTGACAACGATTTAAACTCTGGAACTTTATTTTTGTTGATAAATGCATTACAACTTGTGTCTGAAGAACTAAAATTTGACATTCCTAAAGGATTTCATGAAACTGCAAAATTAGTTAGCGTTCTAAAACGAATTGAAAACTTTTTGATAAATGAAAATGCAAATTCTTTTGATAAAATAGTCAGAGAAGAGAATGTTTACCCGAAATCGTTGTCACAAATGGGAGTGTGGAAATGCTTAAAAATTTGAATTTTGAAATTGAGAAAGGTCTGACCATCATTAGTGGAAATGTAGCAAGTGGAAAAAGCTTACTTTTGAAAGTATTTATTCACGAAAAAAAGTTGAGTGAAGGGAACTTGAAAATTTCTGGGAGTGTTTCATACGCTCCCCAAAAACCTTTTCTTTTTCCCTCTACAATCAAACAAAACATTTTATTCGGGTCAAGCTATGATGAAAAACGATATTTTGAAGTTCTTCAAGTTTGTAATCTCTTACCAGATATGAATTGGCTCGATAAAGGTGATTCAATGCTAGTTGCTGATCAAGGAGCTAACTTAAGCAAAGGACAACAAGCCAGGATAAATTTAGCAAGAGCTGTTTATAAAGAGTGTGATATTTACTTATTGGATGACTGTTTAGCTCACTTGGATATTCTAGTTGCAAACTCTATATTTGAAGAATGTTTGAGAAAGTTTCTCAAAAATAAACTCATAGTTCTAGTGACGCAATATCAGAATTATTTTTCAAAAGCTGATAACGTTATTATTTTAAAACATCAAACTGCTAATGTTTACAAAACAAGAAATGTAGAGTCTCAAACTTACCATATTTTAAACTGCAAAGATAATGATTGTGAAAACGATTTCAGTGAAACTTCGAGTCTTATTGAAAAGTCGAAAATTCAATACAATAATTATGAAGAAAGACAAAAATCGCACGTTATTAATTATCAAATGTACTGGCAATATTTAAGAAATGGTGGTGGCATCTTTATTCTGTTTTTAGTCATCGTCACATTTGGGGCAAGTCAATTTATGAGGGGTTTTTCACATAAGTTAGAAAGTGATTGGTAATTTCTTAAAAAATTGTTTGGTTTCTATTAACTCCTTAATTTCCAGGATAAAAGCAGAGCAAGACATCATAAATCTTGTAAATCACAATCTGACTTTAAACACTACTTATGAGGAAGCGTTAAAAATACGATCACTATGTTTTTTCTGTTTCCTGTTTGTATGAGTGTAATATCATTGCTTTTAATTTTGAAAGGCAGCATTTTTTATCTTGTCATGACACGAAAAGCTTCACTTAATCTGCATACACTTATGTTTAGAAGAATTATCAACGCTTCGATAGAGTTTTTTGATGACCGATTTCTGGGAAATATTTTAAATAGATTTTCTGAAGATTTGCTTTATGTTGACGAAAGGATACCAACCTCGTTGTATTTTGTGTTTGAGGTATGTTTTTTTCTTAAATTCTTTCAACAGGAACAATTTTTTCTACGTAATAATTTTAATAAAAACAACGTAAAATGCACTGTTTTCATAATTGTATTGTGTTGAAATGTTTTCAGTGTTTCATGGAGATGATAGGAGTAGCTATTTTAATGACGACGGTCAATGTTACATTCCTCATTTTTTCCATTATCTTTATCGCAACACTTTTTTTGACGACTATTCTTTATTTGAAAGTGGCAAATGCATTAAAACGACTAGAACTTTCAAGTAAAAAATAATTTGCTAAATGATTTTCACGAAATGAAATACTTGTTTTAGCTCGTAGTCCATTAGTCGGCCATATAAATGCAACTTTTGAAGGACTTTCGACTATAAAAGCATCACGAGTTGGAAATATTCTTCAAAAAGAGTTCGACAGACATCAAGATTTGTACACATCTGCATCAATCATCTACGTGTGTTGTTTCAAAGCTTATGGATTTGTTACACACGTCTACAATACATTATTTCTAGCTTTCATAATTTTTTACTTTTTATTCATAGACAAAAGTTTGTGGTAAATTTTATTTAATTGATTGATTTATTAATGAGGGTTTTAAAGATGCTGACGTCGCAACTGTTGGTCTTGTCATTACCCAAGCTATGCTTTTTACCAAAGCACAAGATATAGGATTTCGCAAATTCGCAAAACTTGACAATGAGATGACAGCAGTGGATCGAGTCCTCGAATACACAAAACAAAAACAAGAAAACAAACAAGGAATGTTTGTAGAAAATTGGCCCAAAATTGGCGAAATCAAATATGAAAATCTTTCTTTTGCTTATGGCACTAAACATGTTTTAAAAGATTTAAATTTTACAGTCAAGCATGGAGAAAAAATTGCTGTTATTGGACGTAGCGGAGCTGGGAAAACATCTCTGATTTTAACACTTTTGCGATTATATAAAACTGAAGGAAAAATTTTGATTGATAGTAATGATATTGCAACTCTTCCGATGGATCTTTTGAGAGAAAATATTTTAGTAGTACCTCAAGATCCGTTTCTATTTACTGGAACACTTCGAGAAAACGTTGATTTGAAAAGGACTTACTCCGATGATCAAATTTGGGAGGCTATCACTAAAGTCGGCTTAAAAAATCTTTTTTGTAGTTTAGACAATGAAATTAATAGTAATTTAGAGTTGAGTGTGGGTCAACAACAGTTGATTTGTCTGGCTAGAGGCCTCATCCGTAAAAATAAAATTGCAATTTTTGATGAAATTACTGCAAATGTCGATTCGGAAACAGAAGAGATGATTTATAAAATCATTCAAGAGAATTTTGATTCTTGTACTGTATTTATGATCACACACAAAATGCGTTATGTGAGAGAATGTGACAAAATTATGGTCGTAGACAAGGGAAATGTTGTAGAATTTGCAAATTTGGCAGTATTATTGGAAAATAAAAAAGGGGTATTTTACAACATGTTCACTGCCAATGAACAACGATAACCCAAAGTAATCTTCTAGTCATTCATGAAAACAACTTGTCTAATTTGCAAAATGTTCGAATTTTTTATAAATAAACAAGAAACTAATGACCTTGGAATTTTTGTTATTATTTTATTTATTACAGTTTCATTATAGCCGAGCATCGGACAACTGATCGAGCTCGATCCTTGATCCATTTTTAGGTAAAAATGGTTGAAAGAAACCAAAGCCACTTCCCCAAATTGTAAAAAATTTATGAATTAACATCGTAGAAAAAAACATTGTTTTGTCTTGATCACGTCGGGAAGACGTTGGCTTCACCACTCTTTCCGTTTCACCTTTTTAATTTTAAATAACTATTGGAGTAAATCGTAAATTTTACTCTGGGTTCAATATCTCCAATTTTGATAACTTGGTCTTTGGTCTCAAATTTGATATTTTAATATTTTTGTGACAATTTCAATGTTAATATACCTACATTGTGTTCCCGGATAGATGAAACGATGACTTTTGTAAAAAATTAAAAATTGTCGATTTAAATTTTCATTTTTTGGGGTTCAGCCCTGCTTGGTTCAAAACTAATTTCTAACATAGTCTTGAAAAATCAAGTATGCCTTGGAAATTAAAAAAAAAAACTATTTTGGGTTGCAAATGTAAGACAAAAAGTTATTAAGGAAAGTTGTTTAGAATCAACATCTAAGCCCGTTTACCAAATTTCAAAATCATCGGCCAACTGTGATTTTTTATTTTTTTATGTTTATTAATTCACAAATCAAATAATTTTATTTTTAACAGTTCTTTTATTACGAATAAAAAAATTACATTTAAGTAGAATATTACATAAAATACCTACGAAATAACAAAAATCAATTACCTCAGAAAAAAGCATATAGTTGGCCGATGATTTTAAAATTTGGTATAAGGGCCTAAATGTTGATTTTGAACAACTTTTTATAGTATTTGCCATATAAATGACACTTTACAGAGAAATACTTAGTTGTTTTGAAAATTTCCAAGGCATACTTGATTTTTTTAAACTAAAATTATGTTAGAAATTAATCTTTAACCAAGCAAGGCTGTATCCTAAAAAATAAAAATTTAAATCGAGAATTTTTTAATTTTTTATGAGAGTCGTTTCACTTATCCGGAGACACACTGTATGTACATATCTAGCTCTACTTCAAGCTGATGATGGCAATTGACTGCCAAAATATGTCCTTTATTCTACGACGTTAATTAAATTTTTACAATTTGGGGAAATGACTTTGGTTCCCTTCATCTAATCTCCTTGGAGAAAATAGATCAAATTTATCCTTTTTATTTAGTTTCTGAATACTATAAATCTTGTATCACCGTTGGTACATCAAGAATGTCAAATAACAACACAATCTAATTATTCTAACTAATAATAATGGAGCTTAACAAAATTATGTAAGCCACTCCCCAGGTGTGTAATAATTTTCGGGGTATGGAACAATTTCCCGACTAGTTTCAGTAATCATACAATACAGTACAATACAATTTCAGTAATCATACAATAGTTGCCAGCTGTCAGCTGTTGTTATGTCATGAAATTGATACATACTCGTACAGTATGATTGGGAATATAAATCATTACACTTTTTAACAATAAAACATTTTAATTTTTTACCAAAATATTCATATAAAAGTAAGTGTAACATTATTTTCCTATAAAGCTAGTTTTCTCATAAATCATGTCACAATTATTACAGCATCATAACGGAATAAGCATCAAGACAAAAACTCAACTTAATCTAATGGACATGAAGCACCAGCCTTTAAATATTAAGATTAACATAAAACTCTGCAAAAATAGTGTCTACTCAGTTTACTTAAAAAGTACCCGGCATATAGGTACCTGCTCATACAACATAAAAACAAACCTTAAATTTATTTATTTGGCACAGGCAATGCCAAATGTGCAACAGGAGCTACATACTGTATTATCAATGGTTTTTGAAGTATTTGTGCAGTATGTTGAACAAGAGGCACTGGTACAATAGGAGGCTTTATGGGTTTTCGCTTCGCATTTTCAGATGGAGTTTCTTTCCTCGCAATTGGCGCTGAGTTAAGAATCTCTTCTAAGTTTTTTACTAAAAAAAAATAATCAAAATACGAATTTGTACTTTTACAAGAATAGAATTACCAATTGTGGTGTTATCAGCAGTATTTTCTTTTTTATGTTTCACTAGTAACTCTTTTAAAGCATAAATTTTATGCTTGAAATCTTGATTTTCCGAATACAATTTAGAATTCTCACTCTTTAGAGTTTTCAGCTCTTCTTCCATTTTCTTCGACTGGATTTTCTTACGTTTTCTGCATCGTATTTGCGCCGCTCTGTTTATCTCTCTAATCTTCTCCTTCTCATCATCCTTATCAGTTTTTTGTTTCTTACCAACATTAGAAGAGTCATCTTTTTCGGAAATGGGAGTCCGCTTTTGGCTTTCTTGCAGCTTCTCCAATGGTATTGGAGTGATGGTCACTCCTGATGATTTTCCTTTTTTTTGTATAGTTTCCTTTAACTTGTCTTTTAAATTGATTTGTTTGTCTTTCTCTTTCTTTGGACTTAATTTCTCTATAGTAATAGTTAAATCATTCTCACTTGGAGTAGGACTTTCAGAAACCGTTTCTACCCTACTTATACAAATATCATTAACACTAAAGTGAGTTAACTGTACGTCATTTCTGTTATCCGAATATTTTTCATTTGAGCTTTCAAGATTTAGAAGAATGTGGGGAGTATGAAGAGTATCATCATTTGATGCAGCCTCAGGTAAATGGAGTGTACCCGATTTTGCAGACTCTATGGCTTTCTTGAAAGTCTCATCAAATGGATTCACATTTTGCAAGTCTTGGAACAGACCCACTTCTTCACAATTTCTGATAAATCGTGTTGGTGTTGGAGTTTGATCAGCTATAACAGATTAAAATTGCTGCAGCTTATCCACTTTTTTATTGAAATTCTTACCAACTTCTGCATTTTTGCTGGCCAAACCCAAATTTAAAACCATGTCGTGCTTTTTGTGGTGCCAATTTAAGTGATCTTCGTTGGTAAAAGTCATTTCACACCCACCAATGGTACAAGCAAAGGGTTTTTGACTTTCGTTCATCCCTCAAAAATTGTTAATTTCATGAAAAGAAATTAATACGAAATAAGTACAAATATTCCATCCACTCTGTTGTTGCTCAAATCGATAAATAAACAAAATGTAATTTGACAGTAAATAGTTATTTTTTAGGTTATGTTTACGTCACAAGTGTCACCTGTCATTTTTTCGGATGAGGTTAGATTTTTTAAATTTTTTAAAATTATGATAAAATAATCTTTTCATATTATGGCCCATTCGCATTTACAAAGAGTGAGAATTTTGTACAAAACTATCTTAAAACTTCATTGTGGTCTGCCACAAGAATTAAAAATACTAGGAACAAATTACGTCAGAGAAGAGTTCAAAAGGCACAAAAAGTGCAACATTCAAGAAACCAAGGTTTTTATGAAAGAGTGGACGGTAAAAGACTACTAAAAACTTTGGAGCAATATTTTTGAAATTCGTTATTTTAGAATTATGCTATAACACTTGCAGAACAGCTAGGATTAAGAGGGCCCCAAACAGGAAGCCCTCTTGGTGTTAATTTGAGCAAGAACGACCTAGAAAAATTTAAGGATGATCAGATTTGTCAGTTGTATGAATTACTGGAAGCTGCGAAGAGTGATAAGAATTAAAAATACAATCAAATTTTTGTTATTACCGCAGTGTTTTTGTGACTAGAAACGAATCATATTGTTGAGTTTTAGTTGTAATTTTTATTGTGAATAAATGAATATTTTTATTTAGTTTTTGTAGTAAACGTTGCAAAAAGGAATAAGTTACAAATGTTAAAAATCAAATTTATTTATCAAAATACTATATTTGTCCCCGCGCTAATTTGCTTTTAACGGCTTTGCCAAACTGTTCAGCTCCTGCCTGATTAGCCTCGCCATAGTCTGGGATTGTTAAGGCACAGCGAGCGAGCCAGGAAGCCACATTTGCGTATGGTGTAACATCCCAACCAACAGCCTAATAAAATCAAGGATTACATTTATACATAAAAATCATTTGAAACAAACTTACAACAATACTAGAAACTGATGCAACTAAAGAACAATCTGCCACTGTAAGGTTATCGCCTACTACAAAATTATTCCCTTCAAGAAAAATATCAAGGAATCCCAGAGCTTCATCAAGTGAGGTTTTATGTTCGTCTAGAATTTCATCTTCACCCAAGAACAGGACTGGGAACTAGAGAATAACAAATTAAGTGAATTTGATTGAGACTTAATAACATACACAAATTTGACGAATCCGTGGATATAAGGTTCCACAGTCAAAATATAACCGCTGGTCAACTAGTGCCTTTTGTTTAGGGTCTGAGGGATATAGACTATCATCTTTTCCATGGGTTTTAACGAGATAAGGTCCAATTGCGTGGCTGTCCCACACTGTAAAATCTCCATCTACTAAAGTAGGCACTGTATGTTGTGGATTAATCTGTAAAATCGCACACAAAATCAAATAATGTACTCAAAGATTATAACCTACTACCTTGACGAAGTCAGGTTTTAGTTGTTCTTTTGCAAACAAATCAACAACTTGGACATCAACTTTCACCCCAACGGCTTTGGCACTTAAAAGGGCCCCTCTCGAAGGTGCACTTGGAGGAAAATGATACACTGTTAATGCCATTTGGTCACTAAATAATTTAATTATGTAAAATCAACAAATATGGGACAATGAACTCTCGTGTTTGAAATTTTGGGGTCTTCGTACCCTTCGTACTTTGTAGTGTTTTTTTTTTGTCATTGTTGCCAACTGTGCTTTTAATGTTACGAACTACAAAATTTAAATCGGACCAGCTAAGTTGTGAATATAAATCGACTTAGATGCTTTTGTGATTTAGCTGGTCTAATAGCAAGTAGAGGGCGCAATTGTTGACATTCCTCTGTTATGTTGGTATCACCTCTGTGGTGACGTGCTGGCAGCCGGCTAGATTGGCGAAACAACCCAACCTAAAAATGGCGTCTGATGGTGATGAGATCATAACCGACCAAGAAAAAGTGCGAATAGCGTCCGATTTTATTCTTCATTCACCTCCAGGAGAATTTAACGAAGTGTTTAACGATGTGCGAAAGCTTCTAAATAACGACGATCTCCTCAAGGAAGGTGCCAGTGGGGCGTTTGCCCAATATAACAAGGATCAACTCACCCCGGTGAAAATCGAAAATGCCGAACATTTGGTGCTAATCACAGAATACAACGACTTAGGAAATAATAGGTTTTTTGATCCAAGAAGTAAGCAGAGTTTCAAATATGACCATTTGAGGAAAGAGGCCTCCGATTACCAACCGTATACGCCAGACTCGCAAGCGGAGTCCTGGCGAGCCGCCCTCGATAACGAGTTTATTCAGTACACCAAGAACCACTATAAGGTAAATATAAAATACTCCACGTTTTAAGATGCAACGCAAAAATGGCCGTAAATGCTCTTCAAACTTCACATTTCTTTAATGAAATTCTCAATGTGACACCACGTTACATTGATCTAAAAGAGTTATTTATTGTAAGAGTGTGTTATATAGCGTTTTATCCACGCAAGAATGTTTAAATATTAATTTTCTTAAATGGATAAAACGTGACTGCAATATAACGTTTTATCCACAATCACAGGCCCAATTTATTCCAAACTTAATTAAAAATTAAACTGACATTTAAACGTCACGCTAAATGTGCTTTCGGTTAAACGTAGTAAGCTGTTACGCTGTGCGCTGGTTACTAAGTTACTTAATTCCACTTGTGGATAAAGTGGTACTTTGTACGCATCTAAAGTGTGGAATAAAGTCTCTTTATAGTGATTGTGGATAAACATATTTTATTTTCATATTTTTTTTAGTTATCATAAAAAGTCTCTAGTCTTGTGTTTTGTAAAGTTTTTGGTGTCAACAAATTATTAATTTTTCTGAGTAATTTTTTTACTGCTCCGATGCAGACAAATGCATTTTTCTACAACTTCTTTAAGAAAGTTAGCAGCATTGATCTTAGATAGTGACTGCACACATTTTTCAAATTTTGAATCAATTTTGTTAAAGAAGTACAATCTGCTTCAGAAGTAATGACACAAAACTCGGCTCTCAAGCAGGCACGTTCGACCGTTTTCAGATGGGATGGAGCCGATGGTCGGCAGTTGTCGGTTTTCCGGCATTGGGATGGGTCGATGGAGAGTTTGATAAATCGTTTGCTCAAATTATTAAGAATTTTGACTATGAGTAATCACTTATCGCATTTGACTTATTTTGAAAGGAATAAAATAATATTTGAAACGTTTCTTTAAAATTAAAAATTAATCTAATTCATGGTTTTGATGTCCAAAGTCACCATTTCACATAATAATTAATTTATTGTTTTATTTACTAATAAATGTATTAATTAATGTAGAAGTTAAGGGTTGTTTACTATTTATCAACAGTAAAGGATTTCATGTGATTTTGGTGACATTTTTCACAGAAATAGAGTTCAGCCATGTCCGCAGTGTTTTATCCGTGTTTTAATTCAGGAATAGCGTAATCCGAATTACATTGTTATTTACTTTGCATTATTGTCAAATTTGATATTAATTTCAAATTAAATTTGGGGCGGTTATTATCGTATCGTATAAGATATCGTAAATTTCGAACTTAACCAAGTCATACCTTTGACCACTGAATGGCAAATTTTGACCTAATGGCAACGTATGGCCTGCGAGCACATTGTCAACCTTTTCTAAGAAAAATTTGTCCAAATTCATATGAAATCCTTTACCTGTGACCGTTTGCTATCTGATAAAACTTTCGAATAATAGAAAGAAACAAAAGAGTGAACAAGACCACCTCAACTTATTAATCTTATTAATCATTTTAATTTGTAACTGATGTGACATTTGTTCTTAGACATAACGTAAATGGCAACTTAATTCGAATTAGTTTAAAAGACTGAATTAAATTTTAATTCGCTTTCAAATGTCATAATGTCATATTTATATAAAAGTTGGCGCTATTGGACAAATGTATACCGCCTTAGGGTGCTTAGGATTAACACTGGTGATTGGTCGTGATACACAGACCCTCTGACTCATCTCAAACTTTTTCTCTGAAAACATTGACAACGGGTTCAGCTGTGTCCGCTTTGCATTGTCAAACGTGAAATTAATCGTGAATTAAAATTTAATTTAAATTAGATGCGCTTTTAATCGACATTAATTAATTAATCGAGTCATGGTTTTAATTTCAAGCAAATATGAGAAAAAAACTAGGCAAACGGGAAGTCTCTTTTGATGTCCCCAAATATTTGGCAGTTTTCAGGTCCAATAAAAATTCATCTGTTTAGGGAAATTTACAAATGAAACAAAAATTTATAGAAATGTTTATTTACAAACCAGTAGGTAACATATACACAATGAAAAATACATAATAAAAATTTTGCCATTCTGTGGTCAGAAGTTCGAATTGGTTCAGTTCGAAATTTACAATGTCTTATACGATACGATAATGACCGCCCCAAATCACAGTTACCAGACCGAGTTGTAAGATACGAGTATCTGTCTTAATCCTTTGTCGCCTAACGGAAGGAAAAAATTTATTTTGTAAATTACTACATTTTTTCAAAAAACTGAATGATAAATGATAAAGTAGTAAAGCTGAAGATTCCCATTTTTTGATTTTAATCGATAGCTTTTGGAATAAGTAAAAACTTGTTAATTCTTTACATAAAGGCGGATTTAGGTAAAGAATTGAAAATTAACAGTGATTTCAATATATTCCAGGCAAAAATTTGTCATTGAGGGTATTATTTGCCTAAGACATTTTATGTTTATTATCAGGATTCTAATACACAGGGCAAAAAGGTTTCAGGCCAATAACACCCTTAAGGACAAATTTTTACCTGGGATAACTCAGCGGCATAATTAGAGCCACCCTATAAATTTAAACCGCACTCCTTGACTTGGAATATTAGGAATTGCTGTAAAAAATTTATTTGATTGAAAATGAAGCCACAACTCGAATTCTGTGAAAAATTTCACCAAAATCACATGAAATCCTTTACTGTTGATAAATAGTAAGCAACCCTTAACTTAAGGCTCTCCATTAGTGTCTAAAATTTATACGGGAAAATATACAAATTTCACCCATGTGTAAAATCTGTATTTTTTAATTCTACAACAAGATCCACGTCTCTATCTGTAAATAATAGCATAACGTACCCCGCTATGATGTAATTTTTTCAAAATATTACTTAGATTCTCTAAAAAATTACCATTATTGTAAAACTTTGCCCAGGTTTTTCTTTGTAACGGTGCAACATCTTAAAACAATTTTTTTATTGACATGTAGATAATTAAAATATGCACCTCGCTACGTTCAATTTTTTTTATAATACAAGCTAAATTACAAAAAAACTTTAAAAATTGGATGCAACCCCCATTACCCTTGGACCGAAAATCTCAAGCTTCTTCCATGATTTACAGCCGTTATTACCTCCCATCGAGCGCTTAACCCCTAATAATGATTTTACACAAGCGGTACCTGCAAAAAGCTTTCCTTTTTGTTGAATTTCAAACTGATGATATCTGGTTTTAGCTACATTTTTTTAAGTCTAGTAGCATTGTGGCCAATTTATAGAACATTTAACTGCATTCAAATTTTAATTCGCGAATTATTCGACGTTTAAGAACGCAAAATGAATGACAACAGAAGTCGAAGCAGATACACAGTGTGTCCCCGGATAGGGGAAACGACTCTTGTAAGAGATAAATAAATTTCGCTCTAAATTAGCACTGCTTAGTAGTTAAAAACTAATTTCTAACATAATTTTAGTTTAAAAAAATCTGGTATACGTTGGAAATTAAAAAAAAAATTTTTTCTCTAAAGTGCTTTTTTATGTAGCAAATTATTGAATTCTTCTAAGAAAACTCTTGTACAATATAAAAATATCTCGCTCTAAATTTGCATTTTTTGAGATTTAGCACTGCTTATTAGTTAAAGACTAATTTCTAATATAATTTTGGGTTCTTCTAAGAAAACTATCATAATACAAGAATTCGTTAGAAATTTGATTTAGTTAATCCTGAAATTTTAAAGAACTAAAACTTTCTCTTTTTGGCAGAAATTACTAAACGGGTTACTGCTTCTTCTGGTGTTGCTTCCATAATTGGTGCAAAAACCAAAAAAAATGTTGTATGTTGGTATTAAAAATAAGTATTGTCAATATTGCAAAAATTATTCTGACAAAAATATTGACATACCACCACATGCATGTTTTAAAAATTGGGACAGCGATGGAGGCACAAATTATTTTAGATAGTTTTATGTGTTCGGTAGAAATGCATGGTTTAATATAGGTATAAACGAATTATAGGAGATGGTGATAGTAGTGTTTATAATAAAATAAAAAATATAAAACCATATGGCCCGGATTATTATATTGAAAAAATCGAGTGTAGAAACCATATCTTGCGAAATTATTGTAATAAAAGAATTGGCCAAATGCGCTAAACTCAGTCCAAAAATTAGAATTTTATTACGGCATGTATTACAATTTCGAACGGCTGTAGTAAATGCGGTCAAGTATAGAAAAAATAAGTCTGACCTCTTACACATAAAAATATGTGATCTACTTAGTGCAACAACTAGATAACTTAAATTTTAGGCATTTCTAAAGTATTTGTTGCAGTACTTCAAAAACCTAAAACCTTAATTTTTGTCACATTAAAAAAACAGTTTAGTATATTACACACTTGTATGACTCACAATAATAATTTTTGATTACTTTCAAGATGTAGTTTTTTGTCTTTTAAATTTTTAAACTGCAGTTACTCAAAACTATAAATTTCAAGTTATCTAATTGTTGCACTAAGGAGACGAAATATTTTGAATGTTTTTAATTAATTACTTTATTTACTGATGTATCAGAAGTAGGGTAGTGCCATTTAAAATATTCAACTTGAGGTGGCTGTGGCTTCAAGGCTTCAAAGGCTTCACCGAAACGGTTTCTCGATAACTTTCAGTTCTAGAAATATCGCCGATTGCCAGTTTTAAAATTGGCACTCTGTATGTGTAAATGTGTAATTTTGTTTTATAGTGTATAGTGTTTGCTAAGTCTAATAAAATATTTTGTGTGAATGTAAAGTCATTCATGGTCCTTATAATTTCTTTTTTATTTGTGTTCGGTTTATAAAAGATTATTTATCTTCATTAAGTATTTAACAATGCAACTTGGCATTTTGTTATTATTATTAGTATTATTATTATATATGAAAATAAGTGAAAGAGCACATTCCGAAAATTTTACTAAGATTATTTTAAAAGGTTCGGTCTGGTGTGCTCTTAGCGACCGTCGCCACAGGCGGTCTTTTAATCCGTTGATTGACAGCTGCCAGTGCAAGCCTAAACGCCCTGCAATTTGGGTTGCATATTTCTGAAAATTGAAATTTTACTTCACTGCATAACACCCTTAAGGCTGTCCGGGAGTCGGTTTTCAGTACTTATTATTCTTTTTCAAAAGCAACCAGCAATACACCCTAGGCAGGGTCCAAACTCAGTCTACCTGCGTTCAGGGGTTGGGTTAGTAAGGGTAATAAATTGTAATAAAAGTAAAAGATCAGTATTCCTATCTACTTGATAGTTGTACATATTTACTAATTAGAAAGCTCACAGGTTCCATTTTCAATGGAAATTAAATTTTTGTAGTGGGTAACAAGACATATAATTCCATAAATTAAAATTTTTACAATCGGAAAACAAACTTATGCAATTGTGGACTTAAAATTTTAGACATCAAGATATGTCAGCTCAAAAAATATCAACGTAAGCCACGCTTTAGTGTCATTATGATTCCCGTTCGAATCTAAAACTTGAAAAATTTAGTTGAAATTTATTTTTGGCGTCGATTACATACAATATATACATACAATAAAGCCAGCAGTTGCAGTACGTTTTTTATATAGATATTATTTTTTTATTTTGATTTCTTGTCATTTTTATTCAGCTGTCAGCATAAAAACTACAAAAATCAAAAAAAAAGTTGCACATAAAGTCAACCGAATGACAAATCGTCCAAAATTCCGTGTCCGTACATCTAAATATCAAATTTACAATGCGCACTATAAAATTCATATTTTTTGGAGGGGCATTTATGATTTTTTTAGCTAGGTTTTTTTAGTTAAAAGTGTCCTTATTTTCAATTTTTTGCCATTGACTACATTTATGGGTACCACTAACTAACATTTATAGTTATGTCTTATAAAAAAAAAGATTGTGATAGGCCGAATCATTTTTTATGAAGAACAACGATAAATTAAAAAATAAAAACGATCTCTTCAATATTTTTTTTTTCATAGTTGCCCCGCTAAAAAAATATTTGTTTGAGACTTGGGACTTCTGGCGAGCATTTGTTTAAAAGTAATATTTTTTTATATACGCTCTCGAAACAAGCTGAGTCTTTGCCGGACCCAATAAAATAGTATGAAAATGGTTATAATAGGTACTCAATACCCAAAATTTAGTTTTTCAGAACGGATAAGTCAATTTAGTTACTATCGTGGCGAAATTTGTTTAATTAATAATAGGTGTAAATTTGTTGTATAATAAATTATTTTGTCTGATTATTGTTGCTATTTATTAAAACTCTCATAGATAATAAATAATCTTAGATCCCCACAAGGCACACATTTTTTTGAAAAAAAAATGGTCAGGTCTACTAAACTCGGAGATTCGATGGAAGTACAATTCCAACGAAATTACCTTGTTTTCTCATTTCACGTCAAATGTTTCTGCTTCTAGTTTTCTAATAATAATAACTGAAAATTATTATGCTAATTACATGATAAAGATGACCATAATCCGTTATTTGTTTGGGTCGATCCTCCACAGAAGCGGCACTGACAACGCCTCTAGTGGTAAAAGCAATGAACTAGAATGCATTTTTGGGCAAAATCTATTTATTAATAATTTAAAAACAACAGTGTTTTATTACATGGTGTTTGTTGAATTTGTTAAGAATTAATATTTTGTAATAAATACCAAAACCCTAAAACGAATCTTTAGGTCTACCGTTAAATATCGTGACTTTTACATAAATCGCAATATCTCAAAAACTAAACACTTTTTTTAAAAAAGGCCAACAATATTCTTTTAAATTTTCTTACAAAAATCGAAATTGATTACTTGAAAAATGACTGAGTAAAGTTATTTTCAAGTTCACCATTTATGCATTTTTGTTCTTTTTTTAAAAGCATTGAATTAAAAAAAAAATCTCAACGTATCGGCCTGTAGATTTAAAAACCTTTATTTTGATGTATAATACATGAAATTCTGTTGCATATTAAGAGAGTAATCTTGTTTTCAATATATTAACGTCTCGAATCGTTGGTCGCGAACACCCTTAACTTAACTACATTAATTAATAAATTTATTGGTAAATAAAACAATAAATTAATTATTTTGTGAAATGGTGACTTTGGACATTAAAACCATGAATCAGATTAATTTTTAATTTTAAAGCAACGTTTCAAATATTATTTTATTCCTTTCAAAACAAGTCAAATGCGATAAGTGATTGCTCATAGTCAAAATTCTTAATAATTTGAGCAAACGATTTATCAATTTTCCTCAACTCTCCATCGACCCATCCCAATGCCGGAAAACCGACAACTGCCGACCATCGGCTTCATCCCATCTGAAAACGGTCGAACGTGCCTGCTTGAGAGCCGAGTTTTGTGTCATTACTTCTGAAGCAGATTGTACATACAAGTTGTAGTAGATAAGCAACACGCATGCTGATGATGAAATTATTGAAAATTAAAAAATTGAAAAAAAGTGTATCCACAATCACGCCATAAAGAGACTTTATTCCACACTTTAGATGCGTATCAAGTACAGTTACGGAATTAAAATTTCGGGCAGTATTGTCATTTTCATAATGTAAACTCTAAAACAACCTATTTATATTAATAACCTCATTTTTTACTCTTAACACTTAAAGTGTCACTGACAGACAAGTTTAATTCTCAAATGTCAGTCATGATGACAGGAAAAGGTAGTTTACAGTGAACTTTTTGAAGTTTAAGAAAATTAACCGCCCGAACTAACGTTCTCGCGATTAAACAATGTTGCGTGGATAAGACGCTACCTAACACACTGTTACAATAAATAACTATTAAGCTGCTGCATGTTTACAAAAATGATATATTTAGTGATATACATTCTTTATTCATTGAAAATTTTAAAGAGGTTTTATTTCTAAAACATCAATGATGATGATACAAGTTTTGATTGTATTTACAGTAAATTGTGACTTTGTAAGCAGACAACAACTAATTGATAAGATTGTTTTATTGATTTTATCACGATGGCAATATTATTATCTTGGATTTCAATTATAAATTTTTATTGAAGTTCAAAACATAAGCTTATAAAGCAAAAATCTTATTTTAATTCCGTTTATTTTTCTTTTTGAAAATTGTTTGACTGGTTAGGTAACTTTTATTTTTTACAAACTTTGCTTATTTTTGAGGAAAAAACACTTCAATTTTCAGTTGTGCCATTTCAAAAACTTAATGCCGAAAACCTCTAGTTTTCTTTACAGCTGTTTATCGAAATCAAAATATTTTCTCGGACTGATAAAATACAAGTGAAATAAAACATAATAATTTTAGAGTTTCACGGTTATTCAATTTTTTGTATAAAAATAATGTTCTTGTATTTAGTTAAGTGTAGTTTTAAAACAAATATTTTGTCGATTTTATTATACTTACATACTCAATTTTATTATTGTCGGATAAAAATTAATTAATTTGTAATAAATAAACGTAAAGAAGGAAAAAATTAACATTGTTAGTAGTATGTACTTGTATGTAATTTTGTTTTGATAAAGAACTTGACTCATTGTCACTCGACTCATCTTGATAATTGCGTTTTCTTTGGAATCCTCATTTTAAGCCATTTCTCTAGTTAGGTGTCTAATTTTTTAATTGATAATGAGATTATGAGTCTGCAGTTTTTAATGGCACTAACTATTGGAACAAACATGGGACTTTATCGACGTAGTTTACCATATGCATGCATGCAGACTTTATTTTTTTAATAATTGAAGTTTTATTATAAAATGTATTACCTTGTTTTTTCGTAATTTCCAGGACGGCGTATGCACTGTAGTGGGCCGAAGCCAACCCGGCAGTAGTATAACTTTGACCGCCTGCATTGAAGACCATCAATTCCAGCCGAAAAATTTCTGGAACGGTAGATGGCGATCCCAATGGTCGGTGACACTTAACAACCCGACTGCGGAAATTCGGGGCATTCTCAAGGTGCAAGTGCATTACTACGAGGAAGGCAACGTTCAACTTGTCAGTTCTAAGGAAATCCGAGAAACCGTTCCGGTGTCGAACGAAGTGCAGACAGCCAAAGAAATCGTGCAAGTAATCGAAGACGCCGAAAATTTGTACCAAACAGCCATTTCGGACAACTACCAGACAATGTCAGACACCACTTTCAAGGCCCTGAGACGTTTGTTGCCCGTTACTCGCACAAAAATCGAGTGGAACAAGATTGTGTCATATAGTATCGGAAAAGAATTGAAAACGCAGTGATGCGATCAGTGACTGAGTTAAGTGAAATAAGAAAGAAAGGCTAACTCTTAGCCTTCTTGTTATTGCTTAAGAGTGTTTTGTACATACGGCTAAATTTTGTTAAGTTTATAACCATCGGGGATAGCCAAATTTAGTCTAATTACCGCATTTACATTTGACTTCGTAGCAATTATTATTCATTTAAGGAATAATCTCGCATTTTGAGTTTGTACCAGTATTATTTCTATCCTATTACACTTAAAAAGAACAGGTTTTTTATTGTTAGAGTTTATTTATATCTATCCCTGTTACGGAATGTGCAATAATGCTCAGCACAGGAACTTCTGCTTTCGTCTTGTAATTACTTTATTTTATATTTTATATGAAGCTGTAAAATAATATCCGTTTTCTGAACTTACTTTGTCATTTTATTTCTTACCGATTTATTTGTTACTTTTGTATGTTGTAACTTAGAAGGTGATGAATAAAATTGGTTTATAAGTCACTATTGCTGCCCTTAAAGTGAAAATAATTTATATCTTGTTACAGTAAACAATTGTATGGGTTATTTTTAAATAAAAATTATTGGAACTAGGAAATTTATTAACTTAACATTTTCTCAACATTATAGGTACTTTAAAAACGATCACAAGTTGATATCCGAAATTCAGAATTAAACTTAATTGTTTTCTTTTTCGATGCCGTCTGTGTAGTATGCTTTATTAAAAGTTTTGCGGCTGGAAAGTACACTGACGGACACAGAATTTCGGACGATTTGTCATTCGACTGACATAAAAATGTAAAACGGACCTTAGGCAACTAACCTCACTTCCGGTTTTTGTAATTTTTATCCTGAGAGCGAGAGAAAAAATGACAACAAATCAAAATAATTTATGATCTTATATAAAAACACGTATTGCTGGCATTATTGTTTCGGAAAATCGACGCCAAAAATAAATTTCAACAAAAACTTGCAAATTTTAGTTTCAAACGTCAATCATAATGACAATAAAGTGTGGTTTACGTTGACATTTTTTGAACTGTCATAAATTTGATGTCCAAAATTCCGTATCCGCCAGTGTATGTTTTTACGGGACTCTAGATCGTTAGATCTTTTTTAAGGGACTCTTGAAATTACGATCGCTTGAAAATTTTTGTATGCACCACATCATTTACATAACAATAATGCATTACCAATAAAATGTAAGCGGATCTTTTCTTTTCTATATATTTTAGATAAAAATATTATTATATTTTGTTAATTGTTTAATAAAAATAAAAAAAAGTCTCAGTGCACATAGGATTCTACGAGCATAAGTATTCATTCACATGTCAGCGCACATGAGTTGTCAAATTTTGAGGTTACGGTAGCATTTTCAGGCGAAATGTTTTTATCTTCCCGCAAAAGCTTAAAAATTCGGACCACAAAATTAAAACACATTTTAAGAAACAACCTGAGATGCTATTGTGATGACCTCAACACCTCACACGTGGACGTCAATTTCACGAACGGGTAATTATTTTTTTATTATTCTGTTCAAGCAACAAAAATTAATTTCTAGCCGCTCTTTGAAAATATCAACAGGCCAATATGCACGACTTGCAGACGGGTGTGCCGTTGCATCCTTAGGTGACACCTCAGTTATGGTAACAGCCGTTTCAAAAACAAAACCTTCTGTGAGCAATTTTCTACCTTTAGTGGTGGATTATAGACAGAAATCGGCAGCGGCGGGGCGGATTCCCACAAATTTTTTTAGGCGCGAGTTGGGCCCCTCTGAGAAAGAAATCTTAACGTCGCGCTTGATTGATCGCAGTTTGAGACCCCTGTTTCCGGATCGGTTCACTTACGAGACCCAAGTTGTTTGTAATATGTTGGCAGTAGATGGTGTAAATAATCCAGATGTGATTTCTATTAATGCGGCAAGTGCCGCTTTGGCACTGAGTGACATTCCTTGGAATGGCCCTGTGGGGGCTGTGAGGCTGGGAATGATTAATAACGAAATCATAATAAATCCCACAAGGAAAGAGTTACAATCTTCAATTCTAAATTTAGTGCTCTCAGCCACTAGAAAGAATCTAGTTGTGATGCTGGAAGGCAACGCAAATAATATTTTGCAGCAAGATTTGCTCAAAGCAATTAAACTAGGTACAAAGGAGACGCAACAAATTATAAATAGTATAGAGAAATTGCAGAAAGCTTTCGGGAAAAAGAAGCGTGACATTGAATATCCCTTAGAAGCTAGTCAAGAAGCATATGAGGCTGTGAGGTCACTCTCTGAAATGAGGGTGAGGAAAATACTTACAGACTATTCCCATGATAAATTAAGCAGAGATAATGCTTTAACAGATGTTAGAATAGATGTCACTGAGAAAATCAAGTCCACTTTTCCAGATTTGGAGATGAGTGTGTTTAGTGAAACTTATAATAAAGTTGTGAAGCAGATTTTTCGCGATTTAGTTTTTGAGGAGGGCAAGAGGTGTGACGGACGTGATTATGACCAGTTGAGGAACATTGAGTGTAAAGTGAATTTGTATAAGCCTCTACATGGTAGTGCTATGTTCCAAAGGGGGCAAACTCAGGTGTTTTGTACAGTGACTTTGGATTCACATGAGAGTGCTATGAAGTTGGATCCTATGGCAATGTTGATAAGGTAAGTTAGACTTAATTTAACCGTAAATTACTAAAGAATTGAATTTGTCTTAGGAAAAAGAAAAATTTTGCTCAACACAAAACTGTTGTTGTCTTAAAGCTTTCTTTGGCTTACATTGGAAAACTTACAAATTACTATGTTTTATTTATATCACAATCAATATCTATACTATTTGAATGTAATTTGAAATTTTTATATTAAAACGTTAATTTCTAAACGTTAACTTTGTCAATACCAAAAATCGAGAAAAGTTCATAGTCGTAAATAAACATATTATTTTACTCGCATATAATGACTATTATTCGCTTAGGTGATTAAAAAACTCGTCCACGACTCGTTCTTTAAATTTCACCTTCGTGAATAATAACCATCATTATATGCTCGTTGAATACTAAACTATTATTCTCTAAAATGTAAAATGAGATACATTTTTTAAGGAACAACCAGTAGGTACAAGCATTGTAAATAATTTTTCACAAAGTGAATTTTGGAGATCCGTTTTTTACATGGACATCAAAAACACAGTACCTACTTCAACAAAAATTAAAAATTTCTTATTTTTTGTTGGGTCTCTGAATATTTTTTTCTCATAACTAAAGTAAGTATTTGAAATAGGTTTTATCATTTCTTTAAAACGAAATTTTTCATTAATAAATACTTTTTAAACTCGATAATAAAATGAATGATCAATAAAATCTTCTTACCACTCACATATCACTTAAAATAAAATCAAAATATGAGTGACATTTTTCGTTCAAAAAATTCTCACTTTTCAACTTTTGATATTTTTTTCAGAAATTCAGGCTTTGGGTTAGTGGTTTGCTCACTATTTCTCACTATTTTTCTCACTATATCTTAACTATTTACTTATTATTGTTTTTTTATTTTTTTAAATACTCAAGTAACTAAGTTATAAAACATACTAAAATTTTGTACAGGATCTATTATTTTTTAAAATAATGTTTCTTCAAACTCGTAACAGTTTTGTTCTAATTTTGGTGGTCATTTTTGATAAACGAATATCCAAATTTGCAGATATTGCTAAAATTAAATTATATTTTAAAAGATTGTAAATTCATACGGGATTTTTTTAAAGAAAAAATATTCCGTGTATAAATAAATCAGTTGCTTGTCCTTTTAATTTTTTTTGTTCTTCCAAGCTTGGAGCAGCCGCTACCTCGTTTATTTTACTGTATCCGAAACTTGGAAAGGGAAATCTTTTGGGATCTAAATGGGGTTGTCAAACTGTTGATTTATTCTTCTCCTTTCCCCAAAATGTTAAATATTGAATACATTGTTCTGAATGTAGACACATTTCGTGATTTGTATATGGAAATAGGAAATGTAAAATTCAATTTTTGTCAATTATTTCTCTTATTTTTTTTTAAATTGTAGGCATTTGTTATTTATTTTTACGTATAAATACATATAGATTTGTCAACAAGAAATTACCACCTAGGATTTGAAGTTTTAGGAAAATTACGTTTTTCATGTTGTTTGTAACTAGAATTTTCAGAAGTAATTTTGAATGCTTAGAGTTGGTTACTCCTTGTAGTTGACGGTTGACGTTTTTTGTCAACCTGCTGTCAACTATGAATTGAATTCCATACAAGCTGACAGGCGACTTAACCTACATTTTGACAGTGGTTACGATATCTTTTGTTTGTTACTAAAAACCAACCTAATCAAATTTATGGCAACCTATTCACGAATATCCCTAAATCCTACGGAGTAATTTCTTGTTGATACGATAAACTTGTATAGAGACGAAGTAACTTTAATAAGTTTTGCATTAATATGCAATTTGATATTAATTGTCTCTTTTTATATCCCATTTCAAGTAAATACCTAGTATTATTTTTCCATAATATCAAATATTCTCGGATTATTAATTGAAAATAGTTGTTTTTTATCTTATTATTTTGTTAATACATTTTTTCAAAAATACTAGTTTGTTGTTTTAATTATAAACACTGCAACTTATTTTTACGATTTCTATACAAAAATTAAGTTAATTAAGTTTTAAAACTTATTTATCATGAAAATGATAAATTTGGACAGTATTGTGTAAGTTAACTTCCACAGTTCTGATAATTTTCTCTTAGACATGGATTCATATTAATTTAAACCTGTTGGTCGGATTAGATAAGATAAACTGCGTTAGATGTTCATTTGTTTTCGAATAAAGGCATAATTTCTTGCACCTTGGAACCTCTTGGTGATGACAATCGTAAATTTCATTCCCAGGCTTTAATTAATTCGCAAGATTGTGTTTCTGCTCCTCAACATTCCAACATCTTGGTTGTCAAGTGGAATTTATTTTTTTAATTAATGCTGAACCTTTGATTTGTGATATTCATTACGAGCATTTTAATTAAAAATTATGATGTGTTCTAAATTTTCATGATCTGGTAAAATTGAGTTTTTTCTATTACATCAATAACATAGTAAATTATGGAATGGAAAGAGGAAATTTTTAAAGATACTTAAATAAAATTGAATAAGTTGGACTTTTAACATGATTTCAAATCATATTTGGATTATGCCATTGATACAGAAATACTATTAAATATTATTTGTTATTTAATTGATTTCTGTAAAGTGTTGACATTTTCAGTTTAATTTTTTCTAGAAGTGTGTTGTGTTTATTATCAATATTTTTGCATTTCTAATGAGAGATTCGTTTCATTATTCTGAAACCAAATTTTAACCAAATAGTTTTTGTTATTTGATTATTTTTAATGGCTTTAGTACTCACTATACTTGTTTTCATATTAGTGTGCATCGAAAGGGATCATTTTAAGGTGGCAATCATGCAAAAATTCAAACCATCCTAACCTCAAATTTCCATACAAATTATTTTTTCAAATAAATGTGTGCTCCAGGTAGCAAAGAATAATTAAAATTAACAACGTAATGAAGATAGGGTAGCAAACATAAAGATTTTTGTCATTATTAAAATGTACTTAAATTTGTTCTGAATGACATATTAATGACACTTTTTGTGTAAATCCGCCTTTAAGTTAAAGACTCATTTAGACTACTACAACCTACTTGATGCACATTAATATGAAAAAGAGTATACATTTCGTATGCGGGAAGAAAACAAATTTAAATTTTAGAATTGTTTATACTTAGTTGTACATATTAATTACATATTAAAATTGCAATTGCGTCTAATTTTATTGGACACGAACGTATTTTCCACAAATAGTCAATCACTGTATTCATGAGTTCATTATTATTCAGTATAGGAAATCTGATAGTTTGATATAAAACTGAATAAACATTTCTAATATTTTTCAATCAAAACATTTTTTTAGAAAACGAATGTTACTAGACTGAAATAATTTCTTAATACAAATACTGGTAATTTCTTTTATTGATTAATTTATGTTTGTGAAGAATATTTTAACATTAAACCTTGAAAGGTAACAGAATTGATTTTGTAGCGGTGTCAAGGAGAAGAATTTTTTTCTTCATTACGAATTTCCTCCCTTCGCGACTAAGGAAACGGGGAAAATTGGTCCAATTGGTAGGAGGGAAATCGGGCATGGGGCTTTAGCGGAAAAAGGGTTGACTCCGTCGATCCCTGACGATTTTCCATTTACGATTAGACTAACATCGGAAGTTTTAGAATCCAATGGTAAATTTTCACTTTAGCATATTTCCATTAAAATAGTATAAATTATAGGATCGAGTTCTATGGCTAGCGTTTGTGGAGGCACTTTAGCTTTAATGGACGCCGGTGTACCAATTGTTGCACCCGCAGCAGGGGTGGCTATTGGACTAATCACACGATACGATGAAGAGAAAGCAAACATCACTGATTATCGACTGTTGACTGATTTATTGGTAATCTATTTGTTCATGAAAAATTTTACTTACCACACTTGAATGTAATTGAATTGAATCTTTAAGTGTTGTGTTTAAGGGCATAGAAGATTATATGGGCGATATGGACTTCAAGATAGCCGGTACTAAAAAGGGGATAACAGCCTTACAAGCCGACATAAAAATCCCAGGTCTTCCTCTGAAAATCGTAATGGAGTCAATACAGAAAGCAACAGAAGCTAAACAGAAAATTTTGCAAATCATGCACGAATGCATAGATAAACCCAGGACTGTGAAAAAAGACAATTGGCCGGTTAGCGAAAAACTGAAAGTTGAGGTCCATAAGCGAGCAAAGCTGGTTGGTGTAGGTGGCATCAACTTGAAGAAACTTTTTGCAGAAACAGGTGTCCAGGTTAGTATTTTTGTAGTTTTGTTCGTTGTAGTTATTTTATTCTCAGGTGACTGCAATCGATGATACGACTTTTGAAATTTTCGCTCCTAATCAAAGCGCAATGGATGAGGCAAAAGAGTATATAAATAACCTGTTGACAGCCGAAAAAATTCCAGATTTAGAATTTGGAGGGATCTACACTGCCACTATTGTAGAACTTCGTGATATAGGAGTGATGGTTACGTTGTATCCGGGGATGCCGCCGGCATTGCTTCATAATTCACAGCTGGATCAAAGAAAGGTTGGTTGTTATTATTTAATTACGTTGATTAATTGATTTTGATTTTTTAGGTCGCGCATCCGTCGGCACTCGATTTACAAGTAGGGCAGGAAATACAAGTGAAGTATTTTGGGAGGGATCCAGTTTCAGGCTTGATGAGACTTTCAAGGAAGGTTTTACAAGCTTCTCCTAAGTAAATAAAATTATATTTTTTATTGAAAAAACACCAATGAATTATGAGTTTCATTAAAACAACTTTTCTCATATTCCCTTGCTTGAATTTAATTAACAAAATATGGTAGACTTTCGTAATTGTACCCTTTTTTAAATTAACCTCAAGTAATATGAGTGTAAGAATATTACACTCGTGGTCTTTATAAAGTAAGTATGTAACCCTAATTCTGTGTAACTGTTGAAAGAGACTAGACTTTCAATCGATAGAGAGTTAGTTTGCTAATTTTCAACAAATGTGGTCGCTATCGGCTTTGCTTTGTTAGCTTTGTGAAACGCTTTGTCTTGTCTCTTTCTCAATGCTATAGGATCAGAAGCAATAAGGCTATGTAAATTCAAAGATATTCCGTCTTCTATCACTTATTAAAGATCTTGTATTTAAAATACTTACTAAATACCTACATTAAAAAATATGTTATTGTTTACATTTCAAATGCGTGATAACAATGTTCCCACATGAGCGCTGTTTGAAGAACAAACAAGTGAAGCGAGAAAGTGCTCCATAAGTATGCGCGAATTTTGGAATAGTTATTTTTATTACAAGTACCTAAAATATAGTTTATGCGGACGAATTATTGCTGTTTCCGGACAAGGCGAAGTAGAAAAAAATCTTTTCGAGTATGTTTTGTGTTTTTATTTTGAAGTGAAAAGCTATAGACCTCTAAGGTGTTGTGAAAAAAGAGTAATAAAGTGGATATTTAAAATTGGCAATGCTGCCTATCTACAAACCTGCAATACAAGGTCGCTAAAAAGTATGGATACAGATAATATTTTCAGAACGGTTTAGCAGAGCACGTCAAAATTTGTGAAACAGGTTACCTGTTTTTTGGTCAAAGTTCTGGCGGAAAAGAGCTAACGATAGATAAAGACAACATTGTCAAGGCTAAAAAAATACATTTTTCAAAATTTAATGAGTTCGATATTTTTTTCAGCTCAGAAAAAAATGCTCTGTTTAAAAATATTAAATTTAACCCTTCTTGACACTAAAAATAAATCTAGTTAGCCTTGTATCCCTAGAACAAATGGAAATAGAAGTTTGATAAACATCTGAGGAAATGGAATTTAAATACTTTTAAGCAGATTCCAAATTTCAATAAGTTTTTATAAGTAGTTTTTATAATATTTAACGGTATCCATACTTTTTAGCGACCCTGTATATGTCGTCGCCTCTGCTGTCTCTTTTCACGATGTTTTTTCTGTATGAAAGAGTGGATCTTCTTGGTTCAAAATTTGTCAGTAGGGTTCAGGTTGTAACACAGATTTTTCTTACACAGAAATCTGTGACCTATTCCCCTCAAGACACGCAATTGCGACATTACCAGAATTGCGATGGCTATGGCACAGGTATTATGTACTGTTATTTTTACTAGATTATTAAATATTTTCTTTGTTAAACTCAAAAGTCAAGACAAAAGTCCTACTAAGCTCTTTAACTTTTTTAAGGATTTGCGCATCCTCATTTGATGTAAACTTTGCAAAAAATATTTACGTCTAATAAGATTATAATTTTTTTGTTATTGCTATTAGTTTTGCAACGTTATTTAATAAGCAATAAAATCAAAACATTTTTTGCTAGAGAAGGAAAAAAAAACACCAGTTCAAAAATATCAACAATACTTTTAAATTTTTTAAATCAAAAAATCATTAAGAAATATTTTTTCTTAAAAAACGAATTTGTGTTATATTATTTGATAATTGGTCGTTACCAACAAATTTAGGTCCACGAAAATCAGAAAGAAAAATAGTGGTTCTCAGTTTTCGCACAAACTAATACACCACCTGAATAGTCATCATAAAAATACTCTAACTTGATATCTCCATTTTACGTAAGAAGGCAGCAATTTGCACCAATGATAAAATGGCATACTTGAAGTCAAGAACTATCAATTAATATCAAAAGAATTGACTTTAAGCGGTCTTTTATATTCAACAGGTCATCAAAGAGTTTATACGAGAACCCTTTTTATTCTGTTTTTTTCCCTCATTCAATAAATAATAATAAGATAAAAGCCACCATTCAAATGCAATTTTCTCTCTGTCTTCCAATTTTAAAAATACCAAATTTTTTGAAAAGCTTAAAAAATAACAAAATTCTTTTTCGACTGTTATTAAACAGTTTATTAAAACAGGTGAAAAGTTGTTGCTATAATCTGGCATGATGCAGGACAAAATTATAGATCTCACTTCCAAAAGTGTTAGATTGACTTATTTAACATTTAACTTGACTAACTTATTTAACATTTGAACAATTTTTGACATACAAAAATAAGAAAAAATATTGTGTCTTTGCCTGCCTCAAAAACAAGTTTTACTGAAAAACTAAATTAGGTGAGTACTACAAGGACAATTTTTTTCAAGGTCTGATTGTTTGCGAATTTAAAAATAGCAACTTCAGACTGTCTCTAAAAAGGATTGGGACATTTCTTTAATTTTAGCAAGCTATCGAAGCGTGCAAAAAAATAGACCTCGTACATTTTAATAGTAATAATAAAGTGACTTTATTGAATTGAACATACAAGTAAATACAACTCGGGAGGCGAAGTCTAGCAACTGCTATTCATACTTAACCCCCTAAACAAAACAAAAAGAAAAAAAAAAGAAAAATGAAAAATTGCATTACAGTTTAACTAAAATTAAGAAAAACTACTTAAGTATAACTGGAATTAAACAATAAGAAAATAACAAAAGCAAAAGTAAAAAACTAGAAGTTCAAAAAATGTATTTTTATCGTTTTGCGAAAATTGTTCACTGGAAGTTTTTCTTTAAACAAATGAGAAGAATTATGTAAGTTTATTGTATTGTAAGAGAGAGAGATCTTTTAAATATTGCTTTTTTAAACTTTGGTAATGACAGGTCAGCAATATTACGAACAGAAACTTGATGACAACTTTTTCTCGAATGAAATATTTCACGGAGATAGGGTGGTGAAGCAGTAATAAACATTTTATATATGAACACTGACAAGAAATAATTGTATATTTGGTATACGAGCAGCCAACCAAGTTCTTTTATTTTTTGAGATACGGGGTGATTCTTAAATAGACCGACAAAATTTTATCAGAGCTTCCCAAGGATAAACGAAGACAAACTGTACCCTTTTTACGTTTATATCTTTTAGGGGCGAAACCCCCTTGATCCGTGCCACTTACGGCGTTTATGAATTGTTGCAATGATCAAGTACATTTTCATCAAATTAATACCATGGTTTCCACTACCTGTGCTAATACTACATATTTACACACACATCAGTGGCGTACACTTTACCTCAAAAATAACTTTAATAAATTTTATTTAGAGAACGTTTAAACAATGAATTTTTTAAATATTTTTCCAGCATGTACTCATTTGATACCTTGGTAGTAACCAAGGATAAAATTTTGTCGGTCTATTTAAGAATCAGTCTGTATACAGGCTGATTCTTAAATAGACCGACAAAAACTTATCCTTGGTAGTATCAAATGAGAACATGCTGGATAAAATATTTAAAAAATTCTTTGTTTAACCGTTCTCTAAATAAAATTTATTAAAGTTATTTTCGAGGTAAAGCGTACGCCACTGATGTGTTCGTAAATAGTATTAGCACAGGTAGTGGAAACCATGGTATTAATTTGATCAAAATGTACTTGATCATTGCAACAATTCATAAACGCCGTAAGTGGCACGGATCAAGGGGGTTTTGCCCCTACAAAATATAAACGTAAAAAGGTTACAGTTTGTCTCCATTTATACCAGGGAAGCTGTGATAAAATTTTGTCGGTCTATTTAAGAATCACCCTGTATGGTCAAATTTTCTTAATTTGTAAATAAAACGAGAGCACGAATTTTGTATTTTTTGTAGGTAATATTTATATTTAGATTGATAATCTAAACACGAATAATAAATGATGAGACCTTAATTAAGGTTGGAAAGCACCAATGACTCGCATAGTTTTTCTCGAAGTTTAAAATTCAAAGTGTGATAATTGGAATATAACATTTTTAATGCAATATAAGACCTCTTTACAATCAAGTTGACATGTTCTCTAAATCGTTATTCCGAATCCATTATAATGCCAAGATTTTTTACACTGTTTGAGATAGCTATTTCCAATTTTGAGATTAATTTCCCAGTTGATTTTTTTTATTTCTTGTGGAAATGCAAATTGAACACTGGATGTAATGTGGTGGGCCAAATTGACCCACCAATTTTATTGTAAAGAGAAAAGGAAAGGAACAATCAAATTAACGAGAGAAGACAACGATTTAATTTATATAACAATCAACGTAAATTAATCTATTTAACTTTATCATATAATATTGACCAAGTATGTCAGCAATAAGCAATTAAAACACATGTCCATCCAAGAGTTACGAGACAACCCTCATAAATCCCAACAGATAAGAGTTTTAGCAGATAC